TGGGGAAATCTTAACCCGTCTGCAAGAAAATAAATAAATAAACACACTCACTCCCACCCCGGGACGCGCGGGAGTTTTGTCCATGTCACACACACCCATCCACCAGTCGGCTCGCCCGATTTCCTTATTGTCATCAGCCCCCCCAAAAAAATGTTATCTCCGCCCCGGCCGGTACCCCCCAGCCAAATGCAAAACGTACCTTGCAAATGGCCGGTCGGATACGGGTCAATGGCATAGTGTATATATGAGAGAGATCCGGTGGATCCGCTGGTCGGATCTTTTGGGTTGGGGGTCTTTTTTTTCTTGGTCAGTGTATGCGTAAGTGTAAGCTTGGTAGATCTGGTACTGTGAGAAACATGCCGCCAAGAAAAGGTCAAGCTTTTGCCTAGATGGGTGATGGTTGCTTGGTGGTGTTTAGTCAGGGACTTGGGTTAATCATCATCTCCATGATGGTCCTGTTCGGAATGATGAGGTTGGTTGGTTGGTTATATCTAGATGAGACGGAACCGTTTGATAGCAGTGATGGTGGTGATATATCACGGCACGGGCAACCAAATTGGGTTCATCTGGCGGGGAGTGACTGCAGCTTGGAATGCTGAACTGCATCTCCCTTCATGTGAACTGACAGTGTAAATGAAGCCCATCTGAAGGTGAAGATATCTGAACGGTAGGAAATGCACACATTCTGTCTGAAATGGTCTGCAAGTAGACGGGTTAACGCTACCAACACCAATGGGTGAAACTCCTCAAGTGAACTACAGCAATAGAGCAAACCGGCACGAGGGGAGAATGTTAATATATGTATGCATTGGTACTCTAATAACAGCAAAGAAACATGCCAACGGGCTATGAAACAGTATGGGCTGGCAGATTGCTCCGAACAGTGCTCACGTTCCTGTGTTTTTATATGCTTCCTCCTCTGGTATTTGGTGTGTTGTGAGGTTGGTGCTGTCCTGGGCTTTGCTTCATGACATATTTCGAGCAGCGGCCAAACTCCATGCTCGATTAAACAACCTCTACGCAATTATGGTAGACCAATGTACATAAAACGATAAAAAAAGACCTGTATTCCCGACACCGAGACGAAGCAAGCATTGCCCTTCGGTGTTCATTATACACGTGTTGGCCGGAGGTATCCGGGAGACTCTAACCAGTTGACCGTGACCACCGGTGGACGAATATGCACCCACTACCGTGCTCCTGATGCCAGCTCCAGAGTGCCCCTTTTCCCTCCCCGACCCGCCCAATGTTTCGTATCCTTCTTCTATAAGCTGCGCCTGCCCGATTCTGTTTTTCATCCGAATGTCATTTTACCGCCACCGACCGTTTCGCCCGAGTTAAAGAAGAAGCTCAAGAGGGTTCTCAATGACCTTCTTGAACTCGCGCATCCACTCGGCACCGACGGCACCGTCAACGACCTTGTGGTCGAAGCTGCCAGTGACGACGATCCGCTCCTCCCACTCGACGCCCGTGGTGCCATCCTCATTCTCGACTGGGACGGCAACCTTCTGGGTGCTGCCGACAGCAAGGATGGCAGCCTGAGGGGGGTTGATGATGGCGGTGAAACGTTCGACAGCGGCGTTCATGCCCATGTTGGAGATGGTGATGGTGCCGCCCTGGTACTCCTCGGGCTTGAGCTTGTTATCACGAGCCTTCTTGGCAAGCTCCTTGACGGAAGCCGAGATGGTCTCCAGACCCTTAGACTCGACGTTGGTGACGATGGGGGTGATCAGGCCGGTGGGGGTGGCGACGGCGACGGAAACGTCGACGTTGTTGAACTGGCGAATGACGCCATCACGCCACGAGCTGTTGACGGCGGGGACCTTCTTGGAGGCAACGGCAATGGCCTTGATCAAGAAGTCGTTGACGGAAAGCTTGTACCGGCCCTCGGCAGAGCTGTTGAGAGCCTGGCGGAGCTTGAGGAGCTTGCCGACGGAGAGGCTGGAAGAGACAAAGTAGTGGGGGTTGTCAACAATAGAGGACTGGAGACGCGAAGCGATGGACTTGCGCATGCCGCTGATAGGGGTGTCCTGGTAAGAGGCAGCAGATGCAGCACCGGCGGCGGCAGGGGAGGACTGGGCCTTCTTGACATCCTCCTCGGTGATCTTGCCACCCGGGCCAGTACCCTTGAGGCCCTTGATCGAGATACCATTCTCAATAGCAAGCCTCTTGGCGGCGGCAGAGATGTTGGGCTCGCGATCGAGGGCAGGCTCGAGCCTGCCGCTGGGTCCGGTCGATTCGGGCTCGGGGGCCGGAGTGGGCGCCGGGGTAGGGGCGGAAGACTCGGACTCGGACTTCTGCTCCTTCTTGGGAGCCGGGGCCGAAGCATCACCACCGGCATCCTCGAGCGAGAAGCTCTCAAAGGCACTGATGTCGGTTCCCTCGTCGACCAAGATGGCAATTGGCTGTGGGTGGGGAGCATGAGTTAGTCGTCATGTGTCAAGTGGATTCGGGATTCGGGACGGTGGGGAATGACGAGATATAGCTTACATTGCCAACAGCGACATCCTTCGCGCCCGTGTCCTTGAGGACCTTGGCCAAAACACCCTCCTCCTGGAACTCAAAGTCCATCTGGGCCTTGTCGGTCTCGATCTCGACGAGGACCTCGCCGGGGGCGATGCTGTCACCGGGCTTCTTGTTCCAGGCGCCGATATTTCCCGCCGTCATGGTAGGAGATAAGGCGGGCATCTTGACAACGGTGTGCGGGGGGTACGAAGCGTACCATCTTGTCAGGCTGGGAAGGGCGACGCGGGCAAGGCGGACATGCTGAACAGCTTGCCTTCTGAGGACGGGAACAAGCATCTTGAACGTGTGGCTGTGGAAGAAAAAGGCGGGAAAAAAAAGGTTGGGGCAGCAGCGAGCTGAGGGATAACCAGGTAGGGACCCTATGCGCCTAACAGAGGGGCAGAAAAGTCGACGTCGTCTCGCGGAGGGGAGGGGGCGTCGCGGCGGGGGGTGGGAGTCAATTGATGCCGGGCGGAAGGCAGATCAGAGCGAGAGGAGATGCAGGAGAAGGGAGGTGAAATCCGGACCCGGATCGGACGTTGATGATGGTGGTGGTGGTGATGCACAAGCTGGGGCCAGTTTTTTTACGTGGGATTTCCTCAACTTCGTTGGGAAGCTTAGCTCGCGCGTTCACCAAAACGGGACGGGCTGTCTAGGCGGACCCGCATGTCAGTCAGCAGTCAATCGCACTAGGCCTTTTTGGTCCACGGGGGTCCGATAAACGCCACGCATTGGCACAGCATTCGCGAGATTCAGAGCATTGTTTGACATCTTTTTTTCCCGCAACCTAATCAGCTCAACTACCCTCGGGGAGTTCTCGGTCAGAATTAGACAGCTTGACCTTGTTTACTTTTTAATGGGGGTTTCCAGACATATATAGAGCCCAACATCCACCCATTTCCATTTGATCATATCGGACACTTGAATCTCACTTGACCCCGATCATCAGCCACACTTTATCTCCGTGAGTCTCGGTTGAGTCGGGATTCCATCTCCAGCTTCACAGTCGGGTGGGGTGCCGCTGGAATCTCCTTGTTCGATGAGGTGAACAGTGGATATCTGCTGCAAAAGGCTGCTGGGAGGCCCTGGGGGCGACAAGGCCACAGAGAAGTGCACGGGGCACGCTGCTCACCAGCTGGCGGTGCGGCGCCGTCCGCTTCCTGAGCCTTGGGCTGGTGTCGCAGGGGACGGGAGGCAGCTCCACATGCTGCGCGATGGTTTGCTGTCATCTTTTGCCTACAGTCCACCTCTACACAGTAAGGGACGGAGAGTAACAGCATACCGGTACCTGGGACCTAGCAGCAAAGCATACGCAACGCTCGCAGGCAGCACTTCCAACTTTAATAAGCTACCATCCATATTCTTCTTCCGCCAGAATCAAATTGCATTGTCCAACTCGTCTGAAGATCTCGCTGAGCGAACCTGAAGCCTTCAATCCCACCAAATCTCGAGGGCCGCGTCCCCCTCCCCCCTGACAAAGACGACATTGAAACCAACGGCTGCATCCGCACTTATTCACCCAAAAAAAGTATCCGGCTTCGTCGATAAACAACCTCGAACCCTCCCTCGGCCGATTCCCATGCGCTAGCATCCCTCTGCGAATGGGCATCGTCTCCTAGAGCTACGCCTAACGCGCCATGAGCTCTTTCGCATTTGTGGTGTCCGCCTTGGACAGAATCGCCCAACATGCCGGCCGCAACAAGCAACTGACCGAGCTTGCCGAAAAGGCACTTGCTGCCCTCAAAGAGAACGACCAGGACCTCCCGGACCCCGAAGTTGTCTTTGCGCCCCTGCAACTGGCCACCAAAACAGGCACCGTCCCTCTCACGACAACCGCGCTCGACTGCATTGGCAAGCTCATCTCGTATTCCTACTTCACAGCGCCCTCCGCCCGCGCCCCATCACAAGATGGCTCCGAACAGGCGCCGCTCATTGAGCGTGCCATTGATACAATCTGCGATTGCTTCCAGGGAGAGGGAACCCCGGGCGAGATCCAGGTGCAGATTGTCAAGTCTCTGCTTGCGGCGGTGCTCAACGACAAGATCATTGTGCACGGCGCAGGGCTGTTGAAGGCGGTGCGACAGGTCTACAATATCTTCTTGCTCTCCAGGATTACCTCCAACCAGCAAATTGCCCAGGGGACGCTCACACAAATGGTTGGCACTGTCTTTGAGAGAGTCAAGACCCGGATACACATGAGAGAGGCACGGGCACAACTGGGACAAAAGCCCAGCCACAGCAGCCTGACCATTGATCGATCAGACGACCAGGACACACAGACGGAGAAGGGCGATAACGATGAGGGAGCCACACCGCTGGACGAAAAGAGCGAGGCTGGCGCGAAGCTCACGCTCAAGGATCTTGAACACCGCAAGAGTTTCGACGACTCTCACATGGGCGACGGGCCTACCATGGTGTCCCAGGTCAAGCCGGCAAAGAAATCAACAAGATCAGTTTCGGAGCAGAGTTTGGCAGAGGCGGCGCACGAGGACACGCCCGAGGCGCTGGATGCCGAGGACGAGGCCTACATCAGGGATGCCTACCTCATCTTCCGATCCTTCTGCAACCTGTCCACCAAGGTCCTGACCCCAGAACAGCTCTACGACATGCGCGGTCAAGGAATGCGCTCCAAACTGATCTCTCTCCATATTGTTCACACGTTGCTGAATAACAACATCGGCGTCTTTACCTCTCCGTTCTGTACCATCACCAACACAAAGAGCAACGAGCCCACGAGCTTCTTACAGGCCATTAAATACTACCTTTGTCTCAGTATCACCCGCAACGGCGCAAGCTCTGTGGATAGGGTGTTTGATGTGTGCTGTGAGATTTTCTGGCTCATGATCAAGTACCTCCGAGCTCCCTTCAAGGTTAGTACCCTGCCTATACCAACCTCCTCTGCTGTGCAACTCTGACCTGGTATTCGGCTGTAGAAAGAGATTGAGGTATTCCTTAATGAAATTTATCTTGCTCTCCTGGCCCGGAAGAACGCCCCTCTTTCTCAAAAGCTCGCCTTTGTTGGCATCCTGAGGAGGTTGTGTGATGACCCTCGGGCCTTGGTGGAAATGTACCTCAACTATGACTGTGACAGAAATGTGGACAACATTCTCCAAAGGATAGTGGAGGACCTGTCCAAGTTCGCAACAGCCACGATACCGATAACGCCGATGCAAGAACAGCAATATGAGGACAACCATGCTAAGAACGGGGCTGGCGAGTGGCAGCTCAAGAGTGTCTTACCCCCTCCCCTTACTGCCGCCATGATCACAAACCCACACGATACGGATGGCGATGTTCCCAAGGAATATGCGATCAAGCGAGTGGCCATTGACTCGTTGGTTGAAACGTTGCGGTCACTGCTTCATTGGTCAGAGCCTGGCCGACCTGAGCTCAATGGTGGCGGTGGGGAGGTAGAAAGAAGAGCGTCCAGCGATGAGATCAGGGAATCGATTGATCCCTCCATGAGCGAGAACGTACCCCGCATCGACACACCAATCCCGCCATCGACCCCGGTGATTGACGACGACCCAGACCAGCTGGAGAAGGAAAAGGCAAGAAAGACTGCGTTGAGCAACGCCATCAAGATCTTCAATTATAAGCCCAAAAATGGCATCAAGCTTCTGCTCAGGGATGGCTTCATCCCAAGCGACAAGCCTGAAGACATCGCCCAGTTCTTGCTGCGCGAGGATAGGCTGGACAAGGCGCAAATCGGAGAATACCTGGGAGAAGGCGACCAAAAGAACATCGACATCATGCACGCCTTTGTTGACCTGATGGATTTCCGAAAGAAGCGCTTCGTCGAGGCTCTGAGGGAGTTTTTGCAGTCTTTCCGTCTGCCTGGTGAAGCCCAGAAGATTGATCGCTTCATGTTGAAGTTTGCCAACAGATACATGACCGGCAACCCCAATGCTTTTGCCAACGCCGACACTCCTTACGTGCTTGCTTACTCGGTCATCATGCTAAATACCGATTTGCACAGCTCCCAAGTCGTCAAGCGGATGACCAAGGCTGACTTTATCAAAAACAATCGGGGTATCAACGACAATGCTGATTTGCCGGACGAGTATCTCTTGGGCATCTACGACGACATCCAAAGCAACGAGATCGTTTTGAAGAGTGAGCGAGAAGCCGCAGCCCTTGCAGGTACTCTTCCTGCGCAGTCGACCGGTATCGCGGCTGGATTCGGCCAGGCCTTCTCGAATGTTGGGAGAGACCTGCAGCGCGAGGCGTACGTCCAGCAGTCGGAGGAGATTGCGCTGCGCTCAGAACAGCTATTCAGGGACCTCTACCGCAGCCAGCGGAAGAATGCCTCCAAGGCTGGCACAAAGTTCATCCCAGCAACGTCTTTCAAGCATGTTGGGCCAATCTTTGATGTCACTTGGATGTCCTTCTTCTCTGCTCTTTCCGGCTTGATGCAGGGGACACACAATCTTACTGTCAACAAGCTGTGCTTGGAAGGCATGAAGCTGGCCACCAGGATCGCTTGTTTCTTTGATCTGGCCACTCCCCGGGAGGCCTTCATCTCGGTGCTCAAGAATATCGCCAATCTCAACAATCCACAAGAGATGCAGGCCAAGAACGTTGAGGCTCTCAAGGTCATCTTGGAGCTTGGCCAGACAGAAGGAAACCGGCTCAGGGAGTCCTGGAAGGATGTTCTGCTCTGTATCAGCCAACTTGATCGGCTGCAGCTCATCTCTGGTGGCGTGGACGAAAGTGCTGTTCCAGACGTTTCCAAGGCACGATTTGTCCCACAACCAGCTGGACGACCAGACACGGCCGACTCTCGAAAGTCTACATCCTCTTCCAAGAAGAACAGGCCACGAGCCCACACCGGCCCACAAGGAGTATCGCTCGAGATTGCACTCGAAAGCCGATCTGATGAGGTGATCAAGAGCGTCGACAGGATATTTACAAACAGCGCCAACCTGTCGAGAGAAGCCATCGTTCACTTTGCCCGCGCCTTGACCGAAGTCAGCTGGGATGAGATCAGAGTGTCTGGGTCAAATGAGTCTCCTCGCACTTATAGTCTGCAAAAGATTGTAGAGATTAGTTCTTACAACATGACGCGTGTCAGGTTTGAGTGGACTCACATTTGGGACGTTCTTGGTGAACACTTCAACCGAGTAGGATGCCACGCCAACTACACGATTGTCGTTTTTGCCCTGGATGCTCTCCGTCAGCTTTCGATGCGTTTCATGGATATCGAGGAACTTGCTGGTTTCAAGTTCCAAAAAGACTTCCTCAAGCCCTTTGAGCACGTCATGTCCAACTCAAGCGACAACAGAGTCAAGGACATGATCCTTCACTGCCTGGTTCAAATGATCCAGGCTCGGGGAGAGAACATCCGCTCCGGTTGGAGGACGATGTTTGGGGTCTTTACCGTGGCCGCAAGGGACCCATCAGAGAATATTGTCAACCTCGCCTACGAGCACGTCATTCAGGTCTACAAGACCAGGTTTGGCGTCATCATTTCTCAGGGCGCCTTCACCGATCTTATTGTATGCTTGACGGAATTCTCCAAGAACATGAAGTTCCAGAAGAAGAGTCTCCAGGCAATGGAGACGCTCAAGTCAATCATTCCGGCCATGCTCAGGGCGCCTGAATGCCCGCTCTCTCACAGGACTAAGAAGGTCGAGTCCGATGCTTTGGTCATGGAACAGCAGAGAGGAACCTCGGTCGAGGAAGGGTTCTGGTTCCCGGTCCTGTTTGCTTTCCATGATGTCTTGATGACAGGTGAAGACCTCGAGGTCCGGTCCAATGCATTGAACTACTTTTTTGAATCGCTTCTGCGGTATGGTGGGGACTTCCCCTCGGAGTTTTGGGATATTCTTTGGAGACAGCAGCTTTATCCCATTTTTATGGTTCTCCGCTCGAGGCCAGAGATGACCAATGCGCTCAACCACGAGGAGCTGTCGGTGTGGCTCTCAACAACCATGATCCAAGCCCTTCGCAACATGATCACGCTCTTCACTCACTACTTTGACGCCCTCGAGTACATGTTGGACCGGTTTTTGGAGCTCCTGGCTCTCTGCATTTGCCAGGAGAACGACACCATTGCTCGAATTGGCAGCAACTGTCTGCAGCAGCTCATTCTCCAGAACGTCACCAAGTTCACTCCCGAGCACTGGTCCAAGATCGTCGGTGCCTTTTGCGAGCTGTTTGAGAGGACGACAGCATACCAGCTCTTTTCCGCCACCACCATCAACTCAACCGCTTCGTTGTCGCCACCTCCCAACGGGCTGGACTTTGGTGCTGCCCTGAGCCCAACCTCGGAGGCTCACCCAGTCGACGAGAAGTCTCTCAAGATCAACGGCACAGAGTCCAACGGCCACGTTTCCGACACCGAAGTGCCACCCATCGTGGTGGAAAGCAGCCCAGAAACAGACGCCTCACCCGCCTCCGCCAACCCCTCGGCCATGGCAGCCACCCCAATCACCCCCCAACTGGAAGAATTCAAGCCCACCAACACGCTCCAGCAGCAGCCGGTAGTCGTCACAGCCGCCCGGCGCAAGTTTTTTAACCGTATCATCTCCCGCTGCGTCCTCCAGCTCCTCATGATTGAAACGGTCAACGAGCTCTTCTCCAACGACGCCGTCTACGCGCAGATTCCCTCCGCCGAACTCTTGCGCCTGATGGCCCTCCTCAAGAAATCCTTCCTCTTCGCCAAGCGCTTCAACGCGGATAAGGAGCTGCGGATGAGGCTCTGGAGGGAAGGGTTCATGAAGCAGCCTCCCAACCTGCTCAAGCAAGAATCCGGCAGCGCGGCAACATACGTGGCGATTTTGTTTAGGATGTTTGGGGACAAGTCGCCTCAGCGACAGGACAGCAAGGGGGATGTGGAGGCTGCGCTTGTACCGCTTTGCCAGGATATTATACGGGGGTATATCACGCTGGATGAGGAGTCTCAGCACAGGAACATTGTGGCGTGGAGGCCGGTGGTGGTGGATGTGCTGGAGGGGTTTGCCGGGTTCCCGGAGGAGAGTTTCAAGGAGCATATCAAGAACTTTTACCCCTTGGTTGTGGAGTTGTTGGGGAAGGAGTTGGGGAGTGAGCTGAGGGGGGCGTTGCTTGGGGTTTTGAGACGGGTGGGGGAGGTTGGGTTGGGGATTGAGAATATGGGGCTTTGTACTGCTGGGTTGAATGGGGAGGGTGGGCAAGTGGGGGGACACCATGGGAGGAGTCATAGTGTTTTTAGTGTGCAGGCTGGTCATCAGGGGGATGGGGGGGAGGATCCGTCTAGTAGGTTTATGGGACGGGGGTGAGGTGTTTGTAATGAGAGGTTGGGTGATCAAAAAAGATGTTCTTGATAGGGGTGGTTTCAGTATAGATTCTAGAGCACAAGCTTTAGCTTTTGGGTGGTGGGATTTACAAAGACGTTTCATTTCTTTTATTTTATTTTTGGCTTTTTTTTTCTAGCATAGGATGTGTGTGTGTATTACATATATTTTACTTGCCGTTTCACATTAAAGTTTAGTGGTTAAGCTTTCTGTAGCACCAAAATCTTTTCTTGTTTCTTTTCTGCATCGTACATATTTTGTTATTGTAGCACAGAAAGCAGCTGGCATTGTACATGAATCAAAACTCTGTGGCCTGCTTAAATTCCATCACCAAGAAGCAACATATCAACGCAACGGCACCTCCGCAACCGGAGGCATAACAACCCTCAACCACGCCCTCAAGTCATCCGCCTCCTCCGCCACCGTCCGATCCGGCAACGTGTCCAGCGCACCCCTGAGCATATCATCATGCGGCACCGCATCCCTCAGCAAACCCTTGACAATCGCCTCCTTGACAGCCGAATACTCGGTTATCCGCATCAAACTGACAAACGCCTCGAAAAAGTCCACCAGGTTGAGGTGCATCAGCGCGTCCCTGTTGTCAACCATCCTCAACGCTGCGTACTGCAGCAACCCCTCTCCTTGCTGGGGAGGGTTAGTGGCCGCATTTTCATTTCTTGTTGTGCCGTTGATTTCCATGTCGGAGTCATCATCCGTTAGATGGCCATTGGTGAGGTGGATGGGTGTTGGGGCCAGGATGTTAGATGAAGCGATGGCGTCAATGTTCAAGGCTGCCAAGCGGGGTAGGATACGGAGGGTCCTCCCTTGGGCGAGGGAGAGCTGGGAGGTGTTGTTTGCTGTTCCTGGATGGCGGCCTGAGATGAGGTCGAGGAGGAGGTTGTAGGTGGATGGTTGGTGGAAGATGAGTTTCCAGAGTTCACCCTTGCCGGGGACGCGGCGGAGGACGAGTTCGTGATGAGAAGGGGTGGTTCCGGTGGTGATTGCTGGGGGTGCTGGGGGTGGTGGGGGTGGTGGACGGGGGCAGTCGATGTCTAGGAGGTCTCCTAGGACTTTGGAGGCTTTTTGGCCGACTTCTACTTTTGGGGAGGAGAGCCAGGCTGTGAGGAGGGAGGTGACGAGGGAGGGCATGACGGAGAGGATGGCGGCATCGGTGGGGGTTTTGGCGGCTTTGTGGAGGATGGTCAGGCCTAGGAGTTGGGCTGCTGGGGCGGGGGAGGTGAGGGCTTGGTTGAGGGAGTCTTCGGAGGCGAGCTGGAGGACTTGGGTGAAGGATATAGGGCGGAGGAGCTTGATGGTCAGGGAGACGATCACGGCTGGGTCGTCGTTGTATTGTTGGAGGATTTGAGTGAGCTTGGGGAGGAGTGAGGGGATGAGAGGCGGGATGTTGGAGTCTGTGAGCTGAAGCTCAACATCATCGAAGAGCTTGGGGATGATGGCGAGGTTTGGATCTTGAATGAGGTCGTCAAGATGGTTGTTGAGCTCGTCGAGCCCAGAGATGGGGACGTTATCCATTGTGATGGGTGTGTGAACTTGCGGGTGAAGAGAGTGATTATTGCTGAGCTGTGAGTGACAAAAATGAGGCTATGAGACGACAAGGTGGTGATGATCAAGGCAGCACTTATGATGACCAAGCTGAGTGGAGGGGTCCAGGCCTTCTGGTATTGAAGGTGCGGGGCGCTGGGAGATTCCATGCAGGGGGTCATATTTTAGTGGATCTCGGGTGGTACCTGACACCCACCCAGGTGTCTTGGCGAGGCCTGCAGCTTGTCGATGCCCCGCAGGAACTTTTTTGAAGCTCAATGTTGGCGCTGGACATGCGACCGACTCACTCACTCACTCACTCACTCACTCGGCCAACCCATTCATCAACCCAACAATACCCATTAATTCGCTTATTATACAGCCTCAGACAACAGCAGCGATTACCAGCCCGAAACCACACTCTTTAACCCCCCCAAAGCCACTCTCACAACACCAATCCCAACATGTTCAGAGGCGGGCGAGGAGGTCGTGGCCGTGGCCGCGGCGGTCCCATGATGGGCAACAGGCGCGAGATCGCACAAAACAGCGTTCCATGGGCCATTGACCCAAAAGACGGCATCTTCATCGACGGAAAACCCAGTGATACCTACCCAGTATGTTCCACACCTCGTCCCTCCTCACCTGGATGGTGTGTCACCCAAAAAAAAAAAACTAACCTTGTAACCCCCTCCAGGTCTGGAACGTCCCAAAACCACCAACCCTCACCAAAAAAGAAGAGAAACAGCTCGACTACTTCCTCATCTTCCGCGAGCAAGCCCACGACAGCCCTCTCTACACAGAACCCCCTCCGCGATCAAAAGACTCGCGGAAGCGCGCCTACGGCCAGGCCCAGATCAACTCCCGCTACGCCGACGAGAGCAAAGCGACGATAGACCCCTTCACAGCCATCGAGACGTACAGCAAGCGGTTCGAGCGCAAGAAGCGCACCCTCCCCGATTTCAGCAACCTCCCTTTTGCCAAGGAGTTCTTCCCAACCGAGCTACACGCGACATTGGACGGTCTTGACGATCCGAGTGCCGATAGAAAGAGGCGCAGGACAGGGCCCAAGAAGTTGGCCGTGTCCAACATTACGAGCTACGGTGCGGGGGATTTGGATGAGGATGGTGACGAGGTCAATGGGGAGCCGGACTTCCGTAAGGCTCTGGAGCTGCTCGATAATGTCGAGAAGCTGGATGGAGAGGATGCGTTCTTGTCGGGCGAGGAGGATGAATGGGGTAATGAAGATGAGGATAATGAGGATGCGGCGGATGCCGAGGCTGCGGATCAGTACGAGGACGAGTCGGAAGATGATTACAACGCGGAGCAGTACTTTGAGAATGACGATGATGATTATGGGGATGACGGGGGCGATGATGGTGGCGAGGGTGTGTTTTAGGCTGGAGGTTTGTGGGTGAGTCTGGGATGAGGGAGGGGGGACTGGTTTGTTGGTTTTAGGGCGAATGGGAACATTAGGAGTAGGTCATGGTTATCAAAATTATACCCGGTTCTTGTTTCACAGTTTTGACTCGATGCATTTGTGATGCGGAGGAGATCTCAGAGGAGATATCATGAAAATCTCTGCCATCTTCATCTGATATACTACTATTAATGGAGCAAAATCGCGGTTTCCTGTTTGATATAGCAAATTGATGATAATACAGTCAGATAACCTAACCACCACACATCCACAACTCACATACACCCTTTTTCGGCAACAAAAGCTTTTTTATCTTTGTACAAGAATATTGCTTTCCCCAAATAGAGTATCTTAACTAATAAACCACCGTAACGCCTGCCCCCTTTCCTATGCTCTTACAACCCTTCCCCCTGCCAAAAACTCCAGATCTAACTCCCATGCCCCATAAAATCCTTAAGCTGCAGCTCCGTAATCCCCTCCTTCAACCCCCCAACCTTGCCAGCCACCTTGAGAATGCCCTCCTCGAATTCCCTAAGAACCGCCGCCAGCTCGAGCACATTCTCATCCACCCCGTTCTGCCCAGGGCGGTTCCCAGCCGCGGCCCTCTGCAGCGCCTCCATCATGTTGCCCTGCACGCCGTGAAGATGAACCTCGATCTCGCCCAGGTTCTTCTCAAACCTATTCATCATCGTGTCCATCTCATCCGCCGTCTTGCTGAAGAACGTGATCAAATCCGAGTTACTCTCCGCATTGGCGTCGCCCGCTCCGGTAGATCCCCCCTTTGACCACAGCCCCGTCTGGTGGTACTGGACCGGAAGCTTGAGGTTGTCGATAGCCTTAAAGGACAGCCTCGCGTTATCGGCGTCGGTCTTAATCAGCTCGTGGAGCTGGTTAATGGCGTCAATGTCGCTTTCTAGGGCGCGGTGGGCGCCCTCGGACTTGCGGCTGACGAAGCTGACGTCGGTGGGGATGGCAGAGAGAAGTTCGCCGTGGGAGGGCAAGAAAGCTTCCACGGCTTCGTAATCCCGGATGCATTTCTGGATCCTATCATCAATGTCGGCGATTTCTTTCTGGAGGGTTTCTTGGAGGTCGTTGAAGCGGGTGGTGGAGCGGATGTTGGACAGGTCGATGCGGACGCCTGGGACGACGGATTGCTTGGCTGTCTGGCCCATGGTGAGGCCGGGGGCCTGTTGCTGGGCTGGTTGTTGCATCGTTGACTGGCCGAGGCTGCCGCCGCCGCTGGGGGGAGAGGTGTTAGTACATCTTCATGACTGAGGCGTAGGCTGGGGAGGAGGACTTACAAAAGTGAGGTGGCTGCGGGAGCATCTGGCTTGGTTCCAAACATACTGGTACCTGTGGTGGTAGATGTGCCTCCAAAAAGGCCTCCTTGCTGCTGCTGAGGTTGCTGTGGTGTCGCGCCAAAGAGACCACCAGATTGCTGAGGCTGGGTCTGCTGCGTCGTCGCTCCTCCAAACAGGCTCATGGTCTGAGGCTGTTGCGCAGTCGTCGCGGTGCCACCGCCAAAGAGACCACCAGTTTGTTGCTGCTGTTGAGGTTGAGCTGGCTGTGTTGTGCCTAGCTTGTTCCCAAATAGACCTCCGGTCTGAGCCTGTGGTGTTGTCGTTGTTTGACCAAGAAGACCTCCGCTCTGCTGAGGCTGCGAAGTTGCTGTCGTGCCGAACAGGGAGCCGGTTGGCTGCTGTGGTTGAGTCGTCGTCGTGCTGGTACCGCCAAACAGAGATGTCCCTTGCTGGGCGGGCTGGGTCGTGGTTGTTGATCCAAAAAGTCCACCGCCTGCCGCGGGAGTTTGCTGTGTCGTGCCGCTGCCGCTATGTGGGAACGAGTCAGTCTATCTGCATGTCTCGGCCGGGCAGCAATGCGCCCTGCAGTATGTAGTCGCAAACAAAGGAAGGGAGGAGAACCTACAAAAGATTGGCGCCACCCGTGTTGATGCTGAGGCCCCCGGGGCCACTAGCTGATCTCCCAAACATGGCGACGACGGTTTCAACGATGGCAGCGATTGGATAATGGCTGGAATGTAGACTGTCGAGTTGGGTGGATCGAACTGCTCAGGAAGGAATGAATGTCGACTCGGTGGGCGTGTGTTTAATGTTTCTTCTGCCCCACGAAAATAGAGAGCTCCAAAGGTCGGGTCGTCGCAAGTTGGTTGACCGTTGCACTGTGCGACTGTTGACCTCTGCCGCCGCGCAGCAACCAAAAAAAAGAAGCTTGGGCCCCGTCGCGCTTGAGCCGCGCCAGAAGCTCCATTCGCGCCTCACCGCCTGCCTAAAAAGGTGTACCTCACCGGCCCATTAGCTAATGCTCCAAACAACCTTCTTTGGCCATCTCATGTTTCTGCTTCTTTGACAAAACTGCGACTTTGCTGAACACAACCTACCCAACATGTCTTCATCACAGCCCCCCATGGATATCGACGAGGACGAGGACTTTTATGGTGACTCCGATCAGGAGGCCACCCCCGCGACCACCACCACTGCCCAACCTGCTGCGACTGCTACTGCTCCCCCAGCCGCCCCCAAGAACGACAGCAACTCCGATCTAGAGGAAGGCGAAGAGGAAGACGAAGGCGGCGAGATGGACGAGGACGAGGATAGTGTTTGTACACCTTACATCTTCAGGCTCGGTCCCCAATTGCTAACATTTCCTTCCAGGACATCGACATTATCACCGAGAGAAAAGACAACTTCCAGCCCGCCCCTCCACCGTGAGTTCTACCTCCTACCCACCGCTTGCGCCAAAACTGACAATCATCCCAGACAATCCAAATACAGCGAGATCCGAAATATTCCCCAACGATCAACAACCGCCCCCGAAGGCGCCCCCCCAAAACAATCCCCCTCCGTCCCCCGCGAGGAGCCCCGCCAGCAACAACAAACCGAGCTACCCCCGGTGTCAACCTCCAAGATCGATGTCAACGCCATCCCGATCCACAAGCCCACCGGCAAGCCCCTCACACAAGTAAACATCGACGAAGACCTCCCAGACAACGACAAGCCCTGGCGCAAACCGGGCACCGATCTGTCGGATTACTTCAACTACGGCTTTGACGAGTTCACCTGGGCTCTCTATGCCCAAAAGCAGGAGGCCATGCGGGGGGAGTATAACCAGGATGCTATCGCTCAGAACAACACAAAGATGATGGAGGAGATGACCAAGATGATGATGATGGGCGGCATGATACCTGGTGCTGGTGGGCCAGGCGGACCGGGGATGGGTGTTCCTGGCGGTGGTCCTCAAATGCAGGGGATGGATGGTATGGCACCAGAGATGCAGGCGATGATGCAGCAGATGATGGCGAGTGGGATGGATCCGAGCCAGATGGGCGATATGAGTGGCATGTTCCAGGGTGGGCAGCAACCTGGTGGTCCTGGTGGGCAGCAAGGTCAAGGAGGGTTTGGTCAGGGTGGGTTTGGGGGGAATCAAGGGCAGGGTTATGGATATGACCAGCAGATGGGTGGTGGGAGAGGGAGGGGAAGAAGGGGGAGGTGGTAAATGTGTGTGTGGTGTGAGTGTACGATACCCTTAAAATGGGTTACTGGATCAGGATAATGTTATGTCAAGGCAAGGAGTTATATTGGTACACGTTGTTTCTACATTCAGACTGTGACACATGTTACTATTCGGTGGGACAAGCATTCGGTGGTCTGATGAACCCCTTTACATCTGATCGATCCATCATTTTAGCTCTCGAATTCAGTGATGCTCACCTTTGAGCCCATGTCTCTGCACCCCCTATGGCAGCTCAGCTTTGTGATCCCGTTTCATGCAACATGGTGTTTTATCACAGTGCCGTTGTTTCTTGGCCCCTAGACAAGAGAGCTGATGCACAAATGTGCGTCTTCGCTCCCTCGTCTTGGTGGTCGCGCTTTATCCACCCCTGATGGAAGACGTCCTACCTACCCAATAATGGAACGGGTTGAGGATGGCAATTCTGGGGTGGAGGAGGGTGATGAAAGAACTGGGGCTATTGATATGAATGAGGAAAGGTTGGAAGAAGTGGTGGTGTGAGTCGGGGCTGGCGCTGTGGAGAGATGTGCATGGAGAGAAAAGAAGAAAGAAATAGGAGGAAAATAAGGAAAATAAGAATAGATCAAGAAAGGAATCCTGGGCATATTTATTGAGCTCATGATTGTAATACTTCTGCGGAACCTTCAAGCTGAGACTATTTTGAGAAAAAAAACCTCAATTATTCGTGTGAAGCTCGGAATATAAACCTAACCAAGACCCTTGATAAACCTCTCTTGCTCACGAATCAGTTTTCCCGAAAAACTCAAGTGCTCGTAGAGGTTTGGAGGGGCATTCGCGTGTTCTATTTGCTCCCTGCTCCCTGCTCATGTAAGTGATGGATCCAGTAGTTGTGTAAGTGGTGTGTCTGAGCAACTGTATGAGCGGGCGGTGAATCCAGTAAAAGGGGTTGTGAATGGCGACGGTCTGTTCTGGTGCCAGACATACCGTGCCACCAAAGCATGTCCAAGACGGTCCGCATTCCTCATGCCACATCCTTTGTCCCTGAGATCAGAATACAAAACCACTCCCACAAGTCTAGCGAACTGCCCGCTCTCCCATCTCCGTATCTGCACTTTTAGCCTTCCCCCACCTAGCCAAAATCCTCCGCAACCTCCCGTGACGTTTCCCCTTCTGCTTAGTCGACGGTGCTTCTGACTCTATTCCACTTACTCTCTCACCGCCAGAAAAAGCTAAGGATATAGTCGATCTCCTTCGCAAAGACCTCGTCCTCCGAGACCGCGCCTCAATCGACCACTCTTCTCCATCCTCTCGCTCGCTACCCCCAGCTGAATCAACATCAAACCAACCCGGATAGTGGCGGTCCGAGTCTGACCCTCGGTGGCTTCTGCGACCTGCCGAGCGAGAGCGAGGTTCGGACCGGAAACGGCCCCTTCGTGGATGTTCAAAGGACGAGTCTGTATCGCTTTCCTCCTCAGACATGGACCAGTACGAGCTGCTGACGTCGCTCCTTGGTCGTCGTGGGCGGCGTGCTGATCTGTTTGCTTTCTTTCTGCCCATGAGTCAGAGCCCAATGGCCACCAACATTGGTAGTGCAATACACATGAAGAGTGTGTTGCCAATACGAGATAGAAAGCGGCGGATCCCAGTCAGAAAGTGGTGGAGCGGGTAGTCAGTGATGTATCTGTCATTCCAACGGCTACCACTGAAAGGACTCCGTCTGCTCCGTTGGAGATACTGTTGCCACTTCCACAGGCGACGAAGCCCTGGGATATGGGTGTGAAAGGTGAACGTGCCAAATAGTTTGGCGTAACCGGGATCGTTGCTGCCGGCAGAGTGCCTAAGCGGTCCAAACCAATTTAACCATCTCCCATGTTGGACGGGTTTGTTCAAAGAGGCAGTCTTTCCTCGGGACTTTGGCGGTGGCAATTGATGATCAACAACTGTGGTTTCCTTGTCTGAGTCGTAATCGCCGGTACGTAGTATAACCCCAGGCTGACCGTCGACACCAGGAGCCTTGTTACCACCGCCTTGTGCGTCCTTCTTTTTTACAAGGCGACGATATGCCTTCCGAACAGCGTCAGACAGGTCGTTCACGTAAACCGCTATGATGACTAGTGGTGTGAAGATGGAAGCAGAGATGCCAACTGTGACATGGTCCAATGTTAGCACTCAGTGATTTGTAGACGACAGTTTCTGCGAGCTTACACAGATAACCGCAAACTTGACCGAGCGGCCACGAGGTTTCTTCTGAGGCCTCATCTTTGGGGAAGATATCGACGTCCAAAGCAAAGAAACTGGCCATAAAAGATAGCGGCAGCTAGGGTTTCCCATGATTAGCATCAAAATACCAGGAACAAAGCGCCGGACAACCTACAAAGATGGCTGTCACAATTGTGAAGAAGAGAATTGTCTGGGCGACTCGTCAGCAAGGACATCATAAGATGGGAACTTGGAACCTCACATTTCCCTGTCTCTGCGTTTCTTCCGACCCTTCACGTGAAAATCGCGCCTCCCAGCCGTTCGCGTGTTTCTGTTTCAAGTCAAGAAGACTTTCCAGCTGTCATTGAAGGTTAATAACGGCGAAGGCTCTCAGGGCCTTTTTGCGCCAAAACTCACCAAGGATTGGACTTTTTCGGCCACTTCCAACATGTTTGTGACGACTCGGATGTGACCTTGAACGATGCCGAGGGTCCCATACATCAGGTCAGGGTGGGTGAGGAGAGCTTTCTGCTTCTTCGTTTCTGGCTTGTTTAACCGATCTGACGAGGCCGTCGGTCTCCGTTCCTCCTGATCTCGCCTTTTCGCCTCTGGGCTTTTTGTCAGTTGTGGTGGGGGTCCTGCCGCCTGTTGTTCAGATTGTCCTTCCTTCCCCTTCCCCTTTAACTCTCCTTGGCTTGAACTTCGAGCGAGTTCTCCACCGTTGGAGTATTCACCACCTTGTATTGAACTGTCGGTTGGGAGAGTTCCAGTGGCCTGTTGATGGCACAGGACCTCTTGGAAGTGAACATGCCTAGGTGGCACATCTGACCCAACCTTCGAGGTATCGTTTACTACCGGCCCCTGCCCAAAGGCTCGAAGCAAGTCCCTTACTAAACCTTCAATCTTACGGTTCCGCAGCGGCTTATCGGCGTCATCTTCCTCGTCGCTTTCGTCATCTCTCCCTTTCTTAGGGTAGAGTAGCAAAAGACTCTGAAGCACCGTCTCCTGTTGTGACAAAATAGGCTTGATAATGGTTAGCTCATCCTGGATGTCCATAATCTCAATGAGAAGCTTTGTCTCCTCGTCAAGGCGTAAGAGGGACTCGATTTCTTTCTTCTTCTTTTTTGGACTGAGGTTTCCCTTCTCTAATCGAGTGGTAATTCGACGAAACTCGTCAAAAAGGAGGTTCTGCTTCTCAGACACACTGTTGATGGAACCTCTGAAGCAATCCTCAAAACGAAACCCCGCAGGCCCCTTCCGCTTGCAAAAGTCAAGGCTTGTTCTGAGAATCAGGCGGAGCAGGTGTTCGGCCGAGCGGATGAGTGGTCTTTCTTTGTTGCCTCCAAGCTCGGCCATTAGGGCCTTCATGAGATCGTAAGACTCGTCTCCATTCCATGTGGTTGGAAAGCTCGTGATGACGGTCCCTTTGATCAGGGTCAGTAGGCTATACCATGTAGCGTGTTGGCAGACGTACCTTTATAGAGAATCCACACCCACAGCTGATCAACCATGATGATGGGTCTGTCCTTGGCCTTGTCGCATGCCTTTGTGTCCTTGGCCCATTTATAAGCAACCTGACTCTTGTCTCTTGTCTCAGTCGAGCTTAGCATGTAATAAGAAAACTGATCCAGCGTGCGGCGACAATGCACAGGCTTGGGCGAACGTAAGTAGCCGTCTAACAGAAGCGATTGATTGCTAGCAGGCATGACATTCCGAAGCAGTTTGGCAGCATCCTTGAACGGGCTACTGGACGTGGAATAATATGAAGAAGAGACTTCGCTTCTTCTCTTAGCATGCCTTGAAGGCGACGACTTGGATGCTGCAGCCTCTGAAATTACTTTGTCTTGCTGTGAGGTTTTCAATTCACCGGAAGCATTCGAGATGGCGTCGCTGAGATACTTGCGGTGCCGGTGACATTCGAAGCCGAAAATGGGTAGCTACCAAGAGTCAGCATGTCTGTTTCTCGCCCAAGACTCGATGGTCCACCAGACTTACAAAAATCACGATGGCATCAGACTCCTTTGACTCGGACACACTAGATTGGCTAGACCCCAATTTATCAACAGCGGCAACATCTCCAGGACCCAAGGTAAGCGTAATTCCACTTTCTGAAGAGCTTCCTCGTCGGACTGCGTTCGGCCTTTCAGTGGACTGCGTCTTTTCAGGGAGTCCATGGGAATGTTTATATCTCTTGGCTTGCGGCATCATGTAACGATCGATCACAGGAGAACCTGGAGTTGTCAGTAAGAGACTTCATGGTACACGTTTGGACAGCCATGACCGAGGGTGCGGGACTTTGAGAGCACTCTGTACAAGAACAAACTGACCTTGATGGCGCTGACCACCCATGGAACCGTCCTGGATACCTGAACTGATCAATAGGTCCTAGTGAGAATAAGCCAACTGGTTGATCAACGCACAGGCTATGGAAAAACAGGTACGTACATGGACCCATTGCTCCTAATAGGTATGACAGTCAGCGTTTCTGCGACTTGGAATGTTGTGCAGGGACACTTACATTGTTGGCAGGTAAATGCACCCAACGACACAATGCCTTCTCTCTCGCTAGGCTGTCTGGCCGCGACATGTCGAGCGTACGGGTTACCCCGAGATCCCCGCTGTAGATTACGTCTGTCACAGTTGCAAAGTCCCAATTGAACTTTTCAGACCACTTTGACCCACGGCGTTTCGTTTGCATGAATATCTCCAACAGGAACATGTCAAAGACATCGCATGCCGAGGCCTGTGTCGAGCCAGGCTCGGGATTGGTGACTCTCTCTAACACGTGATTCATCGTTAACGAGTTCCCTACGATCAAGTTTTTCCTCAACCGCTTGATCCATGCATTCTCAAGTCCAGTTGCGTAGTGCCAGGGGGAGTTGCCGAGAATATCCTTGTCATCCACTTGCAAGCCCGTGTTAGCCTTCACAAGTAGCTTGATTATCTGCGTGAAGACGGCCTTCTTGGCGTCTTTTTCCTGGACTGCCTGGCGAATGGCCGTCGTCAGAGGGGATCTCCCGTTGTTGTCCTTTTCTGTAAGCGACGCCTTGCCTTTGTAGACAAGATTCTTGACAGCGCTTGAATTGCCTGCTTCCACCGCGAGGTGTAGCGGGGTCAAGCCTTTTTGGTCTTTGAGATTGACCGGAAATCGTTCCTTGGAAAGATCTGGATGACGCGCTCGCAGTACTGTGGATTGTGCGGTGCAGTGCTTGACGAGGATAGAACGCTTAATAATCTCGACCAGAGACTTGAAGTCCTCATCCTCATTCCCGTCGAATCTGCTAAGGCGGTGGGATGTTCTGGATCTTCTCTCTAGCAACATCACTGACGGGTGTTTGGGGACAATTGCTTGTCGGTGGGTAGTTAGTAAGCGTGGTAATAATTGAAGTGAGCTCTGGTAAGGCACTACTGACCCTGTCACCCTCTTTCACTGGGAGGTAGTGCCATGCTAGGCAAATCTGATTTGCCGAGGCGGTGCTTGAGAATGTGTTCCACAGATAAGAACCGTCGATCTTTCTGCTGTCTGAGGCCTTGATCAAGCCCAAATCGCCGTTATCGCTGCTTCCAAACCAGTCGTCTGTCCAGGTTCTGTTTGATAATTGGCTACGACTGCGCGGGTACAGCTCGAGATCTGAGGATTTGCTAGGAGAAGGCGCATCCATCAGAAGCACGCCAGCAACTAAGCCGAGATGTATACTTGATTTGGTGTCATCCGTCTCCGCCAGTCGAAGTTTGACGACGGCCCGCTGAGCAATAAGCGCGCCAAACCCAAGGCCTATGAAGACGATAGGCACCTCTGCGAACCCAGTTTCACCCGGAGGTCGCAGTTGTGCGAGACGTTCGAGCAGGTCCGCCGCTTTCTCGTCGAGATATTTGAATGGTCCGTTGGAGGCGGTCTCTATGTCAGAGTACGTGTAGCACAGAACTCGGGCACGCTGAATCTCTGCTGGCAGCATGTGGGGGTCGGTCAGCCAGTTGACACGTCTTTCTGTCCCACGATCGGAAGATGGCCTATCTGTCGACGGTTTGTTTGGGGCACCAGCATCAGTGACGTTTACCGGCCCTTGGTTCGAAGTATCTGGCTTGCTAACCGGCGCATCTTGTGGCTGCTCATCTTGGTCTCGCGGCGAGATCGGACGTTTGGACATCTGTTGACTTTCCAACCTGGTCTCAGCTTCAGCATCATCAGTACCTCCAATGTCTGTCTCCGGAACCGTTGGGAGCCATGATAAGACAGTTGACTGGACCATTTCATATCTCCCTCGCCGTTGACCAGGCGCAGGGCTACCATCGCTACCCAGTTTGCGGGCTTCATCAAGGCTTGTCTTGAGAATTGATGTCGTGTTCACCAAGCGCCGGGGGTCGTTCTGGCGTCGCTTAAGCTTTTTACGATGAACCCAGGCCGTTTCCAGTGCTTCGCCAATGTCGTGGATTGCAATGATGTCGACGCACGGCATATAATGGTTGCCTGTCGGGTAGGAGACATGAAGTTCCGAGAACGGCTATAGGCGTTAGTTAGTAATGCATTTCGCGTCTGATTTAGTCTCAGTTGCTCACCCTAAGAATACTGGTCACAGCATTCCCGAACTCCTGTGTCTTGTTGATGGCGCTGGGATTGGTTTGGTTTGCCTCTCCCTGAGTGGGTGCACCTGGATCCTGGGGGTTATCAGGAGTCTTTGGTGTTTTCTGCAGATTGAGGCGCTCGCGAATCCTTGCCGGTATGGATTGGTTAGCTGGCAGTGGCCTGGAGTCGTCAACGCTGCCTGATTCCAAGGGATTCGCGTTTTGCATGGGCCCCTCGCTTGTGGTCGTCATCGCTGGACAGGCGGTTTAGCTGAACCCCAACAACGCTGCGAAGAAATCAGCTTTCGTGCGACTACCATGACCGCTGGATGGCGAATATATGTTCTAATCTTGCCCTGAGCCGTTATGGACAGGACCCTGTCCTCATGGAATGAGCAGCAGGCGTTCGTGGCGTTCCATTGACGGCTTGGGGGTCATGAAATGGGCTGAAACGCGATTCAATTGGTCCAAGAAAAACGTCAATGAAACGCATATTGGGAACACTGCATTTGGTGTTGTCGAATTCAGCTATGATGAGCTGAAAACCGCGCAAAGGTTCGCAGAGCCTTGCTATCGGAGTGCTTTGATTTGTGTGCGCTTGATGCGGGTGGCATGACTCAAGGGGTCCCAGCTGCATGTTGCGTCTGCATGTTCGGCATGTTTTTGTGGTACGCTGTCATACTTGTTGCTGGTTCGGGGCGGAAGAGTGAGGCTGGAGGGAAATCGCCCATGCTTTGAACTCGTTGATCATTTGGAAGTCAGCAAAAGTATAATGAGGGAACCCACCCTAAGAGAAAGGCGGCGGGCCGCAATGGAGAATAAGGTTCTCATCCTGGTGGGACACGATATCCCACCCACCACCCTCTCGTTTCCGTTTCTTGATTACGTTATTACGTTGCTCGACCCGAGCTTCTGGGCAGCTGTTCTCTGCACCCCTGCGCAGGTTGTTCCGGGAAAAGGTGCCCTTCGCCTGCATTGATCAAGACATCAATCGACGTTAGTTGGGTTCCATGTTTTTGGGTGACCGATTGAACACAGATTTCAGCTTATGGCCCTCTCTGAGTTCGGATTCGCCGCAAATATCTCCATAATGCCTAGCTTAGTTAGGAGCTCAAACCGAGTAGCATTGGACCCCTACGAAGAATGCATCGGGTATGTATTCACGATGATGGACTTGCCAAACGGAGCAGACTTACCTGAAGAAGCTCAATCAGCGCTTGCCATCTCTCGGTGAAAGAAGTCATAGACCTGGTAGTGCAACCCTCTGTGGGCCTTCAGCACCCCGATCCCACCGCGAGACATCCTGATCACAGCCAGCTAAAAAACAGTGTCAACATTTCGCCGCCTTGAAAGGGACCTCGACGACGGTTCTCTTCTTTTTCTACGTACCAAAGTACCATAGGCTGCAAACTCGACTTGGTCCGGATGACGCTCACAGATCCCCTTGCTCGGAAAGCTTTCTTCGCCAGGATACAGGCAGTGGTGAGAACTCCCCAGAGAAGCTTCTTCTTCTCCTCCTTCGCTTGGTCCGCGGAAGGGATAGCGGTCCTGTTTGATAACCAATGGAATGATCCAGGCCTTTGGAACCGAACGGGCTGTAGACTCTCAACCCACTTGGCTTGGTAATTCTTCTTGGATTCGGGGTAATCAGCTGCAATGATATCGTAGAGCTGTTTTTTGAGAGCTTACTTTTCGGCATCCGATGTTGCGATATTGTCCTTGTTCCGGTCACCGTTGTAGATGTTGGACGCTTCGATCATGAGAGACCAGAATCGTCCTCGTTCTTGATGAAGCCGCCGCGCTCTCGGTCGGTCGGCAAAAGCAATACTCAGAAGTCACATCATTTTGAATTCATTGATAGAATACAGCAACCTCTTCCAGCTCCCTCCTATCTATATGTCTCCTGTTTTCGGCTAACAATTGGTAAATACGAGACCCTTAAACCCGGGAAGGACCAGTTTATCTACTGCCTCAGACACATCACTTAAAACTCCACGAAGTAAAAGAAGAAAGACCAAAGAAAAGCAATGCCAACGTCTTATTGGGTTGTTTCCCCAAGCAACTAGGCACCTACGCGACCATTAGATGGGGAGAATCCCGCAAGACAAGGTATCGCCTTTCAGAGAGAAAAACTGTCCAAACCTCGGGAGCTTCTTGAGATACGATAGAGGAATATAATCAAGGTACTTGGGCCCACCAGTTGCCATAGTCCAAATCTTGTGAACCATCGTGCCGATCGCTGTCCTCGGCGGGGTCTTCGTAGATGGGATCAGCTCTAGGGTCTGAATTCAAATCAGGATCCAAGATGTTGAAATCAATGACGTTGAGGCCAAAGGGATTCGGGATATCATCAACGGAGAACCTGGTCCCAAACATATCGAGGTTGGCGGGATCGAAACCGGCAGGATTGTAGTCGATGTTGCCGGACACTGAGATTGATTGTTGATCAAATCGGGCTGTTGCGAGTGGGATACAGTGCCATCGGCCGTAGCTGTATCAAGTGGAGTGTCATTAGTTGGCAGCAACATAATGGTTGACGGGGGCACCGAAACGACCAGGAGAGTTGGCAGCGATGTTATTGTCAACATGCGCGGCCAAATGATTAAGCGGGTTGGCACCAGATTGGACAGTACCACTCGCAGCGAATTGGTTAGAGATACCAGGAAGAGAATTGGTATCGATGGTTCTGTCGTGAGCGTTTTCCGGACCAGAATGAGGATGCTGATTGAACCTCGCATGGCGGCTAGGACGTGGATTGTACCCACAGAATCCTGGTGGTTGAAGTTACCTCCGGGAATTGAGCGATCGACGGAATTCAGGCCAAAGCTTTGCTGATGGTTGATGACCATACGCAAGTTGTTCAAAAGGTCACTGATCGTTTCCAAAGTATTCATCCAACCCGGTGAACTGGTCACCACGAGATATGTAGTTTAGATTGTAATAATTGTAGTTTAGATCATCTTAATCGGCGACAGGTGGTCCCAAATGGTCCGTAGGGTTAGGAGTTGACATCGCAACCTGATCCGTGAAATCCGAAGACACCTGTTCATCAATGGTCAGGTTCTTTGAGTGTGTGATTTGTGTAATCGAATGCCATTATCAGTGAGGTCGTGCGATGAAGTCGCTGTCCTGCGAAGAAGATGGTGCCTTGGGAGAGAGAGAAGTGTTCAGAGAAAGCTTAACAGAAAGGCAGCGGGAGTGAGAGAAGACGACCTGGGAGTGAGGGCTCTGAGAGAAAATAGATCTTACAAAAGTGGCCCTTCGACGCCGACAGTGCTGTTCATACTGTCCGACCAATGTGGGTTAGGTACGTCTTATTAAGAGCAAAAGTAACCACTCTGCGCTTGAGTGACCTACTGTTGAGAAGAAAAATACCAATGAAGGAGTTGGAGCAGAAAACTCTCCCGAATTAAATTGCAAAAGGACCGTAGCCTTGTGATAAATCCGAGAATGACCAAAGGAATAACATCAATTTTCAATAGCAAAACTACCATCAGATAAATTGCAATATATACTGTCGCTCAAGGTTTGGAACATAAAATTAAGTGAACCACAATAACGCAGGTAAAGCATTGAGCATATACCCAATGGAGCAAGACCGCAACTTGAACTGGAGGTGGAATGGCAAGAAACCTTGGTACCTTGTCTGAAGACCTCATGCATGGCAAGTGTCCTGTTTGAACATCACGGCACTAGTCATAAGCATGATTATCTACTGTAATCACGCAAGTAATGGGGTATATGAGCCATAGTACAGTGAGACACTCAAACACGGAGGAATATAGCCCTGCTCATCAGGCGTGCCATCGAGCAACCGGATGATCACCCTGAACACAGCAGTAGATGACATACTCAAACAGTATTCTGCTAGATCCTCCAGAAGATCTTGATCTATGACCCATATAGCTGTTATTTTGGCAAACGTGTTTTGGGAGGTTGCTTATCTAGCAAAGGCAAACTAGTTGGTTGTTACCCCTATCACCCCTGAGTGCGTTGTTGTCCAGCGCAACACCCCGAGGTCCAACCGGAAACAACCACATCTCCCCCACCTTTGCCAAACTTTAATTCAACCACAACTGTCATTCCTCAACCAGCCATGACACAGAAATGGTGTCTGACCTCCCAGGCGCACTCCATAGTCTCCCAGTTGCGCCAAAGTGAGCACACCACTGGCATAACCGCCAAGCGCAACCCAGCATCTACACCCCAGGTGAGGTGAAGCTCATCAATTGTGGCGCCGCCACTCCGTTTCCTCCACATCAGAGCTGCACAAATGGCCGCGAATACGTCTCTCCCCCTGCTCCCTCTCAACGCCCGAGATCATGTCAGCGTTCGTGGTCCTTGTATCTTAGCCGGCCGAGTATCTGTGTCTCTCATCGTTGCGTTCGAACCAGGCTGCTGGGGTTGGAAGGACTGACCAATCAGATCATGGACTGCCTCCCAATCGGGCAGGCGATAGTGGGGTACGCTGAGACATGGCTCTTGGCCTCGAACTACCTCACCATCGTCAATGCTCTGTGGAGATCTCCATGAGAGAGAGATGTGTCAAGCTGGGTATCCAGGATTGTCGCACTTTGTTCCCATCGTGTGCGGAGGATTTGCGATATTGTTTGCCCTTGATGATCCCGGCGCCTGCACAGGGACTTGTTTGTCCTATGCCCTCTGGATGCAGATACCAATGACTAGTGGCCGCTTTACGTTGAAGCCTTCATTGTTTGATCGAACTTCAGGGTACTTTGATCTCTGAAATCCATCCCAGACTCGTTCGAGTTCGTTTCGGTTGTTTAGGCATTAACGCCTTTTGACATGTCATTGAATTGTCAGTATTGCTCCTAATACTGTTTGGTTTACTCTGGTGTTGACCGCGCTTTTGAACAGTATCCCACTCCCCCATAAAAGGCTATCAGACGTGGCACACATGCTCCCCGTGCGATACCAGATCTGAGATGACAGACGGTTGTTCCGCGATAGAAGTGGGCAATGCTGTTAGGGTTGATACTATTCTGGAGTTAAGTTAGAGACGGAATTATAAATTTTGGGTAAGCCAGTCAGTCTTACTAGAGGCTTTAGGGGCTTCCCGTTCCCAAATGCTGTACCCAGTGTTTCATGACACGGGTCGTGAACTTGGAAAGGGTCGACAAGAAGTCGGACAACCCTAAAGGACCGCTCCGTTCAATTGGGTCATGATGTTCTTAAGATGTCAGCCACAAATATGACCTTGCAGGAGTGGATAGCTTACCTTGTGTAATGTCAAGAGTTCCAAATCAGGATCACGTTAGGGTTTGGAGGAAGATTTATCACTATTGCACTTGGTGCCCAACTTGTTTGATGCCTGGTCCGTTATATTACGTTAGGTGTAATTGCTCAAGAAAGAAGACTCCCTGTGTTCGGAGAGTTGGGATTGATTGTCAGTCGACCCCTCACAGGAAATGGCAAAATGTCGCGACTGAGCCGCCAAACGATTTTCTTTTGCACTCCGAGCACCAGGACCGCACACAGCGCTGCCGCCTAGCAAGACGACAATTGGTTTCTTAGATGACATTGTCGTGTAGAGCCTGACTTTTAAGATAGCCGGTGTAATCGAGAAGTCGTAGGTGGGTTGGGAGGTAATGTCGACAAATACTCGAAGAAAAACCCAAACGGCGGAGAAGCCGCAGTGGCCTGCAATCTTCCCCTATTACTAGGCCGCACGTTTCAGGCATCATCGACCTTGCCGTTGTCTCCTGCCGCTTCTCTAGCCAAGGGTTTCCGCCGATCATGACCAGTTGGCCAATCTATCCCCATGGCCTTTGACAGTTGCCGGGAAGGTGACGGACATGACTTGATGCCGGTGCCCAGTCAGGTCCTGATCTTCAAATTTCACTCCCTGTGATATATGATGCTGAAAAAGGTCTTGCAATTCCCATCCACATCGCGGATAGGTGGTCTCGGCTTCTCAACTGACATCAGTCTCATCTCGGACGCATTCTCCTCGACTTATTGCTTAATGCCAGGTTGCATCTTGTTTGTACAGCATCTAAATCAAACGCCATTACCTACTCAGCTCATTTCATCAACTTGATAACAACCCAGCTGGTTTACCAGACAAGGAACCACCCTCCATCAGGGTATTCATCTGTACCTCTGAGTCGTTGGCTGGATTCATCGCCATCACTCTGACTCTTGTTCCTTATACCGTCAGTTTCTCTGCCGTCCGAGTCAACCAAGTACACAGTCGGCATCTTAAGTCTCCGCCACCTCCATCTTCGTTTGTGTCTCTCCATAGGAAAAAAGTATTCCTGGCATCTGGAGCTTTTCTCCCATGGAAGGAGGCCAGCAGCAGGACAGGCCATCCCCCCACTCGTCAGGATGGGTATACCTCTTAATGCCCGATTCATTGAGATTTGACGGGCTCTTTCTTACAGCTTACCTTGAACCTCCAGCATGCCACCAGGAACTGCTCCTAGCCTCCTCTTCCCCGAGTAATGTTGCGAGAGAAAAGCCGGGAATCAGCAATGACGAGAATTCGACCAAGATCCTACCATCGCAGCAGCAGCCGCCCTGTTTCAAGTTAGCGATGCCGAGTCCTCGTCGCAAAAAATCAACACCAAATCAATAGAAACAGTCGTCAACAAAGTGAAAAGCCAAACGCCAAGCAAGTAGACAAATAAAAAAAGGGTATCTTCGGGCTTCGCTGAAAAATAGTAAAAATAAAGCAAAGGACAATAGGAGAAAGACCAAAGGAGAAGAAGAGAAAGGCCGGCTTTGGTGTCTTCTCCAGCTCTAGGGGAGAAAAAAGAGATGGAATAGTTTGAGTGTCTTCCCCAACTCTGAGCCGACCTGACCATTCAGTTTGAAGAGCAGTGGAAGTATTCCCAACACCTCGAAGGGTTCATTCCGGATCTTCCTCGCTGCATCCGGTGCCCCGCCCTACACGCTGCAATCCCGGGGGACCGGCATTTCCAGCACATCTGGTCGGGTCTTGCAATCCGGTCAGTGGCTTTCGTTTGCGCGACGTGGATCTGACACACTCGGGATGTTATGTGTTGCCTCTGCTCATCACCCATCCACCGAAACCCAACATCAGGTAGAAGCTGTCAACGGCACAACGCCAACCATCAGACGCTCAACCCCCACTGCGGTTGGTCCGCTTCGCGATCAACGCCTTCGCCAACATCGATCGAACCCGAGTTCTCTCCGCAAGCCACTTCCTCCAGTTCATTCCACCAAAGCCGTTTCAATGTCACAGAGTCATCACTCGCATCTAGATTCAAGCCCCCAAACCTAAACTCACAACTGCCACCCGTCCAGTCTTTGCTCGAATCAATCTCTCCACGTGGGTCGTGGGAAAGGGTGTGATGATGTTCAGGGGTCCACACTCAGTGGAACCTCGAAAGCAGAAAACGGCCGGCAGGGTTCAACTCAACGACGTCAAATAGTGGAGTCGCCGGGAACAAGAGGGGTAAGGGGTCCTGCGTTTGGCCCTTATGCACTCAACCCTCGAACCGAGCATCGATTGATGAGACAACTACTTGGAGGACGAGACAGAAAAAGGCGCGCATACCGTTCGTCGTTTCTCTGGTCATTTTCTGCAAACAACTGGGCTTGTTATTCCCAAATATGTCTGATTTGTAACAAGCCCGCCCCGAAAGCATCTGCCGGGTCCTCGGGTCGAAGTCTCCATGAGGCGCCAAGACATTCCAGTCTCTTCGCCAGTGGGGGCCAACAGTCATCCAACCGCCCTGTTCTCCACGGAATGATGGAAGGGTCCACGGGGTCTCTCTTGATCAAATATCCACCCACGATGTTTCCTCGCTAGCGTCTCCCGGTGCCGTCATGTTTCCAGACAAACTCCGATGCAGGGGAAGTTCCGGAGCAAAACTACAAGTAGCAGTCTCTTCCCTCTCTCCTCAACAACTTCCGATTCTGTTAATAATACCCGCCTACCACCACGGCACACACTCACATCGCAGCACACTATTGGAAGGGAAACGTACATACACCTTACATATATCATCAATAAACACTTCCCCTCTCTCACATACCCACCCGCATCTTGCGTGATATACTTTTCTCAGAATTGGTGGGGGTGACTACTCACATACACAAATACAAACCCATCCGATCGATCGGACCGAGCAATACCAGCTCCTATTTATCATTCACAACAACCGCCACACAATTATCAATCTCCCCACCAGGGTCGACATCACCATGTTCAACCTCGAAACAACCATGCCTCTCCACCCCTCCTCCAAAACTCTCCGTCCACCATCCCGACCAATCTCTCGACGACCATCCCTCAACACCGCTCCCACAACCATGAGCACCACAACCGCCACCACCACCACCACCCGCAAAACCCACCCTTCCACCCTCTCAAGGCAACAATCCTCCACCCTCCAAAGAAACCAACAATCCTCCGACCTCCTCATCACCACCATCTCCCCCCTAGTCCACACAATCCACCACTTTCAACAACTCGCCTACCACCTCTGCCTCAACACCCTCTTCGCCTTATCCATCCTCGCCTCCGCCTCCTTTGTCGCAAGCAAGGCCGTCGCCTACCGCTCTTTTCTCCTTTCCAAAATCTTGGCAGAGAGCGGTGTGCTAGCGGGCAGGTGGGTCTACGCCAAAGTCTGGAACGGGCAGAGGTCAAGGCTGTTCAGAAAGAGGCTCGAGTTTGAGATTTTTGTATTGCTGTTTGGGTCGGGGAACACTATCTTGCTGTTGGTCCTGTGGCCGGGGTGGATTGTGCTTGGATTGGCGGGCGTGGGGTGGTGGTTGGTTAACGGTTGAGGGAAGAAGAAAAGCTCACGACTTAAAACCCAGCAAGATAGAAGCTGGGATTCAGCACGTCGATTAGTATCGAGAGAGATCTGATCCTTTCAACCAACAAACGACCCGGCCCTGGCGGTAGAGGTTTGCTGTGATGGTATCATCCATCCCCGCCAATCCCAATTGTCACCGGGAACCTGCTTGCGGATACTGTCAATCGGGACTTCATTTCGTCCCCGAAAAGAAAAAGGCATTTCCACCAGTGTCCCGCTGGATCTCCTTGGAGTAATCCACGTCAGGATCAAACTCCTGCCACACACTCGCCGGGTAGATGTGCTTGTTGCGCTGGTACCACCTCCGATCAACAACCTTTGTCCACTCTGGATCATCACCCGCCCCCTCCAGCGTTCTGATATTCCCACCAGCCTTCAGAACGCCACCACTTGCAGTCGCAGCAGCAGCAGCACCGTCCCCGGCAGGAAGAGGAGCCTCAGCTCTGTACTCAAACAATCTCTTCCCTTTTGGGCCGAGAGTCTTGTTCATAATGAAGAAGTAGAAGTCGTAATGCTAACATTAAATGTCAATAACCTTGTCTCATGACCCTTGCGAAGTGAACTTACATGAGGAATAATAACCCCCCTCCTCACCAACATCAAATCATCCACCCCAACCCTCGCCCAATCCCTCCTCGCATTAGCATTCTTATCCCCTCCCACTCCCAACTCTGCCCCCACCTTCCTGCTCTTGTCCAAGAAAAGCCAGATGTGATCCCCCTTTTTCACCCGGACAACACCCCCGGGGATGTTTGTGCCATCGTAGAAGACAAACGGGATCGCAATTTCCGTCTGCTTCACCGCCGCCTGTAAGATCAGGAACTCCTTCCTCAGGGCGTCCTTTTCAGCTTGTTCCTTTAATCTTGCTGCCTTGGTCAGGGCTTTGGGGATGACGGGGGCGGAGGTGTTGACTATTTTCTTCGTGTCACTCTCGCTCTCGGGGGTCGGGTTTTTCGACTTGGGTTTTGTTGTTTGTGGCCCATCCTCCTCTTGATTGTTTTCCTCATCGTCATCTCCGAATGACACCAACGCCTTGACCGCGCGCTTGGTGGTGGTTTTCTTTTTCCTTTTCGGGGGAGGTTGGTGGTGGCGGCGGTCGGTTTCGCTCTCACTAGGGACGGGGACGGCGGCGGCGGGGGTGCCGGTTTGGGATCTGTTGGGGGGTGTTAGGACGTTGCTGTTGTTATTCGCGCGGGTGATGGCGGCGGCGGCTTCGCGGGCTTCGCGCTCTTGCTGCTCGAGGACTTCGGCGCGACGTTTGCGGAAGTCGGCCAGGCCGACGAGGCCGACGGTTGTGTGGGAGAGGCGCTCGTTGGTTGTTTGGTTTTGGGCGGTGAAGCGGGAGGTGGTGGGGGTTTGGTCGGACATTTTTTGGGTGGGTGTGTTGTTGTCTTGTCAATTGAAGAGAGAGAGTTGATGAGGATGACGTCGCGGGGCGGGCTTTGGCAGCGTTGAATATGCTTGTGGTTGCGAAGAAGCGCTATGGAAGATTCCGCGAAACTCACGGCGGGTGTCGCGATAAATACCCGACTACACTGGCGGAAATAGTGGGGCACGCGAAGGCCAAAAGTTGTGTGTAAACCTCCAGAAACTCATTTTCCTCTCCAGCCACGTTGTCGCAGACGACCTGCTCCTATCCCAAATCTTTCAATTTTCCCTGCAAAAAGCCCGCCAAGCTCTCAAACATAACGGCGTCATGTCCTTCCCGCCAATGCACTGTTACTGTTGTCGTGGAGACGCCCATCTCAACGGCAACGTCAAACCCCAGCCGGCATTGCACTGGATCAGATCCCGGCGCGGCTGAACTCAACACGGAGAAGCTTGTGGATTGGTCTCGCATTTTCTTCCGCCTCGATGCCCGGCTCCAGACATTTTCTCTTGTCCTCCCTGTTCCCTTTCTGGCGTCTGTGTCCCAGTTCCACGACAGTAGCTCCAATGACCGCATAACCTCGTTAATCCTCGTGATGGCGTGGTCAATTGATCTCCACGGATGCAGACTCAAAACCTCAATTGCCAAAACTGGCGGCGAGACTTTCTTCCAGCCGCTGGTCTTCACCCTGGCAACATGTTCTGCTGGTCTCATTGGCCCGAAACTCCACCCAAGCGCCCATCGTCTGGTCTTGTTCCCTTGTATGAACTCGGTGATGGCGTAGTTGTCTATTCCATTGGCCTTGAGCTTGTCAACCAAAGTCTCGACACTGCTAGCTTTGCCTAGCATGGAGGTGTACCACTGAACCTCCTCTTTCAGCACCAGAGACTCTTCTAACATCCGACTGATGTGAGCAATTTCGCCACCCTCACAAACCATCTCGACAGGTGCGCCAGTGCAAGCCGAATGTGGCGGACGTACTTTACTTTGCGCCGAAGAGAGCATATCGTCCTTAGACTCGTAAAAAGGAGGGTTCATCATGGTGAAATCGATGTGGATGACCTTCTCGCTTTCTCTGCCACGGAGAGGAATCAGGGTGTCTTCTGGTTGGCGCCCCAACACAGTAATTCGGTCTTCAAGATGGTTCAACGCGACATTTTCCCTTGCATATTGCAAAGACTTCTCATCGATGTCTGGTTGGTGTTAGCTGGCAATGGTAACCATGCTCACCAACATGAACAGCACGTACCGGTTGCAACAAAACGCCACGATGGGCGCTGGGTCGTCCCCAGCAAGGGGTAGATACAGCTTGCGCCTGTTCCAATGTCGAGCCCGCAGGCTGGTCGGCCTGGTGGCTCGTACGACGAGGTGTCCACCAATTCCTTAAGCCATAAAATGTAGTTGTGTCGATTTGGCACCTATGACTTTGTCAGCGAGAATCGACACTGTGTCTGAGGGGCGAAAGCCTACTGGAGGGCACAGTCTGTCATCGGGCAGCTCTAGCTTCAGGTTGAAGTCGAGTGACAGCAGCGTCTTGGTGAGCTGCATGACCGCCTTTGGCTCGGTGAAATCGAGATGGCCATTTTCTTGGAGTCTGGAGTCACATCATCAGCCAGTGCTATGGTAAGGTGGAAGGTATAGACACAAACATACACAGCAGCAAAGTCTACATCTTTCTCGGCGAGTTGTTTGAAGTCGAGCTCACGATCATACAGGTGCCGAAAGTGAGCATCATCTGAAGCCGCTACGTTGAGGGACTGTTGAGATGCAGGAGCTGCTTGGGACTTGCGACCGGGTTGTTCCAGATCATCCAGTACCTTCCTCTTTTTGCTCGACATTTGGATAGATGGTGGCTTGGGATTCTTGCATATTAGATGCAGCTTGTTTGGTCGAGGTCTTTGGCTGGTGATGTCTGCTGTGTTGCATCTGGGAACTGCAGTGGGGCGAGGAATTGACCAATCAGATCACGTGCCCAGGCTGCCATCACCGACCGATATCTTTTGGCGAAGACCTGCCCTGAAAAATGCAACTCCTTCTTTGTGTTCTCTTTTCCATCTCTCTTTCTTCCAGCTTCAGATCACAAAATGGATACACCGGTCCTCCAACTTTCTCAATGTTGGGTCTATCGCCTCGTCTCAATACAACGGCATCCCTAACGGTGGTATCTGCAACCCTAACCTTCTCTTTCGACCCCTCAGTTCAATGCGACGGCAGCACGGTTTCGCTGCTTCAACCCGCCCCCAACAGTAACAGCCCGGTCTTGCACAACATGCAAAATTAATGAGCACCCGGCAGTTCCCCGTCATGGTGTGATATCCTTCATCGACTTCATACGAGTGCTGTGGTAGTGTTGGTACGGGATCCTTGCCCAATCTATCGAGTTCGTGGTACTCGCCAGGTCAGCCTGTGTTTCGGCAAAGCCGTTTCCTCAAAAGTTGCTGTGAAGCGTGGCCGATTTCGGTATGCAGGCAGATACTGCTGTGCACATGGCTGGCTACTTGGTCCCTTCGGTTCAGCCACTGCCGAAGGATGCCGTCTCCATCGCTTTGGGCTTCGGCTCAACTTCTCAACTTGATGTCGACGGCTTACTGAGTCTCCAGCAGCAGCCCACAGAAGCCTGCGACTCGGCACAAGAAATGGTGACATGGATTGCCACGATGTGAATGATGCCGAGTGATCTATTTGACACACCTCGCAACCTATCCGATTCGAGATGTCACCGTATTGGCGCCTTGCCCTTGGACCGACCCTAGCTGCGCCCGGCCTGTTAGCCAGAACAACTGCATGATACGACCACCTCTGGACCGTCTGCCTGAGTGCTCGAGTGGATGAGTCGACATTGCCAACCCTCTGTGCGGCCCCTTTGTGGTTACCTGCTTGGGGAGAAGCGTTTGGCACGCTGCGCAAGCTTCACGTCGTGCCAGCGGGTTGGGACATGGTTGCAACACTAGGCGCGGAACAAATCGCCGGCAGCCCCTCTTCGCCTAGGTCTAATACCCGATTGGCATCACGGTTTCCCACATCATGGTGTTTTTCTGGAAGCCCACTGCTCTCGGATCGTCATCAAAACGACGTCGGCTAACACACAGGGGTACTGAACAGTGTCTCGGTTCTTGTACCTAGTGCCAGCCATTTATGGTGTCGAGGAGAACGCTCGGTGGCCGAATGTGAGACCCTTTGAAGACAAGAAGCAGAAGTGGTGTGGCAGCCCCGACAAAAATCAACAACTTGCAGAGATCTGTGGGCACGCACACGCTCCAGGCAGTTCTCCAGATTTACGAAGGGCGCCAAAACATTCGCTTCAGATATCGCTATCGCCGCCAAATCTCGGATTCTATGGTGGCGACTGGTGATACGCGACAGAGAGGCACCGTTGGCGTCAGCCTTGTTGGTTGCCTTCTCTGCCGGGAGAAACCCATTCTTGGCTGTCATCTTGAGGCTCTGTTCTTTCTCTTTATGGACTTGATGGTGCCTCTCGCCGCACCCCGGCCTGAATTTGTCGATACTCTCGGATCAGTCCGACAGTATGCACGGTTCCAACAGCCGGTTGGCAGGACGTTGTATTCCTTTCAGGCTTTCCACGTGTGGGCACAGAGGCAACAGCTAGGCACTTCATCGGATTTCTGGTCACGAAGCTCAATTTTGTCTTCTCTTCTTTTCGGTAGAGCATCTCTCACTGGCTCTTGGCTTTGGAAGCTGAGATGGCAGGTGGGGTGCTCCAAGCTGCCTTTTGTGCCTTGTCCTTCTGTGACCCCTGTCAGCAGACCCAACATCCCGCAGCGCTCGCCTCGGTGGATGTCACATCATCTCTACAAGTCGATCTGATGGTGTTGCCAATCCTCTGTCTTGTTACCGAAACGAGGCTCTACCCATGCGTACAAAGGCGGCAAAGCAGGCTCCACTCAATCAGGATGCCGCTCTTTGGCACCACCACTCCGTCCCATTTGGAGAAACAATAGCAAACAGTGGCAGCCTCCGGGTCCAATTAGAGAGCAATTTCAGACATGCGATGAGTCTTCTACTGGCTACTAATGCTGGTCAAACCTGCCTTCCATGCGGAGGATGGTGTTCATTGGGTGAACTTGTTTGAAGGTCGGCATTTAAAAGCAAGCGAACACCATGACATGATGCCACCTCGATCCGAGACATGTTGACAGTTTTCTCGAACACCTCGGATTATCAGCCACTGCATTCCCTTATCATCCTGGTCCTCTTTTATACTTTTGGTTGACCAGTGTTCCACACCTTTACGAATCCTTGGCCCCGCCACATCAGCTCTGAAGTATTTATTGCACCCCAAACCCCACGCTTTTGTGGTGGTCTCCGGCCCCGGTCATCTCTCCGTGTGCTACTGCAGACTTGTTCGCCATTGCTTGCAGCACTTCTCGGCTGTCAGCTTGCATCATTCGCCAAAAGAGCTTAGGTATCGATAACCTATCTCTCAACATATCCCACAACGACCGAGACCACCATCAACGTCCAGGTCAGCAAAAGCACTGAATTCTCCATTCTATTAACTCGGAGACCGAGAAAGGAAAAGAGCTCGGACACAGTTCGACCAAACATTGCCGTGGTCTGGGTCAGTCACACACCCTGCTGGACTTGGCACACCACCCGACACCACCAGCGGGCACCCCGGGTCCTCAACCTCGCCGTGCGCTGCCGTTCTACATCTGGAGAAAAAGTACTAAACTTGACTTCCTCAACGTCCCGACGTCTCAACGTCTCACCGACTCCTGCAGACTGTCTTGCCGAACACATCACCCTGCATCACTCTCGTCCGCCATCATCCAGTGAAGTGGCGGCGACTAGCGAGAACGGCAGCATCCTGGTGCCGCTCATCGGACGCACTACATTCTGTCTCTCTTGAACCAAGTAACCCGCTTGCCTTCTCCATAGGTTGCCGGTTTGGAGAACACCTCTCCGTTTGTCGCATCGTCAGATGTCTCCCATCTACTCGGTCGCATTCGCACAGGCTCTGCAGTTGTGTACCGGCGAGTGGGAAGGTATTGGTTCATCTTGACCCGTCTTGTTTCGGGAGCCCACAGTTGGGTCACTGGCTCTTTTGTCCGCCTACTTTTCCGCGCAGTCATCACCATCGTTCTGACCATTGGCAAGGCGACAACAGATCCTCAAATACGGACGCCCCGCGGGTCTAAGCTTCTTTCTTGACCACCCACGTTGCGCCTGCCAGTCGCACAACCTTATTGCAGTACAAGGCGCCTACTCGGTCTGCAGTTTTTCACCACTGAAGTGCTCCTTCTGTGCCCCTCTTGGCCCTCAATACTCCGCACCCACCAGACCAATACCTCAAGGCTTGATCTTCAACCAATCCAACCAATCTGCAACTCAACAACATCATCAGCTCCTTTGCCGTCTTTATTGCGAAGGTATCCTTAGCAATCATGGAAACAGACAAGCACTCGCTTGAGGTGCGCGAGGGGAATCCGCCAGCCCCTGCTAACGGTGAGGAATGCAAGGCCCCAGTCGAAGGCAACCCCAAGGCAGCTGCCACAGACAAGAAAACCGGCGAGCGAGTGGCTGGCAAGCCAAAGGACAAGAAGCAGACCGAGAAGAAGTCGTCGAAAGCCAAGCGGAAGAAGAAGGCTGATGCCTTGCCGTCCTCCGACGAGAGCGCCACCGATGATGACACCAGCGAATCTGACTCCGCCTCGGACCATGACGATAGCTCCTCTGAGTCCGAGAGCGAGTCCAAGAAGAAGCGGGTGACAAAGAAGCGACACGAGGCTAGTAGGTCCAAGAGAAAGTCACGAAGCAAGAAGTCCAAGAAGCCTGTCACATCGGAGGAGTCCTCGTCTTCATCCGGCGAATCTGACTCTGATGCTTCCAAAGCCGAAACCGAGGATTGTTCTGAGGACGAGATGAGCCCACGAGAGGCGGTGAAACAGATGCACCTTCTTGTGGCGCAAGCGCAACAATTGGCGCAGCAGCAGCAACACCTGCCACTCGGTGTGCCCCTGTCTTCATCTCAAGGCATGCAGTTCCAGAGACAGAACGCCATGCCTTATTCTTTTAACCCTTCACGTCAGTATAACAACGACGACTATGACGGCGGTGCGCCCCCGAGCTTCAATCCTCCTCGCAGTTCCAGGAGAGGGCCTCGTTTCGGCCAAACTCCTGGCGGGAGAGGCAACTATGGTCTGGGAGATCTGGACGCCGGCCTTTCTAATCTCCTGGACCCCAACCTTCTCGGCGACGGCAAGCGTCTGACCAAGGACAAAAAGGAGAGAAAGAAGCAGAAGAAGAAGGAGGAGGCGGCAAAGCTCAACTACAAGCGGGTTGACCAGGTTTGGGACAGCTCGATTCACAACTACAAGCTTCAGGACACGGCCGAGGGTTCGGTTGACTCGCAGTATCATGATTTTCTGTTTCATGTGCGCAGAACTTTTGATTGGGAGGGCAAGTATAAGGCTACCATTGTCGACATCAAGAGTAAACTCCTACGCGAGTGCTTGCAGGATGTCATGGGCAATGTTAAAGGCGTGTCATTGGTGGAGAGCACACCCAAGCTGGACCCCAATCTACTTTTTCTGTAAGTTGCCCTTACCTTGCGACTTGATGGAAGTGGCTAACTTGATAATTGTAAGCTATCTCGATGATTTGAAGACGGCTCTGAAGGGCCTTAAACGGCGTACTTGCAAGGGTGCCAAGCGGGATCTTAAGAAGGAGCAGAAGCGTCTGGAGGATAAGCGCAAACACCTGAAGGTCCTGATTAAGTACCTCGACAAGGACTATGCGGAGGTCAAGAAGAGGTGGGCGTCTGAAATCACATTTCTCATTCTCGATAACTAACAGTGGTCAGTCTGTACCCGATGCTGAAGAACGGACTCATCACCTTTGACCTGCTCTGGGCCCTCTGGAAGCCCAACACTCTTGCTTTCGCCCACACCTACAGTTCGCCGGATGAGCCTCGCGTGTTCAAGGTTGAGATCGCAGAGAAACACTCCTCGTTCATGAAAGGCGACTACTATTACTTGGAGGGTAAGTATTTCGAGTACGACGGCAAGCAGTTTGGTTACGGAAGCGTCTCGGAGGAGATTATGGAGTTTAGAGGCGCTCGCAAGATCACCAGCTTGAATTGCTATCCGCTCAGCTACCACAAGAACGAAGCCAGGGTGCGCGAGGAGCTGGTGGAGCGAGGCAAGAAGTTCGTCGGCCTGGCTGGTGTGTACTACAAGAGTCATCAGGGCATGGCGTACTACAAGAAGAAGAAGGGAGTTGTCAAGGTCAATATCAATGGCCGGATCATGGTCGACCCTGCTATTCACAGGAGGATCAATCCCAACTACCCGATTTCGATGGTGCGGCCAAAGGACCACGACAGGTACTCGGACGATGAGTGCTCTGATGAGTCGGACTGTAGTGGATGTGGCTCTGATGACGAGGAGGAAGCGTTCAAGCGCAACGCTCGTCTTTATAGACCCAAGCGGAGCGGCCCTCCTGAGAACAACACGGGGGAGAAGCTGGAAAAGGTTTCGGCGCAGAATGATGAGGTCGGTGAAGAGACCAAAGATGGAGAGGAGGCGGAGAACAAGGAGGTACCGGCAACTGGTTCCAAGGACGCCAAGAAGATCCCCGAGTTCAGCGAGGAGGACTACTTGATTGCCTCTCCCGTGGTGCTTGGGTTCTCGTTTGCGGAAAAGCTGTGGCTTGAGTTTACCGTTTCTGGTGTCAAGGAGATTCAGTGGAACGAAACGGCGTATGACTCGCTGGTGCTCGAGTCCAAGACCAAGGACATAGTCAAGGCGTTGGTCGAGTCTCACAAGTACCATGCGGCCGAGAGTATCGACGATGTCATCCAAGGCAAGGGAAGAGGCCTGGTCGGTGAGTTTTTTCGCTCTCTTTGTAACATGCTGCATATCACTGACGAGCCTATAGCTGTTCTTCATGGTCCGCCTGGTACTGGCAAGACTTTGACAGCCGAGGGCATCTCGGAACTGCTCAAGTGTCCGCTCTACATGGTTTCGGCGGGCGAGCTGGGCACCGATTCTCGCTTCCTCGAGACCGAGTTACAAAAGATTCTCGACATTTGCCACGCCTGGGGCGCCATCCTCCTGCTCGACGAAGCGGACGTCTTCCTCGAGAAGAGGAACATGCACGACATTCACCGCAATGCTTTGGTGTCGATATTCCTCAAGCAGGTTGAATACGTGCAGAACATTCTCATCCTCACTACGAACCGTGTAGAGGTATGTTGCCTGCCCTTGCTGTCGGTTTCTTGCTGACATGATAACACAGACATTTGATGACGCCTTCCAATCCCGCATTCACATTGCCCTTCGCTACGGCAACCTCGAACAAAAGGCCAGGAAGGCCATCTTCAAGATTTTCATCGACCGCGTTCGTGCTCACGAGGGCAGCAAGCTTGGGCCGTTCACCGATAGCGATTACGAAAGTCTTTCCCGGAAGGAGCTGAACGGGAGGCAGATCAAGAACACGGTCAGGACGGCGCAGGCGCTGGCGGTTAACAAGGGCGAGCCCTTGTGTATGAGCCATATCCGGCAGGTCTTGGAGGTACAGGCAAACTTTGACCGGGATCTGAAGGGCGGGACGGGGTATCAGGACGCGATGAGGAGTTATTTTTAAGGGGGGTGGTTGGGTGATGAGAAGCAGCGGTAACAGCGCAGGTTGAGCACACATGGAGATTGGGTTGTTGTACTATTGATTTTTGGTCCTGTGCTTTTGTTTTGTATTGCTTTTGAAAGCAGCAGTCGATACCATTAATTGTAGCAGGGCGCGTTGATTTTCATCTCTCGGTCGGATATCCGGGCCATGGGATCATGGTCAGGACATTTACTCATGCAAGAATGTGCACCTTTCAGGGATAGGGGAACAGTTCCAAAGCTTGTTACTCGGATTCTCGCCAATCATCTCTGATGCTGTCACCAATCGAGATGTAGTGTCGGGCCATCCGAACACCCCGACGGGAAGATTCCTACGTTTGTGCTATTTGCTCTTGGGCCCAGAACCGAACAACAACATACCGTGATACCCAAGGAATGGTATCTGCAATCGCCCCTCCAAAGTGGCATCGTGGAGTTGTCTATGACAATAGTTCTTTTACGTTTGCGTTTACCGATTGGCTCCTTATCCGGCTGCCTACGCTAATGAGCTCCGCGCGATGGAGTCGACGAGATGCCCGCCCCCTGTTGAGTAGAGTGATGCCAAGACCTTTTTGTAAGGGGAGACCGCTTGAATCTTTGGTGGTTTGTTTGTATAAAACCCCCCGCCCCCCCCTTCTGTCTCTCGGAGAGTAAGTTCGATATCAGCTGCACCATCCAATTCAACAGATCGTCAGCAAGCAAGACGAAAATGAAGCTCACCCTCTCAGCCCTCACCGTCGCCCTCGCGGCCCTCCCCGAGCTCGCCTCGGCCGGGTTCGCGGCTTCTTGTTCTTGGTCCTGGCAGGAGCCAAAGTACGTGGTCGCCACTTGCGCCAAGAAGGACGGGACGCCCTGGCGGACGAGGCAGGACATGAATTTGTGTGTGGGGGTTGATCGGTTCACTGGGAGGCTTGTTTCAAGGGATACGTAAGTTTTTTTTTAAAGTTTTTTTCTTGTTTTTTCTTGTTTTTTCTTGTTTTTTCTTGTTTTTTCTTGTTTTTTTTATACCTCTCAAACCCGAAGTGAAGGAAGGCTGATTGGTTGTTGATGAGGAAAAGTGGCAACGCCTTCCTTGAATGCTGGAACACGAGAAAGGACGGCAACACGGACCTCAAGTCTACGTGCTGGAACTGGGACGAGGAGGAGGTGAGGGGGAATTTGAATATTGGTGAGTACCCTCGAAACAACTGTCCTTTTTTCAGGTGATGGATGTGCGGGTGGCTAATTGATGGTTTAGATGCGTACATGCAGAATTTGGATGGGTGGTTGTGGTGCCATGGGCATCGGAGCGCGCCTTATTAGGGGGTAGGTGGGTGATGGGTTGGAACCTATGGAAGAGATGCGTTTGGGCTCGAAGACGCTGGATATATTCTAGGTTACCAGTCGAGATGTCTTCATGATGATGAATGTTACTGCGTTTGACTTGGTGGTGTTGTGACATGGCAGTATGTTTCTGTGCTGGCACATTTCTTCCTTGCAGCGTTGAAATGTCACTCTAATAGTGGAAGCAAGTCATCCTGCAATTGGCCCTCCTGCAAACAAACTGAGGTTCTGCAAACAAAAAAAAATTCCAGAATGGTGTCGTGTTTAGAGAAAAGGGGCCAAAAAAGGGAGTGGTGACCCTAACAAACAAAAACATCGACCAAGCTGGGACTCGAACCCAGAACCTTTACCAGCTGGAGATTTAACCAAAGTTGAAACCGGAAAGTAACGCGCTACCATTGCGCCACTCAGCCTGAATGGTTTTTGAGGTCAATATCACTACCTATGAAAGGTTGAGTGAGGTGAGCAAAACGCCCTGAACTGGCCCCTTTTCCCCTTTTCTCGGACAGGTCATGCACAAATTTGCTAGTTACAGTTTCATATGTATAGTTTTCTGCCACGGCAAGAATGCAGCTTTAATCAATCTACATAGCTGAGGAGTTGAGTCAACAAAATAAGATGCATTCATTCATAAACTTCATACACCAATCCAGGCCAAGTCCCACTAAAAGCCCCTAGACACCCTACTGCTGCCCCTTCTCCCTGGCCAACGCCTCCCTCCTCCCAGTACTATTAGGATCCAAATACGGCTTCTCCCCCAAGCCCACAGCCCTGTTGCCAAACCGCTCCCCATACTCCCCACCAAGGTAATCAAAAGTAGCAGTATGGAACGTGCTCCTGTTGTCCCAAATCGCAATATCATTCTTGTTCTTCCACTGCAGCCTCACAGTCAAGTCATGGTTCTTGTACACCAAGTCCAAAAACCACGTCAACAGCGCCTTGGACTCCTCCTCGGTAACTCCGTTAATGTGCTTGACGTGCCCGCCGACGGGGAAGAGGGACTTCCATCCGGTCACAGGATTGGTCCTGATGACGGGGTGGACAGCCTTGAGCTCGGTGCCAATGTTCTCGGGCGCGCCGCGGGGCTTGTCGTAGAGCTTGAAGCCGGCTGCCTCGGCGACCTTGTTGAAGCCGGGCTGTTGGAAGGTGACGGTCAGGGACTCGAGGAACTTTTGGTAGGGCTCCGAGAGGCGGTCGTAGAGCTCGTAGCCCGAGGCCCAGAGGGTGTCGCCGCCGGTGGTGGGGAGCTCGACGAGGCGGAGGGAGGTGTAGTCCGCGGGGACTGGCTCAAAGGCAATGTCGGAGTGCCATTGGCCTGTGGATTGCTTCTTGGGGGAGAGCTCGTCGGCGATGGCGCCGCGGGCGTAGAACTTCTTGTTTTGGATGGAGGAGATGGTGCTGATCTCCGGGTCGTCGCCGCCGAGCTCACGCTCAGAGTTGAGCAGAGGGTGGATGTGAAGACCGGAGGTGGCGGGGCGGCCGGTGAGCTCGCCGAGGCGAAGGATGAGCTTCTTCTGGAGCTCGTTGGTGAGCTCGTCTTGGGCGCGGAAGAAGACAACGCCACGCTGCGAGATGGTGATGGCAAGCTCGCGGAGGAGGTCGTCTGAGTTGGGGGCGTTGAGCCACTCGACCAGGTTGGCCTTGGGGAACTCCTTGCCAATGACAGGAGTGACCTCGAAGGACTCGAACTGATCAAGCAGGCCGGTCAGCTTGAGGGGAGCCGGTCTCTCGGTGGTGGGGGCGGCGCCCTTGGTGACGATGGGCACCACAGGGGTTTGAGTCTCAATTGCGGAGGGAGCCATTGTGTCTGTTTCTGATGTGTTGGGGATGTGAGGTGATGGTGATGAGGATTTGGACTGTCTGATACACGGAATGCCTCGTCTCTTATACAACCTTCCACCAGCCTCAGATGGTCAACCTCTTTGTTGCCTCGGAGCCAAAAAGTGCATCACGATCCACACCAACATTGCGTGAGGGTGTGCAACCCCGCGCAAAACAGCTGCCATAGTTTGCACCCATAGGCTGGTCAATCAGGTCGTGGACCTCCAGTGTACCGTATCCGTGTCTTGTCGAATCAGCAGCAATGACGAGCTCGCAATAGCGCATTTCGTGATGTCGTCAAGTTAGCGACGCTGTCCGGACTTAACGTGAGCCCAGCCCCGGATGTTGCGATACAACCCAGAGGACAAAGAGACCCGGCGCCGAGGATCATGAAACTGCGGGGTGAGTAGATGACATCCGGCTGCGGCATACTGCATTCCGTGTTCCAGGAATCAGTTGAGGTCGCGCCTTTACCCCCACGTTTCCCTGCCCGAGCCGGCGCCGTAGCCCTAGGAGCAGCCGCAGTCAAGGGTGGAAGCCGGAGATAATGCAAGACGGCGTGTTCTGTCAGTTTAGTAGGCCATGTCGCCATATTGTTCTTTTTTTTTGGTATGGGGAAATCATCTGCTGGCCAATTGGAGCCGAGTTGTTACTAGAGTGTTGCAAACCAGTGGTTTGTATGTCGTCGCGTCAGGGGCCAAGGCGATCACGAATCATCACGCCATCGGATTCCCACCAACCCGCAATACCAACCTCACTGGAAGCTCAGAGATAACTGATTTCAATGCCGAGGCTCCAACGTAGGGTATCAATCTTGGAGATTTCTTATCAGGGGTCATGAAATCAATCAGATTCGAGAGCCGTTGTCGGAGCATCGTCTGAAGGATAGTGGTTACGCTGTGAGGATCTCTCCTCAAGGTATGAACCTCCAGAAGTGCCTGCCTTCGCCACGCCTTGAATATCCGCGTGGGCATTCAAAACCAAATAGTTGCCACTACGGCCTAAGATGGCAGGAAATACCCAGCGTGCTGGGTAGGGTTGAAACAGAGAGTCTAGACCGATGGCTTCGTCTTGTTCTCGACAAGCTTCGCCCAGCTGATAGCCACGTTCTTGTCTGTGGCGCTTCTCGTCCTGGAAACCAGGGGTCCAGATCTCGGTCCTGTTCGTCGTCTGAAGTGCCGTCTCCCGTCCCTACTGTTGGTTGAGGGTGCTGTCAAGACGGGCAAACCGCTTGAACGGGACATTGTAGATGTCGCCATCAGTGTTGAGTGGGGGGCAAGACCCAGCCGGGGGGGTTCGGACGCACCGACAATTGTAGGTAATGTGCAGACCAGTATGCATCGATCTGCTTTCTCCCCGGTACCAATGATCCAGTACCTCCAAACGTGATTCTGCAGGCTGTATTCGCCATGCCATGTACCCGTGAAAGTCGTGATAATTCCCGTGGTGTAACAATCAATATTTCCAGGCCCAGGAGATGGGTATAAAGAGGGCCGTCTCTGGTGATGATACCGAGTGGAAGAAGTGTCGATCCACAGCAGCGGCCAGTCTTGCCTCCTTTGCATCATTTGGTACGAGAGAAGCAAAAAAGACGACACCATGGCGACCGTTCTCACTCGAGGGAAGGCCCTGCCCCGAGCCACTGCACACGGAAGCGATTCTGAGAAGAAGGATTTCGATGCCTCCTCCACATCCGTCGCCTCTATTCCACCTCTAGGGGAGCCCATCGAGCGAAAGAAGCACTTCTGGCAGCGCAGCAAGCCATATGACTCGGAAGCCATCGCAACACTTCCTAGTGTCTTTGACGATCCAGAGACGGCTGAAAAATACCAACCGCCAGCAGAATGGTGATTATGCTCTTGTTGTTTTGTACTTCTTGGAAACTGACGTTATCGTTCAGGGAAAACACCCACCGCTTCGATCCCCTCGCAAGATGGACCTGGGGGGAAGAAAACAAACTGATCCGGAAGATCGATTGGCGCATCATGGTCTGGGCCTGTATCATGTTCATGGCTCTGGAGCTTGACCGTGCCAACATCGGTCAAGCCTTGACGGATAACTTCCTCCCCGAGCTAAAAATGAACACCAACGGTGAGCAAGACTTCGACAGAGACAGCGGGTTCTTTTGCTGACACTCACTCAAGACTACAACCTGGGCAATACTGTCTTCAAGCTTTCCTTCCTCTGCGCAGAATTGCCTTCTCAGCTGGTTTCGAAATGGGTCGGACCCGACCGATGGATTCCAACCCAGATGGTCTTGTGGTCCATCGTTGCTAGCGCCCAGTTCTGGCTTAGTGGTCGTACCTCTTTCCTTGTTTGCCGTGCACTGCTGGGCATGCTTCAGGGCGGCTTCATCCCCGATGTGAGAGACCTTGTCTGCTTCTGCCACTGAGTAACTGCTAACAACTCAACAGATCATCCTCTACCTGTCATACTTTTACAAGCATGCCGAGCTCACCATCCGTCTCGGTTACTTTTGGACCGCAATGAGCATTGCTGATATCCTCTCGGCACTCTTGGCTCAAGGTCTCCTGCGTATGCGTGGTGTCGAGGGTCATGCAGGCTGGAGGTGGCTGTTCCTGATCGAGGGCTTGCTGACTCTGATCATCGGTATCATGGCGTTCCTCTTGATGCCTGCCGGTCCTTGCCAGACTGCTTCCTGGTTCCGAGGCAAGGGTAAGGAAGGCTGGTTCAACGAGAGGGAGGAAGTGATCATGGTGAACCGGGTGCTGCGCGAGGATCCCAGCAAGTCGGATATGCACAACCGAGAGCGGATTACCGTCGGGTTGTTGTGGAAGAGCCTGAAGGATTATGACTTGTGGTATGTGCCAGCAGCTGCTGTCTGTCGTCAAGTACTGAAAGCTGACGTTGTGGTAGGCCACTTTATGCGCTGGGTCTCGTCTTCCAGATCCCCTTTGTGCCTGTTGGGCAGTATCTGACACTTTCCCTGAGAGGTCTGGGCTTCGATACCTTCCAGGCCAACCTCTTGACGATCCCTTACACCGTGGGCCACATGATCACCATGTTGGCGGTGGCATACGCAGCCGAAAAGTTCAGCAACCTGACAGCGCTATCTGTCACCAGTCAGATCTGGGGTCTGCCGTTCTTGATCTTCTTCAACGTTGCCGACCTTGCCAACACCAACCGCTGGGTGATCTACGCCGTGACGACACTGCTGCTGTCGTTCCCGAACCCCCATCCTATCCAGGTGGCGTGGAATTCTCGAAACGCGAACTCGGTTCGGTCTCGTACCATCTCGGCTGCCGTGTACAACATGGCGGTTCAGACGTCGGGCATCATCTCCTCGAATATCTACCGAGAGGATGATCGAGCGTCGCTGTATAAGCGTGGTAACCGACAGCTACTCGCGATTCTGTGCATGAACATTGTTGTATATGCGTTGGTGAAGGTGTACTATGTATGGAAGAACAAGTCGAGGGATAAGAAGTGGGCTGCCATGACGGAGGAGCAGAGACTCGATTATCTGGCCACCACGAAGGATGAGGGCAACAAGAGGTTGGACTTTAGATTCGAGCACTAGATGGTCTTGATCAGCGCATGCATGAACTAGCAGAGAGGCGACTCACTCACTCACTCACTCACTGCATGAGTTCAAGAGACCCATCTCTATCATAGTCTTGGGGATCATACACTCAAAATAATGAACATTATGACATTTTGCGATTCTGGAATGTAGTGTGAGAGTGTAATAGAACAAACTTGTGAATGCCGATCAAGCAGTCTATAAGGCAGGAAATCTCATCCCTCAACCAATACGAAGTTAATATGAGATCCGGAGCTGTCGTGCAATGTGAGCACTGACCATCAGCTTCCCCAGAAAATATCTCGCTCCACGTGACGTCACAAAAGTTTGCTACCCCTGCACTTGTGCCCCCGCTGGCGGGGTTGAAACAGCGTCGATTGAGACCAGCTTCAACAGCTGAACCACGTGCAAATTCATCAGTGAGTGAGCAAGTTGCAGCTATCACCCTCCTGGCTCAGCTGTACTCACATGAATAAGCACCATCACCTCCTCCTCCGAGGCGCCTCATCCTTAACCGTCTCCCTCTGCAAAAGAAGTGGACCAACCCACCTCCCACCAGCAAGACCGTTGTTCCCATCCTCCGGAGCCGGCGGGACGACAACCGCCGCCGCCATAGTATCCAATTTTTTCTCCCGGCATCATCACTCAACCTTGACCTCACCTCACCACCACCTCCCCAAAACCGCCAGAATGTCCACCACCACCCCCTCCCCAGTCGACCTAATCGAACAATCCAAACGCCTCGCCGCCTTCCAATCCGTCACCGCCCACCTCGTCCCCTTCCCATCCCGCACCCGCATCGGCATCGGCTCCGGCTCAACAGTAATCTACGTAGTAGAAGCAATCACCACCCTTGTCCCCCCCGCCACCCTCTCCACAATGACCTTCTACCCAACCGGCGCCCAATCCGAACAGCTCATCGAATCCGCCGGTCTCAACCTCCAGTACATCAACAAGCTCCCCCCCGGCACCCTCCTAGACGTCTGCTTCGACGGCGCAGACGAAGTAGACCCCAACCTCAACCTGATCAAAGGAGGCGGCGCCTGCCTCTGGCAGGAAAAAATCGTCGCCAGCAGCAGCAAGAAGTTTGTTTGCGTGGCGGACTTCAGGAAGATGAGCCCTGCGTTGGGGACGATGTGGAAAAAGGGGATTCCGATCGAGGTGCTGCCTTTGGCGGCGAACAGGGTTTTGGGAGAGCTGGAGAGGATGGGGAGTTTGGGGCCGAAGGTTAGGCCGGGTTTGCCGGGGAAGGCGGGGGCGGTGGTGACGGATAATGGGATGTGGATTGTTGATGCGCCGTTTAGGCCGCTCAGGGTGGAGGGGACGAGTGACAAGGAGAAGGGGGAGTGGCAGATTGATGAGCTGGCTGATGCGTTGATCAAGATTCCGGGGGTGGCGGAGATTGGGTTGTTTTATGGGAAGAATGGGAATCAGGCGGGGGAGGGGGGCGCGCAGAAGCCGGTGGAGGCGTATTTTGGGATGGAGGATGGGAGTGTGAAGGTGTTGAGTGCTTGAGGAGATTGGAAAAGGGAAGGGGGGGGGGGGTACACAAAAGGGGTGTTGGGGTGGGTAGGGACAGAGGTAGAGTATAGATTTGGAATGATATTGACTCCAGAGACAGGTTAAGAATCTTTGACAGCACGCATCCTGTTGCATGTATAAACACACAAAGCAAAACTATTAGTCAACATCGTGAGGGGAATCCTCTGCATCGAGGATGTGAGAGTGTGCGGGCAGGCAAATGATGCCCATACATCTCTCTGTGTTGAGTGCCGGCATGGCATCTGCCGGCAGTCTTCAAGTCATAGTCTTACCATTTACCTACAATGTTCTTCACAGGAAGCCGTGGCTCTTTCTCAACAGCAAAACCAGCGCGTAAAAGTTGGCCTTGATCCAGTTGAAGGGTAAAGACACAGTCTACCAGTCTCGGCCACGAAAAGAATTCCCTGCGGAAGGGGGGTGACATCATCTCAGTCTTACTCAGGCGTCACAACATGATATTGGATAACGAGGACATGTTACCCAAGCCGGGATGACATCCCCCCAACCAGCCAGCATTCTTGACCGGCCCGAGATCTTAGCTTTACCAGTGTACTGGTTCAAGAGACAAACTCAAGATCCAGATCGCTATCAACGGAGTGACCCACAGAAGGAGCGCCTTTGATCATCCCACCGGTACGAAGCTGAAGAAGAACACGAAAGAAATCTGCGGGATGGGAACCGTTCAACAGACAATCGGGTTCACGGACGCCACAACATCGGATTGCTCGGGAGGGATGATGAAAGAAAGTTATCTAGCGCAGGCGGCCAGCAAAGTGGCTTGCGCAACACCAAATTATGGGAAGATTGATGCATCTACCGACGTGAAGCCACCACCGATCGGGAATCCGAAATTTGTGTTTGGTTTGGGGGCGTTAACACCGATAACAGGCAGCCGCGATACACTTTCTCGGGTCGGTACGGTGTGGCAAGCAAGCGGCGAAAGCTTCCGAGTCTACCTCATCCTGGTGATACCTACCCAGCAGAAGATAGATAGGCAGCTGATTTTGCAATTATCATCAGCTTGTGATAGCCTTCGTGGCGAAATAGCCACGGCGCTGTATCCGACCAACAAATCCCTCCATGAGCCAAGCCGCACACAAAACTCTCGGGGGCGGAAGCAGCAAGCGCCGAGTCCGTCTCGGGCGGGAGTGATGGAACCTCGGGCTGCAACTCGGCGTCTCACCACACACTATTTGTCCCCTCCCCCCCCTACCCCCCACCACCACCAAGCGAAACAATGAGTTTCGTCGATCGAGGTCTGTCCCGGAAGGGTCATTATTGGGCAAAGAGAGACTGTCCATCATCATCATCGGCCCGGGAGCCAGTCACCAGTTCTGCTACCGCCTTGAACATTAATAAGCTTGTCCTCTTTCGGGCTTTCACAGACAACAACAAGATAAACTGTGCCACCTCCTTCCCTCCGTCTCCGCCTCCGCGTTTCGTCAGACGTGAGAGCGTCGTGCAACGAGGCTTCTTAGCTGAGGGTGCGTGCCCCGGATTGGCGCTGCAGAACATGGAAAACTTGAGTTATTTCTGGATTACATACTGAAGAGTGAGCGTCACCGGTTGATCGGCCTTGGTTCGGGGGCCATGCCAATCCGGGCGGGAGAGGAACCACAGCAACACGGCTCGGTGCCAAGGATCTACATGCGTGATCATATCCCAATTCCGCCCAAGCAGAGAGGTGAGACTTGGTCACCGTGATTTAATGTAAAAATGCAAATGACCCAGCGCCGGGTGAGGAGCGCGTCGCGTCGATTTTTGTGTGTGCTTGTGTAATGCATCGGCACCTACCCATAGGCCCGATGGCCAGCCAAGACCTCAGGCGATTGGGTGGTCGGTGGTGATGAGGACGGGATTCGAGAGGACCGCCGGGGAAGCCGGATTGGACGGGAAGGATGGTGAGTCAAAGGGACAAGCCGCACCACCTCCGTCTGAGAAGCACAAAGAACTGATCTTGCTGCTGCTGATCCCGGCATTTCAGAAATGTCCCTAGAGACACGGAGTTGTATGGGTTAAATGGAGGTTAGATACAACTTGTAGCTATAAATGGACAACGACATTTTAGCCTGTGATTGCTCTGCTGATGGCTGCTGGTTGCTGGCTGCGGACGGGCGGAGGAGGGCGGAGGACCTAGGGCGGAGAAGACGCTGAGGTTTGAGGTTGAGAGGGAGACAGACACAGGAGAGGAGAGAAGAAGCGGCCGGTGAAGGAGGGGTTGCTTTGGGAATCGTGAAGGGGCCATCAGCTCCACCGCCACGGAAGTGACTTCCATGTCACTGGGTGCGCGGCGGATCCATTTTGCTTCCGATTGCGTCGTGTGTCCTCCCGTCGGTCTGCCTGTTCCCCAGGGAGCTCTTCGTTTTCTCCCGCCGTTTGTTGTTTGGCTGCCATTGCTGCGTTTGCATCCGGGGTTTGGAGTGTTGATTTTGGCCAAGTCTGGCTGGGTAGGTTCGATAAGCGTTATCTGGCACAAAAAAAAAAAACCAAAAAAAAAAAGAAGGAGGCAGGAAATGCCCAAAGTGTCCTCTGACACCAAACACACGGTGGTGCCGGGGTCGGATTGACTGGCGGCCGAAGCGCCCGAGCAAAATTGGGAAATGGCTTGGCTCGGAAATCCGGGATATGTGGAACTGCACTCCGGCGAACGCGACACCGATTGTCGATTGTGCCTTAGCTCCCTCCAAGACCAGATCCCGTCTCATAAATCGCTCGTTCAACTAATCAGAAATCCACTGCAGTGTAAAACCTGCATGTTCTGTTTTCTCACCGATGGATAGGCAGCATTGTCGCCGAGTGCTGTGAAGCAAAAGAAGAAGCAGAAAAAGAAGAAGAGGTGATGAGGCCGGGCGGCGCAGCAGCCTCGAGCCACCTCAAACACGGGTGACGGGTCATTGCCCGATCATGCTTCGGGACACGTTAGGGCAGAAAAGGGGGCCACCGTCTTCTTCTCGTCGCGCAACGGAATGCCAATAACCTACCTGGAAGCTGAAGAGTATGGAAGAGGGCCCGCCGCGTGGTGGAAGTGACTCGTTGGACAAGGCAAAAACAAAAAACGCCCGCTCATCAAAAGGTACGGCCGGAGGTGCGAGTGACTCCTCCCCTGCTCCACCGCGGGGGCCTGGAACTGAAAAGCAACCGTCCCGCATGCAAGCCGGGAGCCAAATGACGGGAAATCGCCGTGGCACCTGGGAGGTGAGGTGGGCGATGGAGGAGGTGGAAGGGGGGGGAGAGGTACGAAGGTTAAGGTATGACTGGGGCTCCGGCACACAGCCCAGAGTCGGAGCACAGCGCCCAGCCGACCGTCGCAACCTCCATCGTAGGCATCGCTGGTGTCGCAAGCTGGCAGACGCCTCTTCCCCTGCGCACGGCGCGTGCATTGGCAGCTTTTTTTGTTCTTGATGGAACTTCACACACAAGTCTCTCGGAAGATAGATAAGATGGAGTGGGCAAGGTAGAATAGTTTTCCTGCCAGGTAGGTAGTAGCATCATGGGCGGCGGGTGGTCTACCGATCAGCGGCTGGTTTGAGCCGGATTTGCTTTGGCTGAGGCATCTCGGTGTCTCGGTGGGAGAGCCTGGGCAATCCGGGGCTGTTTAACTCCTGTTCTGTTCTATCTTCAACAGTGCCATCAAAGATTGTATAGTTTTGGATAGAGCTATATCAGGATGGCGTGGCTAGGTATGATAAAGTCGAGCCATCAAACGGAGATTTAGCGGAGATGACGAGTGCGAGACAAGATCGGGATCGTTTTCCTCACTGCCGGGGCCGGCTTGCTTTGTGTCGCGGCGCTGACAGTGGCGGCGGGCGCTGTTTGTCGCTGGACTGAGGGGCTGCTGGTAGCGACTGCGTCTCTGGCAGGCCCCACAGACCCCCGGCACCATCAGCCGATCCGCCCGCTCGATTGTGACCCACTTACCAGAGCGCTGCCGCCGCCTCCCTTCCCTCGCTTCCTGAGCTTCCAAAGTCCGTCCGAGCCTTTTTACCCCATCGCCCCCCGTCATTCCGTCCTTCCTGGCCTCGCCCTCTCTCCTCTTCCTTTTCCCACTCGAACCTGACCACAGCTCACCTCATCGCCGCCGACGACGACGACATTACAGGCCGGTCCACTGTTCTGATTCTGTCTCCTGTGGCTCCCGGCGCACCTCCGGACTCTTGTTTTTTCCTGCTCCGGCTTTCTCGGACTTGGATCGGACCACAGACAGACCACACAACAGAAAAGTAAGGTTTTGCTTCATCATCGCCAACATCGTCAACATCAACTTCTTCACCATCTTCGCCGTCCCCCACCCCACACACCACACACAGCAGCCTCTCTCAGCAACTCTCAGCAATGGCGTCGGTCGTGCGATCGACAGCCCTCCGGGCCGGTGGTGCCTGTGTGCGCTGCCGGAAGGGCAAGACCAAGTGTGTCTACGAAAACGGCAGAGCACCATGCAAAAACTGCGCCAAGGGAATGCACGAATGCTATCTCCCCTCTGAGTCCATGGCCCATGGTGGTCATGGAGTATCGCCAGCCCGGATGCAGCACCGCATCCGGGAGTCTTTGCCCAGCGAACGGGTGGTTTCAAGCAGCGCTGTTGATCGCCAGGTACCGGCCGGTCCCAGTTCCAGCGTGTCGCGTCACGCCTCCGCGGCGCATGAAAAGTACGTTTTGCTATCTTATCTCTCTCACACAATTCCCTTTCTTCTGCCTGGCCAGACAGAAAGACAGACAGACATACATCATCTTTGTTTGCGTGTGTGTCTTTTCTTTTCTTTTTTTTTTTTTTTCTTTGGGCTGGGTCCGGACGCATCCGTTTCGAGCGCGTTCTTTTTTGGGCGGCTCCGGATGTCTCAACCCGCCCCGGTTTGCTGTTTTCTAGCGTTGCCTTCTCGGAGTGGGATGGGTTTCGCCCCATTTTTTCCGCCCGGCCCTCATTTCCCAAATCAATTTTTTCGCCTGTCCCGTCTCACCCACCCTCGGGCGCATGGGCCCTCTTCCTGCCCCTCAGGCAAACGGAGCCCTCCCAGTGGATGGGCTCCCCGGCTCCACAGAGACCGGATCACCATACCGACCGAGTTCCCATACGGGATCAAGTGTGTCATCGGCCCGGAGACTGACATAATGTCGTTAAACAACAGACTTACACCCGAGCTCATGACGGAATGCGAGCGAGTCATCAGCAAGACCCTACCGGCCTGTGTTGCCTTCCACAAGCCGACCTTTTTGGTGGCGCTCAAGAATGCCTCGATGGAGCCGACCATGGTCAACGCGCTATTGACCACAGCTGCGCGGTAAGCAGACGCATCCACCGTTCTGATTGGTCCCTTTCCCTCTAACACGTCTTGTCAGGCACTCCCCCGCCATGATTCGCCGGTATGGCGGACACGGTAGCAGCAGCACTGCGGCCGAGCACTTTGCCAGCAAGACCATCAACCTGGTGATGCAGAATCTGGACACGCCTAGCCTTGCTGATATCCAGTCCGTCTGCCTCCTGATTCTGCACGAATGGGGTTGCCGCAATGCTGTTCGCGCCTACACTTATCTCGGCCTTGCAGCTCGCATGGCGCAGATGTACAGGCTTGTCCACCACCACAACTCTACCAATGAGCCGGATCAGTTTCAGATGGAGGAGTCTTTCCGTCGCACACTTTGGCTCATCTACATCCTGGATTGCTTCTTGACCAGCAGCCCAGGACGCCATCCAGCACTGACCCACCTTGATGTCCAAGATGTTTCACTGCCCTGTCTCGACATGAATTACAACTTTACGAGTCCTGTACATGTTCGCACCCTCAGCGGCGCCCCCCCAGCGGGCTTGAAGGATTCCTCTGCCCAACTCAGCGAGGTGGGCGAGTTTGGTCATATTGTCTTGGCCACCAAGGCCTGGCGCCAAGTCGTCGAGATGATGACCACCACGACGTTGGCCACCTTTTCCGATGAGAGGTGTGTGCAGCTTGAGCAAGACATTGAGGTCCTCAGACAGTCCCTTCCCATGCACTTTGCCGACAAGCCCAACAACATCAACCTCCACATCACCATGGGCAGCGGCTACACGTATGCCTTTATCCACTGCCTCTTGAACTGCGGCACCATCTTTGTCAACCGCAGACGCATGCTTCAGGTGGTCACGGACGAGAACTTTAGCATCGACTTGTGGCGTGGATCTTCGCACACTCACGTCCAGACTGTTGACAAGATCTTTGCGGCTTCTCACAGCATCATCCACTCGCTGTTGGCCCTGGAAACCGGAGCTGACAAGGACAGCATCCTGTGCTTCCCTCTGTTTATGCTCTTTGCCGCCTTCACCGCCGGCTCAACCGTCGCATACCTTACACTGAAGGGACTGGCCCCCGCCAACTCGAGCGAGTCCGCATTCAACATAGTGAGGGACAGTGTTCGCATGTGCCAGGACGGAGCCGAATCCTGGCCCCTGGTCATCCCCTGGCAGCGCCACCTCTCGGTCATGTCTAAGGTCCTTCGCGACGTGAAGAGCGCGCCACGCGACAAGGCCCGCGAAGACAGCAAGAAGCGGGCCCTCTCACCATCTGTCAAGGACGACAATGTCAGCCAAACCGACACGAATCCGGACGCGATGGACTATGAACAACCCGATGTGTCCGCTGCTGGCCCTCAAGCTGTCCCTACCACCGAGGGTCGGGCAAGCGAGCCCCCGGTACCCCGTAAGACCGGCATCACCACTATCAATGGTGGGCCTGTTGCCGTTTCCACACCCGCCGACAGCCCGCCACCACCAGTACCAGTCGTCGCCAAGGTTGACTCCCCCTCCCCAGCCTCACCAGGCTCAGCTCTCGGTGGTGTCCAATCGTCTAGTACCGGTCCCGATGTTCCCGACGTGGACATGACGGCGCTGGAGTTGTGCGCAGCGTTTGAGAGGCAGTTGCTCGAGCTGGATGACTTGGCCGCTTTCATGGGGGGCGGAGTGTGAGTGTTGATTCCACTTTCTCCCTTCTTGGGAGTTGATCCCAAGCTAATCAAGGCAAACAGTGGGAATGCGCCGAGCTAGATGTTCTTGAAGGAAGCGCATACAGTGAGGAAGAGAAGAAGAAGGATCCGACCTTTCCCTCACTAAGCACGGTTTTCTGTAAACTATTTCTTTGTTGCGTCGTTCTGTACAATACTTGGCTTTTTATTTTTTGGCTCTTTTATAAGGGACACCTCGTCCTTCTAGGGAGGGTTTCTGTTCTTGTGTGGCTGGGATAATTGATGACGGGAGGGGTTGGTGTTGGGGGAAATGGATGGGGTGGGCTGTTTTTGCAAGGAGTTTTGTGCGATGGAGGGATACCACCCAAGCGGTTCATGTTATGGTTCACGGCCGGTTTTACAGGCCATGGGGGAAGGCAAAAGTGTCTGGATGGGGATACTTTTTTTGTCAAATGTTATAGGAGGCAGCGTGTGCTCTACCTAATCTACCTATCTTGCCTGTATGGCTTGTGTCAACTTATCTTCCAAGGTGCCTGGTTTCTCTGCGTGGTTTCTCTGCGTGGTTTCTCTGCGTGGTTGTGATGAATCTCGGTGTCTTGATAGGATCCATGGTCCCGGAAAAGAGCACCGGTTGCGCATGACTCGGGACCAAGTTCGGACGACGGTTCTAGGTGACGTTTACGGAAGGCTTTGATTCATGTGATTCCAATGCCGTTGATCGGCTGCCGTTTTTTGTTTGGTTCCAACTGTGTGGTGGGTAGTGTGTTGATGCTGTGCAGCATCAGAATTCGCTCAGGTGCTTGCGTTGGATTGGTGAGCGGAGGGTAATACTGCGTTAGTGTATGCAGTTTCAGGATCGGGGATTATGTGAGGGGAATACTGGGGGAGCGATGTCGGTTTTTTTTTGGATTCTTTTCCCTTTCCCTTGCCCGGGGGGGGGGGGGTTGTATGTCTTGGTGAGGTCGTCTGCTCTTTTTTCTTGGAGGGGAGAGGTGATGGCTTGTTTACTTTGGTAGATATCACGGTTGAGGTTGGGGTTGTTGAGGGAGTCAACCACGGTTGAACGTCTGGTGAGTGTGCTTGACGACTGACTGCATTTTCAGTTCTGATGTGCACCAGCGGGCGGATCTACAGTAAATGCTGGAGGTGATTTGAGCACTTACGGTTTGTCAGCTTGGCGCCTTCCTGCATCATCACCAACGTTACCGCCACCACGCCTTCCCAACCAACGACATCATCACCCCTTCGCTCGGCACCGGGCCCTCATTGAATTTTACGACCAACACTTAACCTAGCTTGACACCCACCTAGGTGTCAACCCTCCACGCCAATATCCCTAACTACCCAACATCAATTTCCCTAGCCATCCTCAACATGACCACCCCCACCCTCAGCTACCTCACCACCCGCCTCCCAAGCCTCCTCCCAAAATCAACCCACCTCTCCGACATCCCCAACCCATTCCGTCTATTAGCCTCCCTCGACAGACAGAACTGGGCTTTTTTCTCGGTGGCGTTCTTTGCTTGGGTGAGTTAACACCATCACCGCAAAATGGGATCTCACTAATAGTGAACCACCAATAAGACATGGGACGCCTTCGACTTTTTTACTGTTTCTCTCACCCTTCCCGACCTTGCCAAGTCTTTTGGTCGGTCACGAACGGAGATAACGTGGGGGATTACACTGGTACTGATGTTCAGGACGGTGGGGGCGGTGGCGTTTGGGGTTGTGGGGGATCGGTATGGGAGGAGGTGGGGGTTTGTGGTTAATAATGGGTTGTTTGTTGTTTTGGAGTTGGTGAGTTATTTCTTTTTTTGACCGGGGGAGGTGGTTTTGGGATGGGAGGCAGCGGGGAGGGATCAAATGGAATGGTATAGAAGGGAGGTGGTTGTTGTTTGGTTTGGGGGTGGCAGGAGTGGGGGAAGGGGATTGGAGTGTCTGGACGGGGTGTGGGCCAGGATGTTGAAGTACGCCCAGCGCGATTTCTCGGGTACCAAAGGCATCATCATGTTCCGCAACATGTATAGCCTTATTCGATCATGGCTGGTGGATTTTGGGAATGAGCATTTCATGTTTTGACTCCCAAGAGTTCACACACCTGGATGGACTTTGGAAGTGGGCTGGGGTTGCCATTCCTAAGCAGAAGAAGATTGCAACTCGCCGCTAGATTTACAGCCGCGTTGGCCGAGAGCTCTTCCCATCCGTCATCTCGCCGTGGGCCAACGTTGTCAAACTGGGATAAGACATTCGCCAACCGCAACAGTTTACCCTTCTACTACCTCAAGCAGATATTTACCATAATGGCAAAGGCAGGGGGAGTTGTTCCTGCGCGTGCGAACGGGAACTCGTCTGCTCCCCTCGGCCCAAGAGATGTATCTCGAAATGACCCGGGGAGAAGCCGGAAAGGCTCGAGGCCAGGAGTCGGATGCAGCGGAGGCAGGGCCGGAGCCCTGGTTCTTAAGCAAACACTACGTGATGGGAACGGGCCCTGGTTCTTAAGCAAACACTACGTGATGGGAACGGGCCCTGGTGTCTCTATATGGCACGTTGCATAGCCGGGGATTGAGATTCTGGATCCCACGCCGAAGATAGTCGCGCAACCAGCGCTTCGAAACGGGGGGTGTTCGCAAAGTTGAGATGATGTCATATTCAAGGGTCCAAGTGGATAGGTCAGATTCAGGGATCAGAAACAAGCTCTTCCTTCCCGCGCGGATCTTATCTCTTGGCGATTTGACCCCTGGATCCCTGTTTTGGACTTTTTATCTTGGCTCTCTTCCTTCAACCACGGTCCCATTGAGTCTTTATTCAACTTGTTCTTTTCACCGGCTAACATGTACTACCTTCTAGGCAACCGGCTTTTGCCAAACCTACTCCCAATTCCTCGCCTGCCGCGCCCTTTTTGGGATAGCAATGGGCGGCCTGTATGGCAATGCAGCTGCCACCGCCCTTGAAGATCTCCCACCGATCGCCCGCGGGTTGATGTCTGGTCTTCTCCAGCAAGGCTACGCTTTTGGCTATCTCCTCTCCACCGCCTTCTCCCGCGCCTTGGTTGACACCACTCCCTATGGTTGGCGCCCATTATTCTGGTTTGGAGCTTGTCCTCCTGTTCTCATTATTGGTTTGCGGTTGTTGCTGCCAGAGACGAGAACATACCAAAAGTTAAAGATGGAGCGAGAGCTCAAACACCAGCAGCAGCAAGATGAGGAGGAGGGTTCCGGCCAGGAGGGGGGAACTGGAACGCGCAAAAAGGGGGTGACGCATGTGTTTTGGGAGCAGGGGAAGCAAGTCATGAGAAAGGAATGGTTGTTGCTCACGTACATGGTGTTGCTAATGGCAGGGTTCAACTTTATGAGTCATGGCTCGCAGGACTTGTATCCTGTGCTGCTTGACACGCAGTTTTTGTTTTCGAGGGATCAGGGGACGACTGTTCAGGTTATTGCCAATGTCGGGGCTATGCTCGGGGGCACGACGGTTGGGTTTATGAGTCAGTTTGCGGGCAGGAGACTGAGTATCTTGGTGATGTGTGTTTTGGGAGGCGCGCTGTTGTATCCGTATACTGCGACTGATGTCGCCAATCAGGGATGGGAGAGGATTGCTGCGGCGGCGTTTTGGGAGCAGTTTGCTGTTCAGGGGGCTTGGGGTGTCATACCCGCTCATTTGATGGAGTTGTCTCCTGCGAAATTCCGGACTTTTGTTGTTGGTACGTCGTATCAGCTGGGTAATCTGGTTAGCTCGGCGTCGAGCACGATTGAGAGCACGATTGGGGAGAGGTTTCCACTGCCTCCGGAGACGACACCCGACGGGACAGTGGTTGGACAGAGATGCGAGTATGGGAAGGTCATCTGCATCTTCATGGGTTGCGTCTATGCGTATGTGGTGGTGCTGACGCTGCTGGGGCCGGAATGTCTTGGCAGGAGGTTTGACCGGCGTGATAGTGAGGCTTTGGAGGACACTGGGGTAGTATTTGGGGAGGATCATGAACAGGGTTTTGAGATCTTTCAAGGTGCACAGGGAGAAAGGGAGAAACGTGATCGGAAGGGTGAAGAGGCGGTATGACGAAGAAGATTGTGACGAAGGGACACGCGCGATGAGTACCTACATCCTAATGACAAACTTTCAGTTCAGTTCCAGGTTACTTAGGCGTGGAGGCGTTGACACGTCTAATGGCTTCAACGGCGGCAAACTTGAGAACGCCACACACCTGTCACTGACATCGTGACTGTTTGTGGTCATATGGACCCCGCGCCACACGTCTAACCTTTTCTTCCACTCTTCCCGGCATGTAAACTTTATCTCTTTGCACTCAAATCTGTCCCGCTGCCACTAAACCGAAACCTCACCCTGCACCCTTCCGAGAATCAGCCACAAGATGATCACAATGGGCACGATGTTGCGGTTGCGCAAACCCTTATCGTCTTTCTTTCTGATACTACTCATATCGACTCTCGCACTTGCCTTACCCGCAGAAGCATCACCGCCGATCCACGACACAAAACCTGCAAGCACATCTGCCCGGCGTCAGACGATTGGCTGTCCGGGATTCCACCCTGATTTTGCGTGGTTGGTTCTCCCTCCCCGTAACCAGTGGGAGGCAGACTGGCTCAAGGCTCAGATCCGCCAAGAGCAGCTACCTGCCGGGGAGAGGGCGATTCTCCTTGACCCTACTACCCATCGGCTCTGTGTGAGGCAGTGCGTCATGGACAACTGTAAGGGTGTTTGTGGAAGGGAGTGGCAGGTGTACCCCGTTCATGGAGTGGATGAGGCACAAGACTGACGGTAACGTGGGATGATAGGGGTTGTTATCGGTACCAGTGCATTCCGGCTTGCGATTACGATTGCTGTGAGAGGGGTCTTTGATGGAGACTGGCAGGATGACGAGTGGGATGAATGATATCTTCATATCTTTTTTCAATTGCTTTCTGCTGTTGCTTCATCGCTTCTACTCATGGAAGTTGCTCTTCTTAGTGGTTTCAAGTGAGCAGTTCCCATCATGCTGGTTTATGCTCTCTGAGCTTGTTCAGGAAGTGATAGGAAACACGAAGGTGAATGCTCCGGTTCAATATAAATATGGCTTTCTTCTATTCACGGTACGTGTTAAATCTCGTGCTGTTTGGCCCTGGGGAGATCACCTGACTTGAGCAAAGTCGACCTCTCTAGGCCTTGCGGGTCTCTCCCGGTTCCTCCCAAGTGAATATTGCTCGACAATACCGAGTTGATACCCCATCACCGTCTAGGTGGGGCTGTTCACTCCCACTGTTTGCTTTTCACTCCCACTGTTTGCTTTTCACTCCCACTGTTTGTTTTTCACTCCCACCACTGCAACAAATCTGGCCTGCCCTCCTTCAATTTACACCCCGCAAGCGATTTCCTACTGCTTTTTTGCTTCATCACCCAAGCCTCATCACCTGCGGTCTTTACGAGCGTTCATTTGCTCTTCCTTGCGATCATTTCCTTTTCCTTGCAATTAATTATTGCTTCTTGTAAGTCGCTTCATAATTTGTGTAAATCTGCTCCCCCGACTAACCCTCAGCCAGTGCCTCTTATCTACTCCCTTGTCCTTTCTATACATTTCCATTTCGCTAGCTCCCCTCAAGAATCGGATAAAAGGACACCATGGCAGCCGCTGCGGAAGCACCCATGTCTCCCCCACCGCCTGGGCCGTTCAACTGGGACAAACCAGACCTAGTTGCGTACTATTCGGATGAGGGGGATGATGACAATGATCAGGAGGTTTACGGGTCGGACTGGATTGGCGAAGACGGTGACGGAGAGGGTAACGACGGACAGGGCGACAGCGGGGAGGGAGGCAACAACGACGGTGGGAACGAAGATGCTGCTGGTGATCAGGGCAATAACACCGCCCAGAATGACGGCATAACCGACGATGAATCCCAGCGTCCAGTCCCACTTGACTGGAATACCTACGACTCGGAGGACGACGAGTGGGCGCAGCAGTTCAAGTGCATAATTTGTCCCAGGGACAAGCTGCCTTTCGCAAGAAGCAATAATTTGCGTAAGCACCAGCAGGATATTCACCTGAGACCCAAGCAGCGAACGCGCCAGTTTTGGGCTCAGCGCAAAGCCAAGCTGGTGGCACTCGAGCAGTCAAGTCCCGCCCTTGCGGCACAGTTGAAAGAGCAACGCACCAGGCGTAGACGGAAACTCGATCAACGAGCGCAGAACCACCAGAACTCTGTCGCTCCAGCTCCGAACCAAGCCAGGTTTGCCCCTGTGAAACGCTCTTCTCGACTTGCCAACCCGAAGCTGAGCCAGCACCAGGGAAATGCCGGTCAACGACCAATCGTACCAGCCAACATTAGCCAACGGGTGCAAACCCATGCTAGACCTGGGCCAATGACCCTTTTGATGCGACAGCACGTTGGCATGGAACAGACTGCGCAGTTGGAGAATATCCCACAGGCCAATGCTGTTCAACCTGGCAACCTTGGGACAGGAAGCATCACCCAGGGTCACCCGACCCCGTCAGTCCCCATCTCTCGTTACCCTGCCGTTCCACTTGATCATAATCAGGTCCAGGCCGGTGCTGGGATTATTGCGCCCAACTATCTAGCGTCTGGAAACGCTGGAATCTCATCTCAGCCTCCCATTCTTCGTTCTCACGGGCAAACTGGCAACCGCCACCACACGCCTCACCCCTCCGGACCAGCCCAAGGTATTCAGCGCACTGAGGATGTTCTGCTTAGTGAACAGAACCTGGCTGCTGTGAGAAGCGGGCATCTGCAGCAACGCCAGTATGGCCGGCGCAGTGTGGACGACAGTACAGGTCTGCCAATTCTGGCCTGTATGACATCAACACCCCAACCCATCTTATGTATGGCCTTGGAACTACAAACAACATTCAGCCTCGGCTCGGGAATCCATATCAGCATGGCCAGGCTGGTGGATATGGCAGCGGCTACAGCCAGGGCAATGTTTCGGGTCAGAACACTGGTTACCTACATGGCCCCAACACTGGCTATGTCCAGAACACCGGCTATGTCCAGAACACCGGCTATTTCCACGACAATGCCTATGTCCATAACACCGGTTACGTACCCAATTCCGGTTATGTCCCCAGCAACAGGTATGGCCGGAGGGCCAGCTACGACCCAGACAATATCTACGACCTGAACTATGCTCACGGTCAAGGCACCGGCTACGCCCGAAACATAGGTTACAATCAGGGCAATGGGTACAGCCTGGGCAATAGTTACAGCCTGGGCAATAGTTACGGCCTTAGCAACAGTCGAAGAACGGGCAATGGTTACGGTCAGCGCGGCGCATACGGCCTTGGTCAAGATCAAGGCCAATCCGCCAGACACGCTCAGGTCCCTCAACCTGGTCAACGCCAAACCCTTGGCTACGAACAAACCATCGACCCTCGTCTACTGAACGAATCTAGTCAAGCCGCTCAGCATGGTCCGAGCAACCAGAATGGCGGTGACACGGCTAGTGACTAGAATTGTCGCGCGTGCTATCAACGGCGGAGCCAATCATAGGCTCTGGGGCTTTTGAGAATGGGTAGTGGAGGAATTTTCAGGAAAGGACGGAGAAATTGGTGGAGGGATGTTTGGGATATCTGTATTTTCTGTTTGGTTTTGTTTGGTTTTGTTTGGTTTTGTTTGGTTTTGTTTGGTTTTGTTTGGTTTTGTTTGGTTTTGTTTGGTTTTGTTTGGTTTTGTTTGGTTTTGTTTTCTTTTTTCTTCGTCGGAATGGAGGAATTCTGGGGAAGGGCTGAGAAATTGGTGAAGGGATTTTTGAGATAGCTGTTTTTTTCTGCTCGGTTTTTATTTTCGTATGTTTTTCTTTTCCGCATATTCGTGTTTTCATGGGTGTTGTTTTGCGGTTGTGTTTGTTCCCGATTTCACGTTGAACCAGACAGCGGTCCCCTTTTTAGATGGATGCTAACAACACACCTTGCAGGTCAACATCATGAGGTGAACGATGGATCAAGAAACTACGAGATCAACAGAAGCGCCAACGCTCGATAGACTAGCCTCTCATGGCTGCTGGATGAGGAAAAGGATAGAAGGGACAGAGGTGCTAAAATTCAGACTGACGTGCTGTATCCAGGAAACTCGCCCTTGGACCTTTTCCACCAACATGACGCCCTTTCTCAGAAATTATTTCCACAAGTAATCACCAAAGACAAGTCCACTCAGCCGCTACACAACTCTGACCAGAACCCAGGCCATCATCACCGCAATGGCAGACAAGGGAAATTACCCTCGACCGCCTCACTCACAAGGTGATGCTGCTACGAGAGTCTGTCCTCGGCATGTCGAAGACCATTCTATAGTCTCCTCACGTGCAGTGGTAAGTAGTATGTGTAGCAGCTTTTGTAATTCTGACAGGATCGAAGGAAACCGACTTTCAAAGACACGAGGCCTACAGCAGATGGATTTTTTGTTGCTTCACACCTGTTACTCTTCACTGACAAGCTGATTTCGACGACGACTTGAACATCAAAGACCAGTATTAGGTAACTTCAAACCTGTCCGTAGACATATACATACTTTTTTTCCCCAGATGTTTTGCTAGTTGGCCGTCATCGAGACGTGAGGCACCGAAGATGTAAACTGACGGACTGATGTGCGTTTCACATCGCTGTTAACCCACGTTCACCCTTACCGGCTCAACGTCAACAGTATGATGACTGATAGCGCTTGAGATTGCACCTCTCTGTACTGATGCCTCGTTAACCGTCAACGTCGGGAGTGGGTCTGGTCGGCTCATGGTATTCACTCCCTTCACTCAATCACAACATGTGGGCCATGCTGCTCTCTGTTTTGCTTTTTCTCCTCTGCTTCATGATTCGGCTACCCTTTCCCCCCAAACCATCAGAGAAAAGTCCACACCTCTCTGAGAAGCAAGCAAGGTGGTAAGCAGTGCTCAACACCACACCTGCTCATCCTACTGTTCGCTCTAACCAGTGTCTAAGCCAGTCGATACCTAGGTTGTTATTTTCTCACTTGCGACTTACTGCACTTTGCTTACTGAAGAGTCGCTTTTCCCAACATTGCCTCGAATAGCCCCCGACTTTTTTTTCGACCACCCTGATCGTTTAATTTAGTAGCCCTCAGAAGGAAGCAAGGTAAGAACAGTTCATTATTCCCACCTATCCGTTTCGTTCGTATTAACAAATGTTAAGACCAGGTAGTCCCAGCACTATGGCTTTAGTGATTGACCCATCGGCCCAAGACGGCATTGGTAGTGCTGGAGGCGGCGCGCCGCCGCCGGTACCTATCCTGGACGGTCTACCGGACACTTCCGAATCTGACATCGAAAAGCCGAGCAAAGACCGTCGATACCGTTGCAAGCTGTGTCCAATCGGCACGGATCCCATCGCGGGAGCCGCCCGATATCAACCCCTTGCCAATAAACGCAATATGGGGCGCCACCTGATCGACATTCACAAGGCCAGGCCCGGGTCATCCACCAAAGAAACTTGGCGGAGAGTTTCCCAGCGCCATGCACAAAGAAGAGCCGGGAAAGCGCGTGTCTCTGCTCGGGCTGGCCATGCTCGAGGGCGTCGTTAAGGTCCAATCCATCCCGGCCATGGTCATGCTACGAATGGGTTGTCCAATGGCCAGCAGCAGACTCCTCAGAGCGGGCAATTTCTTGCCAGCGATCATCACCGCGCGGAGTCGAGTTACCCAACCCCTCAGCAGCCTGTTCTAAGCAGCACTCCCTCTCAATTAACATACCAGCCACATCCTACCCCTTAGCAGAGCACACCCAGAGGGTACAACTGATCCCAGATATCTACCTGGAGCCTCGTCGAACCAGCGCAAACACGGCGACGATTCGGGTGCCTAAATAGGCTATATGCGAAGTGGGAGTTGGCTATTGTTTGTTTCTTGTATAACTAAATGGAAGCGGAATAGGGGTCCTTGCGGAGCTACCTAGTTACATGAGGGGTAGAGCTGAGCGCGGAAGATATCTTCTGTTGGATTGTTTTATCACTGTAATCTTCCTTGTATTTTAAACACTTCTTTTCTATTCACTTTACTTTTGTCCTAAACACTGGTTATGCCCACAACACTGGTTATATCCCCAACACCTGTTACACGGGGGGGGACACTAGTCAGGTACGGCGAGAGTGTCAGCTACAGCCCGAGCAATATGTACCGGTCAGAACCACGGTTGCGGTCAAGGCACCGGTTACGGCCAGAAGATTGGCGCAGGAGAGATCACAACCTCTTAGGTGTAAACCCCGCCCTGGTGATTGATCCTCAATATTTCCCTTCGCCTCTGCCTAGCCAGCAGAGATTTCGGTACGAGAGTTCAGGTGGACAAATGTTTCGAGGTGAAAATCCGACGGGTGTTATCGGCCCACGGTACCTTCCAGGGCATAGGGTTAGCTAGCAGCAACTTCGCCACGGGCATTCGGGCGGTGAGGTGCCTCAAGATGTAAACCCGACGGGTGTCCTCAATCCTCGATATCTTTTCGGCGCTCGCGCCTCGTCAAGACGGGGCGGCGCATGATGACTAGGTATGATGAAGATGAGATTTTGGAGGGCGACTTAGAATGGAACCAACTACAACCAAGCTATGTTATTTTATAGTGATGGGGAGGGGTTCATTGAGAGTTTGTTGGTGTACGACTTCGAGTTCAGGAAGGTTGAGCAAAGTTGCAAGGACGGGAAGCTGTGAAAACGCAGCATGGTGTTGAGTTCAGAAACCCAGACAGTTGAGTTGAAGAAGAATGTAATTGATCGTTGTTTCATATAGCTGGTGGAAGCAAGTCAAGGTAGGTATCTAACAGGACAGTGTACTAGGGCCATCTCTATAGGGGAAGACCTCGTATTTCATCTGGCAAGCTCACCAATGCCCTGCCTGCCCCCTCGACTGATACCTGCTCGGCCAAGCCTTACATATAAGACCTACATCACATCACGTCCATTTCCCGCTCCACACCAGCACTTTTGCAACGGAGGAATCGCTCTGTGTTGTGGGGCAGCCCACAGTTCACTCCATCCTGTGGCTTGGGCCAACCTGGCCTGCGCAGTTCATCTTTGCTCACAGCTTTGCTCCGTGGTTGAGTTTGGCGTCTTCCTTCTATGCCCTGCATTGCGGTACCACCGACTATTCTAACACCACGACATCGATCAGTCGGAGGTTTGATACGCCTTTCTCATCCAACCTGTAAGTGTTCAATTTTGCGCCAGAGTTACTCTGGGCGCGTTTTCCGTCATCATCCCTAGACAGGGCCTAACAGTTTCGTAGATCAGATCGATAGATTGTCGCCGTGCCTTTCCGCACAAAGCAAGGTAAGAAGTGGCCAACACCTCGCTTGCCATCCCACTACATTTTACTCTAACAAATGATGAGATAATATAGCCAAACCTAAACAACAATCGGTCTTACTTACAGGCCACGACAATGGCGATGGTCCTGGGACCAGGGGTTGCGCAAGGTGGACTTGGTGGGTTTGGTGGGCCACCACCACCTCGGCCTCCTCCACCGCCACCCCCGCCGCCAGGACCGACGAGCACATGTGTCAGCAAGGAAGCCACGCGTATCAAATGCTATTCGAGCTGGACGAAGAGCTCAAGCGAAAATGCAGGCTGAACGTCGGCAACTCGAGCGTGCTCAGCAACAACAGCCCGCCATGCCTCACCAAAACATCGTGGCTGGTCCGCTTCATCATCGAGCTTTTCCTGGGCCTCCTAATCGGCAACGTGCCTATGCGAACATGCAGCAAACTGTTCCTAGCATGGAGAGGTCTTCATATGATGGCATGGGGAATCCTTCGCATTCTAGTTTGGAGAGTACTTCCCGCCAGCATCCACCCGGGAATGATTCCTATGGTCGCATGGAGAATGCTATGTCTCGTCAATCTCTTCAGAATTGACGCTTTTGATGCCCAGCATCAGCCCAGCAGCACTGTTTCGGCCAGGGTTCCGACATCAACCCAAGAAAATCCCCACGACGAGCTTTCACGTTTCAGCGATCCCCGACTTCTCTCATTCTCCTCGACAATGCAACCAAGAGCCCTCAACACGCAAACAAACCTCCAGGGGCTCAACCCAGCTGGGACCATCGATCCCCGATATTTCCTGGCCCGCACGCCCGACCAGCAGAGCTTCCAACCAGCGAATTCAGGTGCACAAATGCCTGGAGCCAACGATGGCCAAGGTAGAAACATTGGACAGCAGCCCGTAAACGCCGGTTCCCGGTCCCGTCTGCGAGGTTGAACCGTCGACATCGGCCCAGATTGTCTCAGGAGTACATCCAGGATCAGGCTCTAGATGATGAAGCTATGGCGCTGCAAAATGACGACGACGAGATCATCGAGGGTGATTCTGAGGATGAGGACGATATGTACCACGAGTATTTAAGTACAGTTTCTCGGACCGTTTTCACGCACGACACGAGAGGGATTTCTGGGGTCTCAAGGGAAAGTCCTGCTGAGGGATGTGATTGATATTGATATTTGTACGAACACGACTGCTCAAGATAAAAGGAAGACTGCCCAAGATAAGAGACATTACAGGGGAGGAGGGTGGTTCAGTCTTGAGGACAACATTGTGGGTTGAGGAGGAGGTGGTGATGTCAGAATAGGGTTCTCATGGATTGACCCGGAGAAGGATTTCTAAAAGTGATGGAGGAGTGCTTTATACCTGTACAGTTACGAAGCGGGACAATGGAGGGAAGACGGGTGGTGATGAGAGTTGTAGGCCGAAGCACTGCAGGGAGCTTTTTCTTTTTCTTCATGTCGGGTATGGACTAGGACTGTCGACTACTGTAGTAAGTATTATCCGCATTATTAATCCTTCCTTTCTGCTTTGTCTGTTTCCAGTCGCGCCCCTTTCTTGAGCTTGCCTGCCTATTGATTTCCTGCTATCGAAGCCATCTGTTAAGTTGACATAAGAATTATAAGATGCGTTTCTCCGCTTTCTGAATTCCGGCAGTCTTCCATTGATCAGGCTACACTTGCAAAAACTCAACAAGGGCCATGTTCTTTTCAATCTTGGTTGTTTGAACGAAGGTTTCCACCATGGAAAGATCAATGAGAAGCAGTGTTCTATTGATCACGTTGCCCCTTTGCCTAGGTATGGTATCCTTAGCGGTGGTTTTGGCCTCTCAGTGCCACCAAGACTTGGATCAGCTCCCTGAAGCTGGGAGTCATTTCGAGGAAGGGGAAGATGGGGTTGAACAAGACAGCAACAGGGGCGTGGGAGAAAGGCTCTGGATTGATGAAGATCAGTGGCTGATTACACACCGTTTTCTAGAATCACGATGAGGGAACATACACACACAGCTGAGCACTATGCTGCCTTCCCACCGGAGGAGAGACATGAGAATGCTCACCAGCCTCGTTCTCTCGTCCAGCATCACAACCAAGGCGATGGCGTGAGAAATAGTCAGACAGAGAGGGGTCACCAGGCGTGCGCTATATGAGTGGTCCGAGGGCGCATTCCAGGATTCACCCCCGCACCTGACTGGCCGGGGACGGAACGGAGCTGGATCCGGGCGGGGTCCCGACGTGGCAGGGCATCATCTGCACGCACTTCGGTCACGGCCCCTCCCGCCCTCATTCGCTAACCCCCTCGCTAACGCCGGCCCAAGACTCCCTCCGCGCTGCAGCAAAGACTTCTTTTGAGTCTAACACGCCCCCACATTCAACCTTTTCCCTGCCTGCGAACCCCCAAACAGCTTGGTGTGTTGTGCTGTGTTGGGTTGTGTTGTGTTGTGTTGTGTTGTGGCCTGTTAAAAATTCCATGCATGCCACCTCTGACTGTGTTACCACGCTTCTCTCCTCTTCTCTTGTCGCAATGCTCCTCCTCCATCAACAAATCACTTGACTTGACGAACAGCGCGTTTGCTTGCTACTAGGTACTCAAAAAATGACCCTCATCGAACACGACACCCAGGGCGTCGAAGTCGACCAAGACTTTGACAAGTTCGCCCAGAGCCAAGAAGCAGCCACCTCGTCCACCACCTCCCTCCACAGCAGCCTCGTCAACTACGAGTGGAAACACGGCCGCCGCTACCACTCCTACCAAGCCGGGAGCTACTCCTTCCCCAACGACGAGCGCGAGCAGGAGCGTCTCGACCTGGTCCACCACGCCTTCTGGCGCACGCTCAACGACCGCTTGTTCCTCGCGCCCATCAACCCCGACGACGGGCTCCGCATCCTCGACATCGGCACCGGAACTGGACTCTGGGCCATCCACCTTGGGGAGGACCACCCTGGCGCAAAGGAGATCATCGGCAACGACCTCAGCCCCATCCAGCCGAGGTGGGTGCCGCCCAATGTGCAGTTCATCGTCGACGATGTCGAGCTCGACTGGGTGCATGCCGGCGTGAGCGTCGAGCCGTATGATTACATCCACTGTCGGTACATGGCGGGCGGTATCAGGGACTGGCCGAGGCTGGTGAAGCAGATGTATGACAATGTCAAGCCGGGTGGGTGGGTTGAGTTTCAGGAGTCGGCCAACACGCTGTACTCTCAGGATGGTACCCTGAGCAAGGACAATGCCATGGTTCGCATGATGGAGGGTTTGATCTTGGCGTGCGACAAGATTGGGCGGACGTTGGATCCGGCGCCGCAGATGGAGAAGTGGGTGAAGGATGCTGGGTTCATCAATGTCGAAGTGCAGAAGTTTAGGCTGCCGATTGGTAGCTGGCCGAAAGATGCGAGGTTGAAGGAGGTGGGAACGTTGATGGCGGTCAATTTCATCGAGGGTGTCGAGGCGTTCACGGCGTCGCTGTTTAGGGATGTGCTAGGGTGGTCGCAGGACGAGGTGTCGGCGTTGAATGCCGAGGTGAGGGCTTCGGCGAAGAGGGGGAATGCGCACGCCATATTTGATTTCTTGGTTATCACTGGGCAGAAGCCAGAGTAGGTGTCATGGGGTTGGACACCCCGGCATGTAGAGATACCACAATGCTGTCCCCCACCTTGATGACGAGTCCCGCTGATTGTTCATGGATCTCTCAAGATACACAACCCAGATCTAGACCAGTCCATGGATCCATGCCCAGCTGATTGACTTGCATGTCTCACCTTGCACTCTCCCCATTGGCGATTCCTCGCCCACCTGTTTCTGACTCGCACCACAGAATCAAGATCCCATTCGTTTATCTGACACCTGATAGTGTTACGGGCATTTCAAGCTTGCGCCTCCGCCCCTTCCCACTCCCCGTCGCTTCGTTTAAAGAAAGCGGAGAACTATGTTCGTGTTCCTGCCAGCAGACGTCCAATGACATCATCGTCGTCCCCGTCCCCGTCCCACGGCTGTGGCTCCCTCCCGTGTTTAAAACCCCTCCTTTCCAATTCAAACCTCTGCTTTCAAATCTCCCCCATCAACATCCAGCAATACAGCCATAGCTTTCCTCAAACAAATCTTCCATATCCAACCTTTACAACCAAACCACATCCCTACCCAACATGGACTTCCTCAACAAAGTCACCGGCGGAAACAACACCTCCCAACCCGCCGACCACTCCAACAACCCCACCACCACCAACCCCACCGATCAGTCTTCCTCCTCCGGCGGCGGCCTAATGGACAAGTTTAACAGCCTCGCCGGCGGCGGCAAGGAGTCGGAGAAGAAGGAGGATCCTCTCGATAAGGGTACGTTTGGTCCACCAACCAACCTTACCCACTCCACTACGTCATCACCACTAACAAATAAAAAAATAAAAATAGGAGTCGACCTCTTCCAGCAACACGTCCTCGGACAGGGCGACCAGTCCAACGAGAGCGCCATCGAGCAGGCCAAGGATGAGCAGATCAGTGATTTCATTCGGGACCAGTACAAGAAGAATGCGGGGAAGGATTTTCCTGTGGCTGATAAATAGATGAGTGTTGGTGTTGGCATTTGCGGCTGCGGGCAATATGAGCAATGACTGGCTGGGAAGTTTGAAGGGGGTTAAGCCAGGGTTATGAGTTATGAAATTCAGACACTGATTCACTTCACATGCATGGGGGTGTGGTGGTGTTGTTTTGCAACCGTCTATTAAGTTGTCTATTATGGATTCCAGTCCCCCTCTTTCTTCCTGGCAGTTCTCCCCTCCTATTCAAAGTTTCATCTTCTTTTTAGTTGACGGTGGCCTGGTTCAAGTTGTTGATCAACCTCGCGCCATCAAACAAGCGGCCGTTGCCGGCCCTGGCGCGGCAGAGGTTCTTGCCGCGCTCGATGATGTTATTGGTGCAGGTCAGCTGGCTGTTGGCTACGCAGCTGAGTCTGGAGCCGCCTGTTTGTGTTTGTGTTAGCATCACTCCCTGACTAAGGAAAGAGAGATTGGGAAAAGACATACAGTTGTTACCACCGGGGACGCAGCGGCCGGGCTGGCCGTTGGCGGCGAAGCACGAGTCCTGCTTGAGGGACGTGTTGGCCACGCAGCAGGTGCCGCGGGGGACGGGGCGGTTCTGGTTCTGGCGGGCGGCGATGGCGGGGACGGCGGGGTTCTCGGCCGCGGGCATGGCGGTTGTGAGGGCTGCCATGGCGAGGACGAGGGGGGTGAGGAACTTCATTTTGAGAGATGGTGTGGTTGAAAGGGGGAGTTGAGACTTGGTTTTGGCGTTGTGGAAAAAGATAAAAAAAGAAGAAGGACCCGACCGGCGGAATGAATGTGGGTGTTTTGTGGTATGAAGACAGAGAATTGAAGAGAAGGTTGAAGGAAAAGGGGACGGGAATAGACGGCGGAATTGAAGACTGGCTTAAAGACGAAAAGAAGATGTTGGAGAGGTAGTGAGGGAGGTGGGAGATTTATAGTTGAGCGAGGCTCTGTGTCGATCGGATCATGTTGCCGAAGGAGGCTCACTAATTCCCCCCTGGTGGAGTCGGAAACCCACGATGGTGGTAGCGCTTGGATGTTTTGGTGGTTTTGGAGTGGCATTCTCAGGGGGTGTGCGGTTTCAACCCAAGGAATTCACCACTGTCGCGGGATTTGCAGCCGCTCCATTTGGGACAGCGGTTCGAGGGAGAGAAAGAAGAATGCATGGAAGGATCAGGCGATCGATGGGAAACATTGTTCGGATCGTCTGGGGAGGAGAAATCGTGGAAATCCGGGGTGGTTTTGAGACGGCTATCATGCCTTGACTTTGCCAAGCGCCCGTCTTGGCAGGGGGAGGGTTAAAGATAGTAGTTATTGGGAGCTTTGTCACGACGGGATGCAATGCTGTGGTGATCTTGAGTGCTGAACCTGGGACGAATGGTTTTGGCGAATGGCACAATGTCTTGCGATGCGAATCGGGGAATGGGATCAGGAAGATGATGCTCAGGAAAACAACAAGACCTCTCTCGGTTGGAATCAACCCGAGATCAGAGTCTAGCCAGAGTTGGATTGGCGGCTTCTTTGCTTCTCCTGGCGGCAGCGCCCGAGAACAAGGGGAGCGCGCCAAGCTTCGTGTCTCGGCAGTCGCTGGCAGCGGGAGAGCTCTTCTCACTGGTTCAACTTTATCGCGAGGCCGATATCATTCAACTTGAGCTCTAGATGGGGGAGTTCTTTGCTGAATTAACTGACGGTTTTCACGGCCAGAAGACATGACAGCAGTTTTCTCACATGAGCCTCTCACACCGGGAATTTTCGAACACCCACGGCTCATGTTCACTGCGAGCCAAGATCTCCTCAGACTGCAACGAATGAGAACAGAGCGTTTGATACAGACGAAGAATGACCGATCTAGGGAATTCTTTTCTTTCGTTTACTCATCACTGAAGAACAACAGCGATGACATGTTCTAGAATGGCCTCGGATTGTGCCTGGTGAGACCATCACCACACCACGCGTGCCGTCTTGGCACGCTCACAGGCTGTTCAAGCGATGAACTCCCAATCGCTTCACCAACTCGCCAACAACCAAACGATCCATCATATGACAGCTTGCCAATCAACGCCGCCAAGATATTCACTGCAGCAGCCAAGTTCTTTGCTCACACTCAACGGCGACAATCTGGTCCAGACACCAAAAGTTGATCAACAGGGGTTGGCACTGCAACGTCATGCTATCATCGACGTCATCAGCCTTTCCCGCTCCCCTCCTCACCAACCCTCAAGAATCATGATGCCGCTACAATCATTGTTTGAATGCCCGACAGCATGAATTCAGCATTCCGACAGCCACCTAGGTGAGAAACAACAGAAAATGGGCGACATTTACATCAGCAACGGAACCTGCTACGGATCCGCAGGCAACGAGCTCGACAAAAGCTTCATCCCGTGCGGAAATGCCGCCTTTGGACCAGTGACGTGCTGCGGAGCGGGAGATGTCTGTCTCAGCAACAACGCTTGCTTCGGCGTCCACGGCACGCCAGGATCATACGGAGCAGACCTGACCTATCTCGCCGGGTGCACCGACGAATCATACAGAGATGGGAGCTGTCCTGACAAGTATGGTATCGACCAGCCGTGGATCGCTTTGACGGTTTGCGATGACAGCGGTGGTGATTGGGCTCCGTGTCCTCAGGAGGGAAGCCCGACTACGCTGCAGAATGGTGCTTATTGCAGCTGTACTGATGCTGCGTCGACGACTGTCGCCATCAACAATTCGCCACGGCTGGCAGATATTGCTAGGTTGCCGCAGACGACTGGGGGGACTGTTTCATTCTTTCCGGGGAATGAGCCGACAAATACATCTCCTCCGGCTCAAACGACCGGCGGGGGGAATGGTGGAGGTCAGTCCAGCTCCCAATCGCAATCCCCATCGCAATCGCAACCACAACCAGGAACAACAGGCCAACCGCCAAATACAGGATCATCAAATACCAGCAGCAGCCCAATACCATCAGAGACAGGCTCACCAGGTTCAGACTCGGGAACGGGCTCGGACTCTGGCTCGGACCCAACCGGTGGTGGTGGTGGCGGGAGCTCTTCTTCAGGCGGCGGCCTGAACTCTGGCGCCAAGATCGGCATTGGCATAGGAGCTGCCATAGGAGGGCTCATACTGATTGCTACTCTGCTCACCCTCTGGCACTACAACCGGAAGAACCGCCGATCTGCCTCTGGTGCCGCCGGGATTGAAGAAGGCGGGGAAAAGCCAAAAAAGGCATTCGCGCCTGTCCCGTCCCCTCGCGCATCCGAAGCTGACTCCAACCCTGTCTCGGAAGCGGACGGAAAAGCGGTGACACGGCCCTGGAGCATGAGAAGTGAGCTTGAAGGGAATAATACTGCTGCTGCCGCGGCAGGGAAGAAAGCGCCAACGGCGAATGGAAATCAAAAGGTTAATACTGATGGGGCAGCACGTCCGGGGGTGGGGGAGTTGGATGGGAGAGAGGTGCAGGAGCTTCCACCGCACCACGATCTGAGTCCGGTGGCAGAGCTTCCTGGGAGCGAGGCGTGGGCCCAGGCCCCGGGAGGGGGGAGGGGGAGGGTATGATGCGGGCTGAGATGGGACATTTTCTTGCTATGGTTGAGTTGGTCCGGCAGGCAATTTTCACGCGGTTGGTGGACTGATTTAGGGGGTACATATATTGGGGCCTTGGCTGATGTTACTTTATACCAGATGGGTGTTCATGGGGGATTTACATAATTCTAATAGCAAAAGGCTTGTACTTTGGTCTGTGTAACGTTTGGTTAAACGTGGTTGCACATGCTGTTGTGTGACCACATCAACCACCCGGATGGAGTGGTATTGGTCAATAGAAGGGGGTGACTGCAGAGCTTATTCTCTTGGCTTGGGTCTTGGCCTCGGTTTTCTATCACCGAGAGGAGTTGGACGCGGTAGGTTGATGCAGGAGAGGCGTGTTACCATGTTGGGGATTGGGGACAGGCCGCATTGTCTGAGGACCAGTTTCTCCCGGGGGGATGGGTTGGGTCAAGTTTAAGTTGAGGTGGCCTCCCTTTCTTGGGGATGGTTGGGTTCGAGCAGCCGCACCCGTTCAAAGAGGCACACCACCACCTATCCGTCATGACCAAGCTGTACCGATCTGCTGCTGCTCTCGTTCTGTCCCTCCCTCTCTTGGGTCTGGGACAGCAGCAGGCGGCGGCACCTGATCCATGGGCGTTCACCCACTCGAACCAGGAAAAGGCCATTGTCTTGTCTCATACCGGCGGCTTCAACATTGGCAGCAAGATCGTGGCTGACCCTCGACGTCCAGGCCAGACAATAACCTGTGATCACGGGTATTTCGTACGTCCCCCCATTCTCGTTTTCTTTCCCGCCCATTTCCGCTGACCTTTTCCCCCAGGAATACTTCATTCCCCTCCACTCCCCCCCCCAAGGCCACCTCCGCCGGACAACCTCCCTCGTCCTCTGGCACTCCTCCTCCACCCAAACCTTCCAAAACCGCTGGGACGGCGGGCCCGGGTTCAAAGACCTCCTCCTCCGCCTAGGCTACCCCGTCTACCTCTTCGAAGCCCCCCGCCTCGGCCGCGCAAACTGGGCTTGCAAACCCCACCGCTACGACGTCACCTACCGCGACCAGGACAACTTCCTCGCCTGGAATTTCGGACCGTCCTACCTCAACTGGTGGCCTGGCTTGCAATGGCCCGAGGACCCCGAGGTCAGAAGACTAAGCTGGGAGCAAGCTACCGGGGGTAGGTATGTGGAGTTTGATGACTACGAGCATATCCTCCTCCACGCTGAAGTAGCCGCCAAAGGGGCTGTTCACACTGAGCAAGGAGCAGAAAGAGGGGGGGTGGTTTACCTGACGAATTCTGCCGCGGGTCTGAGGGCGTTGCTTGCGGCTACGCTGAGCGATGAGACGGTTGGGAAGATAAGGGGGATTGTGGCGTATGAGAGCGCGGGGTACGTCTTTCCCGAGGGGCATAACGTCACCGACAGGAGGGATGAGCCGTTTGGGCCGTTGGTGGTGACGCAGGAGGCGTGGAGGAGGTTGGCAAAGTTGGATTTTGTCCAGTTTGTTTGGGGGGATAATCACCCTGAGACGGGGAGCGGGTTTTGGGATGAGATGGTGGTGCAGAGTAGGCTTTGTGCGGAGCTGATTAACCTGTATGGGGGGAATGCGGAGGTGGTGAAGCTGAAGGAGGATTTGGGGGTGGTGGGGAATACGCATTGCCCGTTTACGGATATGAATAATGAGGTTATTTTGGGGCTGTTGGAGGAAAGGTTGGAGAGGAGTGGGTTGGATGGGTTTGAGGGGCGGGTGGGGAAGGGGAAGGGGAAGGGGAAGAGTAAGTGGAGAGGTTAAAGGACTGCTTTGAAGGTTTCTTTCATAATGGAGGGATGCTCGTGTGTGTTTATGTTGGCTCGAAGGTGCAGCACAAAAACTGAAATGCTGTTCTTGCCCCCTTCTTCTGAGTCCCTGGATCGAAACAGTGCCTCGTTTCCAACCCATATCAACCAGATGTGTCCCCTAAATCGTCAGAACTAAAGTTTCGTCACCACCACATCATCCACCAACATCCTCACCGCTCTGTTGTTGTTGGACTGGATCCGGAAGGTAAGGTCATTCCCGCCCCGTGTTGCTGAGCAGACAAAGGTATAGCCGATTTGAGTCCATGCCAAAGAAGAACCCGCACCTGACGTGATCGACCTTCCGCCCAGAACAACCGACCACGGATTCCCATTTGTGTAACTGGAAATAACGCTGATTCGGAATGTGAGCCTATAATCAGCCCCTGGCTCGCTGCAGAAAGAGACGCTCGTTAGCATACCACTATGCGTAAAGGCCCGAGGAGGCTGACACACCAGTTGATAGTTTGAGACACAGAAAGTCCGGCGATGGTGGCGCTGACAAAGTAGCTCGACTGGATCTCCATCACGTAATTGCCAGCACCCTGTGAGATAACCCCAACGCTGGCACCGGTACCGACCCTGTTGGTGATACTCCATCCTTCCAGCGAGTTACCGCTGAAGTCCCCGTTGGTGATCAACGGAGATGGTGCTGCTGATGTGGTGGACTCGGGCACGGAAACAGTGGATGTTGTGGGCTCAGGCGCTGTTGTCGTGGTGAGTTCGAGTGTCGACTCTTCGGCAGTGGTTGTCGTGGTCACCTCAGGGGTCGGGGTTGCTGTGGGCTCGAGCGTAGACTCTTCAATTGGAGTTGTGGGGGCTGGCTCGGTTGTCGTGGGCTCGGTTGTAGGTTGCTGGGTAGATTCTTCCTCCACAGGTGTCGGGCTAACGGTGACATATTCGGTAACGGTCGGTGTTTCAAAAATTGTGCTTGTGACATCAGCAGTGACGGTAGCAAGCTCAGTAGTCGCTGTGATCCCAATGCATCCGCAAGCAGAAGTGAACTGCAGTGGCTCGACGGAAGAAGCGAAGCTGCGCAGGCAGCTCAATGGCAGTCTGTTGGAGCAGCCCCTTTTCCTGCGTCTAGCTTTCAGGGGTAGACTTTGTGCGATGGTCGTGGGTTCGGTGACAGGTTCGGTGATAGTTGCAGTTTCGGTGACGGCATTGGTAACGGTGCTGTAACGATACACGTCAGTCTCCATGCTCTGACGGATTCGAGAAAGTTGTAGAGGCATACACGGTAGGGGTGACAGTGACGACCTCGGTGAATGCAGTTGCTGTGACGATCGAGTTGGTACAAAATTGGCTGGCCTGTACCAGTGAACTGCTGAAACAGTTCAACAGCCCATCCTGGACGCACTCCTCGACATCATCGCGTTGCTCTAGCTTTGCTGAGGTAGCTGCGCCCAGAATGACCCAAAGGTTGCCAGCGAGGAGGAAAGACGAACGCATGGTGGACGTGCGTAAATGAATGACAGTCACTGGGAAACAAAAAAAATGAATGACAATAGGACCGAGGATCCAAATGCAAAGCCCGGGCGCGTGCGGTCTTTTTGTTGACATTGGCATGGTCCCGAGGGTCTGGAACGCGTGGATCAAGACCCCTGTCGCAAGCTGATGGCTGAAAATCCGATTCTGGAAGCGCTATCGATTTTTCAAGATGAATACTCCATCCTCCTCCCATCTCCCATGATTCCTGGAACCTCGGCATTAAATGGATACACTCTGCCGCCGGCAGAGCGTTGATGGGTAATTGCACCTTGACCGAGACACAACGCCACTCTATGGGTCGCCAAGTATGCTCAACACTATAACTAGGTATGTAACCTGTCAGCAAAATATCTAGCTTTAATGGCGGGGAGCTATGGTCCAGTGAGTAAGCCCATAATGTCCCTATAGTCCTCGCGCCGAGGAGAAAAGCGGGAGTCTAGAAAGACTTGGATTTTGAAAAAACACACAAGTAGTGTGAGCAGCCCCTCCTCGGTCACAATGCTCAGTCAATCCTCACTCGAAAGGCCGGCGTGCTCTGCTATCTTCATTTTCGTCGCTCGCCATGGATCCTGTCACGGCCATCGGGCTGATGTCGGGCATCCTGACATTTGTACCATTTGGCACCAAGCTTGTCAAGGGAACCATTGAGATTCGGGAAGCGCTCGATGGCACACCGGACGAAATTCGCACCCGTCAAGAGGTGGCCCAGGAGATGAAACGGCTTTCCGCTCGACTCTTACCGCCGGACGATACTAAGCTCGCCGCCGAAGAAAAGAGTCTTTGTCTTCTCGCCAAAGAGTGCTCGTCGATGTCGGAGCAGCTGATCAAATTGCTTGAGGGTGTCAAGTCCGACAACAGCCGATCCATAAGACAAAGCTTATGGTCATCCTTGAAAAGCAAAATGCATGGAAAGGAGAGGGTGGACTTGGAGCAGAGATTAGATCACTGCCGAAACCAACTTGCGCTTCAACTTTTGTTTGTCACGAGGTCTGTTTCGTGTCACCACATCTACTTGGATCTTGTATCATACTGAGTTCGGATTTCTAGTCGCCAAACGGATGCGTCGCTGCAAACTCTATTCAAACTAGTCAAAGATGATGCTGCAAAGCTCGAATATCTACGACAGTCCATCAATCGACTTGAGCAACAAGTTCACCTCTGCGATCTCAGTACCGCTGCGCAGGCGCAGATACGAAGCCTTCTACCCCTTCCAGACCACGTCTCAAATAGCATTGCGCAAGACCGGGTGCTTCGCGCATTGGCTTTTGATGGTATGCAAAACCATCAAAACCTCGTTCAGGATCCTCACGACACGACGTTTGAGTGGTTCGTGCATGCAGCGAAATCGTTGCAAGAAGAGGCGCAGCGCGCAGCCAGGGAAAAGTTCACTGGTTGGCTAGAATCTGGCCACGGTGTATTTCACATTTCCGGGAAGCCTGGCTCTGGTAAATCGACTTTGATGAAATATCTGATAGAACACACTGCGACATCTGGACATCTCAACGTTTGGGCCAGTGAGTTGAGCTCCCTGGGCTTAAAGTCAAGCCTCGAGAAGATGACTCTAGAATTAACCAGCTACTGATTGTTCACTTTCAGACAGTCGAAAACTAGCGGTCGCTCAGTTCTTTTTCTGGCGGCCCGGTACAGAGCCTCAAAGATCTCTCGGCGGGCTCTATCGGACTCTACTTCACAATGTCTTTCAAAAGTGCCCAGAACTTATATCCGCCGTCATGCCTTCCTTCTGGCAAAGGTTACAATCGATGCCGTGGCAGCTGAGCTCTGATCTCGAGGTGACGGAGAGCACAGTCAAGGCAGCTTTCAATCGTCTTATCAGTAGTGAGGTGGCCGAAGCATTTCCGAACCACTGCTTTTGCCTTTTTATTGATGGCCTGGACGAGTACGAGGCAATAATCCAGACGGACCATACAGATCTGGCTGCACTACTCAACAGCTGGGCAGAGGCGGGCCTTTCATCTCGCAACATCAAGCTGTGTGTCTCCAGCCGTGAATACAACTCCTTCATGAACCTGTTCTCCGACGACAGGCGGCTGCGGCTTCATGAGCTTACTCACAGCGACATGGTCGCCTGTGTAAGAGACAAGCTTGACCGCATATCTGGGTCGGATGGTTTCGACCAGTTGGTCGAAGACATTGTGGAGAAAGGACAGGGTATTTTTCAGTGGGTTGGGATTGTGGTCAAGAATATGAGATACGAGATCGACAACGCAACTACCGAGGCCCAAGAGTTCAAAGACTCGCTGAAGATGCTGCCAAGCGAGATAAACGACCTCTACAAGCACATATTTGACTCTCTACGTGATACAAAACGTGCATACCGCACGTTGGCAAGTGTTTCCGAGGCAATGGAAACAGGCGTTGCTTCCTTTTCCGTGGATGCCTACTCTTTTTTTCAAGATTATGAGCGGGACAGGAGTTTCGTTGTAGGCAATTCATTTCCTGCCACGACAGAATCATCACGGCACAAGCTTGGTAAAACACGCCTCCGTGGGTGGGGCGGTGGACTACTCGATACCAGAACAGTCACCCTGGGAGGAGTCCGACGGCTCTACGCTGCGCATCCATATACGATGGAAGTTGTGCAATTTACCCACCACTCGGTCAGAGACTTCCTTGAACACCCCGATGGTCAACAGAAGATGCTGGAGCTTCTTGAAGGCTTTGATGTCTTGGACGCAATTTCGCAAATGCACCTCGCAGATTTACGAATGATTCGCGAGAATTGCCCGGGCTTCGATACCTCATATATATTATTTCGTGAACGGCACAGGAATGGCTCAGACAAAAGTCCCTACATTTTCCTGGATGCATGGGATAAATTCTGCCCTGATGAAGACTCTCTTGAGCCCAGCCCCGGGCACTATGACGTCCTTCTTCCAGCGGGCGACAGTGCCTATGGGTTAGCAACTTGTGCATTTTGGGGTCAGAGGGTGGTCCGTGACATAATAGAAACAGATATCGGGTGGATGAACCGCCCTATTTCCACCGGCATCTGGTTAGGGACGTCCAAGTACCCACCACGGAAAATGACAAATGACCCAACTGTCACCGATAGCTCCCACAAAGTGGGGTTGCTCGCAAATCTCATACTTAACTGCCACAGAGAGAGAACAACTCATGAGGAAGAAGACTTTGCCATGTTGGACTTTCTCTTTGACAAAGGCCTAAGCGACCCAACACATCTTGGGGCCAGCATTAACAGAAGTCGCGATGTTCAAGTTGAACCGGACGTGGGCGGGATGCCTCAATTGACCACTTGGCACCGTTTCTTACTGTATGAGTGGATGTATCAGCATGCGGAACGAGTATGGGGTGGTCGCCTACCGCACGAGCAGCTTGACGCAAGATTTGGAGAAGCGGTAGCGTGGTTTCTCAGAAAGGGCGCCGACCCGTACTTCTCTGCGAGAATAGAGTTTGTCAGGCGGCCATATAACGAAGACGAGCTCGAATCAGTAAGTCGAGATCGACAAATCAGCGCTTATCGTGGCCCTCCCATCCGTCCCAACAGCCTTCGCAGCTTTCGAAAGATAACGATTCAGTTTCGGAGGAGGACGGCCAATGGAGATACAGAACAATTTGTTGTTAAAGAAGAGATCCCCGTTTGTTTCCATCTGTAGAAAAGAAGGCAGTGGAACGATCATGCATCGTTGCAAGATTGGGTGCAGGATCTTCAGATGGATTCCAAAGCCAAGACGGAGCTACTACGGCTTGTAAAGAGAAAGTCACAGGAGCAAGCCACCCTTGATTTCTGGAGCAACATTTTCTCAGCAGCATACGGCTTATCTCACGCGGCGTTTGGAAACGGTCAAGCGCCTCCTTGGGCACTTTTTTCAGGATCATATCACCTTGTGATCCCAATTTTGGCGCCCCTTTTGCTTACCTGGGTTGTTTTGTTGCCCCTGCACAGATTTTTTCCACCGAAAACGTTGCAGGATGAGAGGGATTTGGCTGTTGGATTTACCTCCATACCCATCTAAACAATCTTTCGTATGTTGTCGCACTGAGCCCCCGAAGTTGGATATTCTCATGTAGCTTCACCAGTTAAACATCCGAACACCTGTCCTGGAGGAACCTTGATTGATGGTGAATGAATCTGGCAGCCATCAGTTGTCTGTAATAGAATCCTACATGGATACTCCAAGCTCCCTGATGATTATTGATGTTTGATGAAATCTGGTACCGTTGGGTGAACAATAAACAAAGGTGGCACAAGCGGCATCGGAATCCTCAAACACTCTGAGGGACCCAGTCTCGGACCATCCCATTTGCAGAGGCCGCCACGAGCTTTGTGCAACATGACCACAACCTGCTTTTGTTTCTATTGTTACGGCATCTGACGAGAACACACCATAGCAGGGAGTTTGGTCAAATTTCTGCAACGTGGTGAGAGGACTGGGAGAACCGTCAAGGTTGCAGATGATATCCTGTATTCGGTACCTTCCCATAATCACGGATGATGCCACTTATACCCGAAACATAACATGGCCCAGTCGTGGGTGGTGCAGATAGATGCATGCACCTGTGCCATGATCATGACGGCCGTTGGCTGCCAAGGTCTAGACCTCCATCGATCTGCCATCCCAGCTTTGCTTGGCTCGATGCTCCGAACAGGTGCAGCCAGTTCAGCTACCCTGTTCCCTGAGCTGTTAGCCTTTTTAACACTTGATGCCGCATCTGATAGCAGCGATGAGATAGCAGCCCAACTACCCCGCACACCACTTTACGTCATGGCAACAGGGATCTGTGCTGCTGTGCTGCTGTGGACGTCAACACACGCTGAAACTCAATTCCTTGTTGGCCCATTGCGCCGGTCACCTTTCACGATTGCCAAGGCACTGATCGGGGTGCACTAGCTATTTTTTTCTTGTTTGGCGTCTTGGAGTCCCTATCTTTGCCGGCGCTGCTTTTGTTTTTGAGACATTTCTCTTTTTCTTCCTCTCTATCCTCTCATTCCTCGGTGCGACGCGTTTCTCTGGTCTTGGGTTCAGATCTTTCGCCAGGCTATCTAGAGTAGCAGTAGTGGGACATCAAGGTTCACGATACCAACCAACGTTTCCCAGACAACCACCACTTCACACCATGGGAGGCCTAAGCTGGAGAAAACTTCTCGGCTGGGATCGCCATCCTAGTGACGGCCATCGTCACGATTATGACAGCTGGTGGCATGATTCTCGTCGGCGTCGTAGGTCTTGTCCATTCTCTCTCCAATTGCCGGATTGCTGTTAACGCGCCAAGAAGTGCTCCCCCACTACCACGATGAATCTCTCGAGTCTGCCATTCCTCCACAAGCCGTCACCGAAGTAGCCCTCCGATTGCGCCACCTGATCGAGCAGTGTGTTCCTTGCGAGTTGAACCCCGATCTGGTCACCCGCCCTCACAGTAAGGTCATCACCACCAAGGTGATCAAAGCAGCTAAGGAGGCCGGTGGGAAGGAGCACGGCGCCTGTGTGGTGTTTTGTCTGCTGGTGAACAAGCGCTGGTGGAAACACCAGAGTCTGGTTGAGTTATGGGATGCCGATTTGCATAACCTCAGGGCGGTAGCTTGTGAGGTTATCGCCAAGCAGATGTAAGTCGTGTTTCTGTGTCTTGAGAGCTCCGGCAACAAGCTGACACACCACAGTATCGAGACTGAGAATGATCCTACTTACCTCATGCACTCGGTCCTCCTCAAGCGGTACTCTATCATCATTGATGGCAAGCCCACACCACCAGCCAATGTCGTTGAGCGAGCTGTTGATCTCCACGCCCTTAGAGTGATTGGTTCATCCGGCTACCAAAAATGCATCAACTTCCTCTGGAAGGGCTGGCTAGTCCAGGATGAAGACGACCCGTCCACCTTTGTGGACTACAAGGACAAGGACAACACGTCGTACTGCGCCCACCTCGACCCCGACCGCATGCGAGCACCCATGTACCAGAACGTGACGCAAATGCTCTTCTCCTTCTTCTATCTCACACTCTACACCCTTGCGATGAACTCGGTAAATGCCCGAGGAGAGATTGACCTCATCGAGGGGCTGCTGTATGTCTTCACCATTGGCTACATCTGCGACGAACTGTCCAAGCTCTGGAAAGCTGGGCATCAGATCCTGAGCTTTTGGCACGCATTCAACTCGGTCCTGTACGCGCTGGTGACCACCAGCTTGGCCATGAGGTTCATTGCGCTCAGTGCTGGGGTTGATGATCCGATCAGACATCAATACACGACGCTGAGCTACAACTTTTTGGCTGTCAGCGCGCCGTTGTTTTGGGGCCGGCTGCTGCTCTACCTCGACAGTTTCAGGTTCTTTGGCGCCATGTTGGTGGTGCTCAAGGTGATGATGAAGGAGTCGATGATCTTCTTTGCGCTGCTTATTGTGATCTTTATTGGCTTCCTCCAAGCTTTCATCGGCCTGGACTTTGCTGAGGATCAGGCGGCCGAGGACTTTTACTTTATCATTCAGGCGATGGCGAACGCGCTGATGCAGAGCCCGGATTTCAGTGGGTTTGATAAGTTCAGTCATCCGTTTGGACTGATTTTGTATTACTGCTTTACTTTTGTTGTCATGGTATGTTTTCCGGAGACTTGAGGGAGATTGACAGAGAGCTAACGAAGAGATAGGTTGTCCTCCTCAACATCCTGATCGCGCTTTACAACTCGGCCTACGAGGACATCTACGACAACGCCAACGACGAGTATCTCGCCACGTTTGCGCAAAAGACGATGACTTTTGTTCGTGCCCCCGACGAGAATGTGTTCATACCGCCCTTGAACCTGATTGAGATTTTCTGCTTGGCCATCCCGTTCGAGTGGTGGATGAGCAAGAAGACGTATGAACACCTCAACGATATCGTCATGGCTGCGCTGTACTCGCCTCTGCTGCTTGTGTCGGCCTATTTTGAAATGAGGACTGCCCAGGAGATCAGAGGGAACAGGGCCCGGGGCGAGGAGGATGATGATACCATTGAGGAGTGGGAGCAAATGTCTGACCACTTTGACTTTGAGGGTGACGGGTGGTCCAAGACTGTGGCTAGCGCAAAAAGTAATCTGGAGGAGGATGCCGATGTGGTCGAGATTAAGAAGCTGAAGCAGGAGGTGGAGGAGCTGAAGAAGATGATCGAGGGGTTGACCAAGTTTATTGCTGGTGAGAAGGGGCTTGGAAATGGCGATACCGAAGAGCTAAAGGGGTTTGACGAGGAGGGAGAGTCTAGTGGTGGTGCTTAGGGTTTAGTGGCTGTGGTATTTCCTATGGTTGTATGGTTGTTTGCATTGCTAGCGGGCGTTTTTTGGCTTTGGCGAGTACCGCGGGTGGTAGACCTAATTGCATCTGTGTTGACTAGTGTTTCTTTTCAGAATTTACAGACGACGTGGTAATATCGCGCTGCCCTAGGGTTGAGTAGAGCCTTGATGAGACTCTGGAAGAGTCACCTTATCAATCAGCACATGTCTTCCACGAGTCATTCCCCTTGCCATGTCTACTTGACCGGGACCGTAGGTAACTTTCCGATTTTACCCCTTCTAGCTCTCACTTTTCTTAGGTCATGTCAAGGACATGACGGCTTCATGCCCCAGACGCTTAGAGTACCTTCTGGCGTCTGGTTTTCATGACCGAAGCTACCATCTCCGGAGAAGATCAGCAGATGCACGGCAGCAGCCCCATAGCTACCACGTGGCTCCAGCACAAATACCGTTCAACCTTCCCGCTCGTCTATCTACGCAACATTTGTCAACGCGGGAAAAAGGAAGAGCACTCCCCGCTCGCCCGCCCAGTTGCCGACATTCGGGAACAACCTCTTCATGTTCCCCAGATTTCTCTTCCGTTCTGGGACAAGCTCTATGTCACCTCTGCCGGGAGTGCTACCCCCATGCCCAATCTGTCAACTAGGACTTCATTTAGGCAAACAGGCTAAACACCCACCATGGCGCTCAACTGGCCAGCGATATTGACACAAGGCGCTGACGGAATGAGAGCACGAGATTCCAGGCTGTCAACTTGGCCAAACCTGTTCACGTCTTGGCCATTTATAGCACTTGAGGTCGGTATTTGTAGCCTCCGAGGGGATGTTTACGGGGTGGTGGGACATCACCAGCACGAAAGCATATAAGTCTGTCAACACCACCCGTCACCACCACTTTTACCCCCAAACTTCCCTGCCATTCAACAATCCCCAAACTCACCACCCGGCACCACTGCCACAATGAAGCCAACAGCTCTCCTCCTCCTCGCCGCCACAGGCGCAGAAGCTCACTGTAACTAACCCACCCCCCTTTCCCCCTTTTTTGTTTCTCCCACCCCCAAGACTAACCCTCCGACCCAGACCGCTTCTCCAAACTAATCGTCGACGGCGTCCCGGAAACAAAAGAATGGGGCTTCGTCCGCCAATCCAAAAACTACCAGTCCAACGCCGGCGTCACAGACGTAAACAGCAACGACATGCGCTGCTACCAAATGCGCACCGGCACCGCCACCGCGACCGTCACAGCCGGCACCCGCCTCGGCTTTGTCGCCATGTCAGCCGTCACCCACTTTGGCCCCGTGTCCTTCTACATGGCTCGCGTGCCCGACAATGCAAACATCAACACGTGGGAGCCAGCGGGGAATGTGTGGTTCAAAGTGGGGGAAATCAGTGCCCAAGCGGGGCCGAACGGGCAGCTGGGGAGTTCGGAGCAGAATTGGCCTGCTTATAGTACGTTTTTCTTGCTGATCAAAAGTGTGAGAGGGGTATGCTGACAAAATTGATGTGGTAGACCAGAAGGAAGTGTACTTTAATGTGCCCAAAGAGGTGCCAAACGGAAAGTATCTTGTTCGTGTGGAGAGTATTGCTCTACACCAGGCTCAGTCGGCGGGTGGTGCCCAGCTTTACATCAACTGCGCTCAGGTTGAGGTTGTGGGCGGGGGGAGTGGGCGGCCGGGCCCGCTGGTTTCTTTCCCGGGGGCGTACGGTAGGAATGATCCCGGGTTGGTGTGGTCGTATTATCCTGTTCGGACGAGCTACAAGGCTCCGGGGCCGGCGGTTTGGCAGGGTTGAGAAGGAAAGAGGGGTGTTGTACGACGGAGGAGGGTTGTTCACAGCTATTGCAGACGTGTGTCGCTTGTCACAACAAAGCTGATGACTGAGATGTTATATCGTCTTCTGTTCTGGACATCGATTGCCGAAGTTATTGTCGTCCGCAATCCCTACACCACCTACCTTGTTGAACAGATAGAATGGCGTAGTTGACGGGCCCCAAGTCTGCAGTTCGACGGCCAGTGCAAGTGTGCCCATTCGTCCTGGCTGTCTCAGGAGCGTAGCCATTTCCGTCTGCGCGCTCCGCAACGTCTTTGGCATCGTGTCCGACCAAGAGCCGAGTAGAATTCGTTCCACTCAAGGCAGTGTCGGGGCAGTTCATGCCGACGGAGAATTTAGTATTGTCTCCGGTGCTGAACACGACGCCTGGAGCGCTACCATAAAGGCCAACTGGGTAGTCAAAGAATCTTGTCTATGGAGAGAAGGTCAGCATTTGTGAGTCATGTGCCGCAAGAGACCGACGAACCTTTCGATAGGTGCAAATGCCACATGGGTAGCCAGAGGGCTTCGCTGAGCTCTTGTCGGCGGCCGAGATCTTGCGCGCCACTTGGAATCGTTTCGCCGTTGATGCGATGATCCTCGACCATGTTGATTTCGGTGTTCGGTCCGTTGAGGACGAAGAGTTGGTTGACCGCACTGCATGTGTATGATCAGCATTGTGAGACCAAGACATCGTAGGATACGTGACTTACTCTTTCACATGTCAATTTTTAAGCACAAATTCAGAGCCTTCACTGAACGAAAAGATCATGCCCTCAGGCCAAATTCGATTTCCCCAAACTACATGTATGGTGGCTACTCGTACACCCAGGATACGTCACCCTCCCAGCCATCTCCATCAACACCAACATCAAAATGATGCCCAGCAAAACCCGAGCCTCCCAACGTATAGTATTCCTCTCATTAGTATGCAGCCGAACCATTTCCACAAATTGAGCTATCAGCCTCCCCCTGTGAGATCACCACAGGTTCGAGTTGAAAGGCCGGCCAAGCGGGAAGGGCGGAAACGCCTAACCACGTAAGCAAAACCCTCACAGTTCCGCGCCACTCGAATCACCGAGTCAACCAGAGTAATTGGACCTCTGCCGCTGTAAACAGACACCCCATGGTACCGCCCTTCCCCAAAGTAGGGGACATTTGGAATAGCGGTCGCTTTTGCCAGGGTTCAATCGGTTTGGAACTGTAGAGGATGGAGCAAACAAGACTCCTGCGGTCCGGTGAGGAAAGATTTATAATGGATCGCCAACCGCCATCGTGAGAAATGGCAGCTGCCGCAGTAGAATCGCTCGAAAATTCTCCCCGTTTTTGCGTCGACGTGATATACGACACAGGCAGCATGTCGAAGAAAAAAAAGAAAATGAGTGCGCTGCGACACCAGAGGTGTGGGCTTACTTGAATGATGGGTCCGTCGACGGGAGTCATCGGATCCGAAATGGCGAAATCGCCAGCGGGATCGGGGGATGGAGTTTTCTGGGCCATCGCCCTCTTCTTGTTTTGGCGGCAGCAGGGAGCGGAATCAACGGTTCGTAGTGCGGCAAATCGTCGACAAGCGGAGAATATACCCCGCCATGGGGTTCTGTTTGAAATCCTCTGTGCAAAAAGGCGGAGAATGTCAGTTCAAGCCTGGAATGAGTCGTTGCGATAGGCAAGTAGCGGTGTAACATACCTTTGGTCGACTTGCCAGGGTGGGATTTGTCCCATGAGTGCTTGTGAATCGGACCTGTTCCCATTGTATTGGATTGAATTAGTGCAAAGGCGATCAGCAAGAGAAGAACAGAAAAAGTCGTAATAAATATCAACTGAGGCGGATACTGGCATACCAGGGGAGTTGAAACCACTTGAGGCTGTGGTGGTGCTGGGTGGGAGTGGGAGGAAGAGAGATTGCTAGGTGGAAGAGGTTGGAGAGAGAAGAGAAAAGAGAGAAGGGCAGCAGCGGAAGCGACTTGATTTGTACCTGAAATTTTGTGGGGCCGGCAGAATTCTTCAGTGAGTGGTAATATAGAAATCAGTCGCGACTCGAGTCAGAACAAAACAAGAAAGGGGAAAGCGAAGGCCATGAATAATGGATGGAAATAACACTTATATGTGCGTGTTTAAGTGGTACCTGAAAATACTACACCATGGAGAGTGAGTTGACTTGGTCGTCGCGGTGCCATCCTCTTCTGCGCATGGCACTCATCAAAAATTCAGGGATATGTTAGATGGATGGATCCGCTGAATTGAAACAACATTAAGTCAAACAAAGTCGAATCTTGTCATCGATATCGGGTCTAAAATGATGCTGTGGTGTCAGTAGCATATGGCAGCAGTCAATAACCTACAAGTACCATTCAGGATGTTGATTTAGTTGGGTGGCGAGTGTGATGATTTAAGGAATTTACTTGCTTATGGTATTCGTCCACGGGTAAGAGTCTCAAGTGACAATGGCTCTGTACCAGGTTGACTAAGGTTTGTTTTTGGTATATAGGTATATAAGTCCCTGTTCCGCAATATGGTTATAATAACTCTGATTGGGTCCCGGCAATGCTCTGTTGGCGTCATAACACAGTCGCTGGTAACTTTGGATACCTTAATGGGACAACTTTCTACACTAGGGGCTACCCCCTGGGCTATTGTATAGCTTTTGTTATACCTTGGTGTGTTTATTTTCACACGGCCATGATGTCCAGGGTGGCTAATGAGATGGGACGGTGGGATGGGCCAAGATAACCTCATTTTTCTGTGGGATAGGTCAAAATCAACGCCCGTTTCATCGTACGTCTTACAGTATATCTTCCGAAGCCTTTGAAACCCCGAGGGCTATTCTAGCCCCCCGTCACAAGCGTTAACTTTGTTGTTGAGACAGTGGGCAAGGCCACTGTTCGCTTCTCTTGCGTTGGGCTTCGGCCCCCTGTTTCTTTCTTTTTTTTCAGTAAGATGGGCCAATTTGTGAGGGTTGTGGGATGAGCCGAAGCTCCGGAGCCGTGGGATGGGATAAATCGAGGGTCATCTCATCTCAACTCATCTTATTAGCCACCCTAGTTCTAGCTGTCACGGATGAAGTAGGTACTCGAAAGCTCTCCCTGTTTTGAATCGACTTGATGTCCAGACCAAGCAACACGACGAAGAAAAGAAAGAAAACCAAGTGCCGGTACACAAGATTTGCGGGCTTACACTGATGCTGGGATCCACCGGCAGCGACGACAGCATCGAATTTGGTGGCGGCAGCGGCGGCACGCTGAGGCGCGAGGGAGGCTGGGGAAGAGGGACAGCCGGCCGTTATCCCCAATGGCTCTCGGCCTGAGGTGATTGACTTGACCATGGATGACGAGGAAGACATGGTCAAAGTTAAAGAGCCCGAGCCTGAAGATGGCGAGCATGTCGTTGTCTCCAACCCGGGTGATAGATTGTTTCTACCCAGAGAGATATAGGCCCCTGCCATGAGGTTGGCGCCGGTCTGGGCATTTTTTCTGCGCAAAGAGTTGACAAGTCAGTCCAAGGGCTGAATAGATAGCGATGGGAAACAAGTTTAGAGGTCTCTCAAAGAAGCGGCGCTGTGTTTGTATTCTTCATCCAAGCTGAACATCATGGTCGCGCGCGTAAACGGAGTGTTTGATGAATAACACGGTATCTGAGCGCGAAACTCTGTTTGGATATGATCTGAGCTTGACCCATATGTCCGTCAACAAGCGCTGCTGTATTTGTCCTTCTTATTTAAGCTTCAATTGATGGGATGGTGACAAAGAATGATGGCTTAAATAAAGCGTCGACTGTACATATATCTAAAATTGTTGCAATTATCGTATGTCGAGCTTCGATGGGTACCGAGCTTGAATGAAGTATGATCTGAACAATAACACATGAAACTGCTGGTGACACCCCCGTGGCACAGTCAACCGTCATGTCGTAAGGTAATATGTCCATAACACACTCTTTCATAGCTGCAATACGTCTGGCATATTCAGCAATGCTGCCGTTCGGATCAATGTTGAAGTCGGATGTCGTTAAAATGGCGGCTGTTCTTCGGCACATTCCCCACGTCAACTGTTTGGCCCCCACGTGGCGACAGCTGACGAAGAGCTGGCGGCGGGCCTGGGGTGGCGTCCCAGGAAAAAGGGACGCTAAGCCTAATTGGAGGCAAAAGCACACCTAATTCCATTGCATCCTACGGCCTTCGGCGCTGCGCTGTTCACGTCTCCGTCTTGCCGCCAAATTTCCCACGGCTCCGTCATCTCTTGAGCCACCGCAACGCGACGACCACCGAATAGAAAACGACCCGCCACGGCGACCATCATCAATGTGGACACCATAGACGGATAATCTCTTCTCACTCTCTCTTTTCCCTTCTTCTCTGCAACATCGGCCAGCCATGGCGCCGCTCGTCGATAACTCGCAGATTCAGTCCGCTGAACTGCTGCGCCCGCTGCCTCTGGCCCAGCATGCCTACATTTGGCCGTTTGCCATAATATGGCCCATCTTTCTACGATACTACCTCAGCGAGGAACTCTACAACAAACACATTGGGGCGCCGGAATGGACATTTGTCTGGGTTGGCTCTATCATCACTGTCCAGGCGCTGACCTGGCTCTGCACACACTGGAGCGTTAACCTTGATGCCACGTTCACCGCCCGGAAGGTCCGCACCATCGAGGATGCGAAACTGATCAAGGTTGTCCCAATTGCGAATGCCGGCTCTGCTGAGATTTGCAAGCTTGTTCGCGACAAGGTGAGCTCTCGCAAACCCCCGACATTCTGGCTTCTCGGAAAGCAAAGAACAAGTACAGGGTCTAATCTTGAAAAATATCCAGGTCGGAGGCAAGCCCAACCTCTCGTTCCTTTTCCAAAAGCGCCGTTTTCTCTACGATCCTGAGACCAAGAAGTTCGGTACCCTTGCCTACGACATCGATGCTAGCCCTGCCCCAAAGCTTGAGAAGTTCCAGAAATCCAGGGGTATCACCAGCGCCTCCGAGTTGGAGCGCCTCGAGCAGCACTATGGCACCAACACTTTCGACATCCCAGTCCCAACTTTCACCGAGCTCTTCAAGGAACACGCGGTCGCCCCGTTCTTTGTGTTCCAGCTGTTTTGCGTGGGTCTCTGGCTGTTGGATGAATACTGGTACTACTCGCTCTTCACCCTGTTCATGCTCGTCATGTTCGAAAGCACCGTGGTCTGGCAGCGTCAGCGCACCCTTGTTGAATTCCGAGGAATGAGCATCAAGCCTTACAACATCTACGTCTATCGCCTCGGCAAGTGGACTGAAATCCAGAGCGACAAGCTTCTGCCTGGCGATTTGGTCTCAGTCTCGCGCACCAAGGAGGACAGCGGTGTTGCCTGCGATATGATCTTGGTCGAGGGTACTGCGATTGTGAATGAGGCCATGCTCTCCGGTGAGAGTACTCCTCTTCTCAAGGATTCAATTCAACTTCGTCCCGGCGAGGCTGAAATCGATATCGAGGGTCTCGACAAGAACTCTTTCCTCTGGGGAGGCACCAAGGTCTTGCAGATTACCCATGGCAACACTGAAGAGGAGAGGCCTAAGCTTGCTTCAGGCGTTCCCGCGCCTCCTGACAACGGAGCCATGGCTATTGTCACCAAGACTGGTTTCGAGACTTCCCAGGGAAGCTTGGTTCGTACCATGATTTACTCTACTGAACGCGTCTCGGCCAACAACGCCGAGGCTCTGTTCTTCATCTTGTTCTTGCTTATCTTTGCTCTTGCAGCCTCTTGGTATGTCTGGGACGAGGGTGTCAAGAAGGACCGCAAGAGATCTAAGCTTCTGTTGGACTGCATTCTCATCACCACAAGCGTCGTGCCCCCTGAGCTTCCCATGGAACTCAGCTTGGCCGTCAACACCAGTTTGGCTGCTCTTGCCAAGTTCGCTATCTTCTGCACTGAACCCTTCAGAATTCCCTTCGCTGGCCGCATCGATGTGGCATGCTTCGACAAGACTGGCACTCTCACAGGAGAAGACCTCGTGGTTGAGGGTATCGCTGGTCTTGGCCTGGGCCACTCTGGCACTGACACCCCTAGGGAGACCGATGGCGCCCATAGCCATATGACCAAGGTCCACGATGCTGGCCTCGAGACCACCCTCGTCCTTGCCACTGCGCATGCTCTTGTCAAGCTTGACGAAGGGGAGGTTGTTGGAGACCCGATGGAAAAGGCTACACTCAACGCTCTTGGTTGGTCCTTGGGCAAGAATGATACCTTGACTAGCAAACCTACCACTGTTGCGACTACCGGCATTGCTGGCACCGTTCAGATCAAGCGCCGTTTCCAGTTTTCTTCTGCTTTGAAGCGCCAGAGCGCTGTCGCCACCATCCATGCCACTGAGAACAAGGCCGACCAGAGACTAAAGGGTACTTTTGTCGCCGTCAAGGGCGCCCCCGAGACGATCATGAAGATGCTGGTCACTGTGCCCAAGGACTACGAGGAAACGTACAAGTACTTCACTCGCCGTGGTTCCCGTGTCTTGGCGTTGGCTTACAAGCACTTATCTGTGGATAACGAGCTTGGTATGAGCAGGATCAACGACTTGAAGCGTGAGAAGGTGGAATCGGAACTTACTTTTGCTGGTTTCTTGGTTCTTCAGTGCCCTCTCAAGGATGATGCCAAGGAGGCGGTTCGCATGCTCAACGAGAGCAGCCACCGTGTCGTCATGATTACCGGAGATAACCCGCTTACTGCTGTTCACGTCGCCAAGGAGGTGGAAATCGTCGACCGGGATGTTCTCATCTTGGATTCCCCTGAGCACAGCGTGCATGGTGAGGAGAAGCTCGTCTGGCGCAGCGTCGACGACAAGGTTCAAATTGAGGTTGACCCCACCAAGCCTATCGACCCTCAGATTATCAAGACGAAGGATCTCTGTGTTACCGGTTATGCTCTGAACAAGTTCAAAGATCAAGTTGGCTGGAAGACTCTGTTGCGCCACACGTGGGTGTACGCCCGTGTTTCGCCCAAGCAAAAGGAGGATATTCTCTTGGGTCTCAAGGATATGGGCTACTACACTCTGATGGCTGGCGATGGTACCAACGATGTCGGTGCGCTCAAGCAAGCCCACATCGGTGTTGCTCTTCTCAACGGCACTCAACAGGATCTGACACGCATTGCCGAACACGCACGCGACCAACGGATGAAGGGCATGTACCAGAAGCAGGTCGACCTGATGAAGAGATGGAACCAGCCTGCGCCCCCCGTTCCTGCCATGATCGCCCACTTGTACCCCCCTGGACCCAGCAACCCCCACTACGAGAAGGCCATGGAGCGCGAGGCTGCCAAGAGAGGTGTCACAGTCGCCCAGCTCGCCAAGGCCAACGGCACCGACATCGAGACTGTGACTTCTCCTGCCGCTCAGCTAGCTCTATCTAACCAAGACCCGCGGAGAGCATTACAGCAATCTGATGCTGTGGCCAAGGCCACCAACTTTGCCGACAAGCTTCAACAATCCATGATGGACGCTGAGCTTGACGATGAGCCCCCTTCGCTGAAGCTGGGCGATGCCTCCGTCGCCGCCCCCTTCACTTCCAAGCTCCGTAACGTCATTGCCATTCCCAACATTATCCGCCAAGGTCGTTGCACCCTTGTTGCCACCATTCAAATGTACAAGATTCTCGCTCTCAACTGCCTGATTAGTGCGTACAGTTTGAGTGTTTTGTACCTCGAGGGTATCAAGTTTGGCGACGGTCAGATCACCATCAGTGGTATGCTCATGAGCGTCTGCTTCTTGTCTATCTCCCGCGCCAAATCCGTTGAGGGTCTGTCCAAGGAGAGACCCCAGCCGAATATCTTTAATTTCTACATCATCGGGTCCATTCTTGGCCAGTTTGCTGTTCATGTCGCGACACTTATCTACATTGCCCGGTTTTGCGATAGGCTTGAGCCGTAAGTTTCATCTTCCCCGCCTGCTGTCTACTCGCATGCTGACTTGAGCGTATTAGTCGCTCCGAAATGGTCGATCTCGAGGCCGAGTTCTCCCCCTCCCTTCTCAACTCGGCCGTCTACCTCCTTCAGCTCATCCAGCAGATCTCCACTTTTGCCGTCAACTACCAGGGCCGTCCCTTCCGCGAATCGCTCTCGGAGAACCGGGGCATGTTCTGGGGCATTCTTGGCGTCACCGCCATTGCATTTTCCTGCTCCACCGAGTTTCTCCCTGAGCTTAACCAACAGATGAAGCTCGTGCCCTTCACCGAGGAGTTCAAGACTACCATGACAGCGGTGATGGTGCTGGATTATGTTGCTTGCTATGCTATCGAAATCGTTCTCAAGTTCTTGTTCTCGGACCTCAAGGCGAGGGACATTGCCGAGAGGAGACCGGAGCAGCTTGAGAGGGAGAGGGCGAGGAAGGAGGAGGAACGCAAGAAGAAGGAAGAAGAGGAGGATAGAAAGAGGGAGGAGCAGGTGAAGGAGTTTGAGAGGAAGCTGGAGGAGAATAAGAGGAGGCTGGCGGAGGCATGGGGGAGGAATTAAAGGTTGTTTTATTATTTGGAATACATAAGGGGTTAGAAGTGTTCTAGAGCGGAGGGCACGTATTGATACCTTTGATGAATGATTGTGTCAGGGGTTGGGTGGGAACGGAAAAGATGGGTTTTGGGATTGGGTGGGTTGGGAGCGAGGGCTTTTACACAAATGTATTATTTTTAGAGTTTTGAATGTACAATAAAAGAATGTGATGTCATGACTATGGGTTTCGTGTTGAGATTGGCTTTGTGGCTTGGTGGTGTGGGATGGGCTATGGTGGTTATGGTTTCCAGTGTATCTACTATAAACGATCCACCTCTTCCTTGCTGCGCCCACTCATTGGCCACGAGCAGTATGTACAAAGTATAACCGCCGTTTTCCTTCTTGACAGCAGGCTAGACATTGGCCCTGTTTAATGTAACTTGTTCACCATCACCTGTGTCTACTTTTGAAACCGGATTCAGATGACTCCAACGCCACGCCAGCGGTCATTGGTTGGTTAAGAGATTGTATACCTCAGAACAAACACATGGCCTGCCTCCAAGTACCTAAGAGATAGATAGGGAAAGTAGTGCTGGAGCTTGGTAGTAAAAGGAGCCAACAACCTGATAACATTCTCCCTATAGCAAACATTTAGTTTGTCCGAAACAGCACGGGGTCCTCTCCTCTTCTGTTCATGCATGCTAACTAACACAGTCCGGTCGAATCCAATGTCCTGGTCAACACAAAGGTGGTAAGAGTGGAATCAATCATAACATTTTTGTGATAAAAAGAAAAGAGAATAGTTAATACAGTGGTGAAGGCTGTCTAAAGGCTACCTCGACACAAGCCAAGCAAAGCCACAACAAAAGAGACATCCTGCTCTATGCTGGAAAAGAACATGTTCTATTCGCAGAGGCTCCTTCAAGCAAAACGCAAACACAAGACGCCATCCCGTTTTGTCGCCTGCTAAAAAACACTTGTCTCCCAGCTGGACTGGTACCAGCAACCCGAGACATCCATCAACCATACTTTTGTTGCCCGCAATGCACCACACGCCCTCTCCTAGGTCTTTTTGTTTAGCCGCATTCATCACCGCCATCACAGTTTGCCGAGGTTCATCCGCACGAGGTCTTTTGGGCCGCTTGCCAAAAAGAAAAAGGCTAGGCCATGATTATTTTATTTGCTTGTAGGATAAAACGGCTGCATTTATTTGCCGGGGTTGGAGGCCACGAAGGCAACACCCTTCTCGATGTTCTTCTTGAGGTCAGCGAAGCAGGCCTGGAGGAGACCCTCCTCGATGGCGTCAACCTTGCCGACGGGGAGGATCTTCTCAACACCGTTGGGGCCGAGCTCAACCTTGGAGCTGAAGAAGTCGATGCCCTGGTCCTTGTAGAGGGGGCTGTCGACGAAGGTGGGCTCAATGACGCCCTTCTCGCCCTGAGCAGCGCGGAGGACGGAGTCGGCCATGCGGGCACCGGCCATGGCCATGGAGAGGGTGGCGGAACCGGCACCATCCTTGGCCTTGACAACCTCATCACCACCGAACTGGACACGCTTGACGAGCTCGGCGTCGGAGGAGAGGTCGGGGTGGTTGGACTGGGAGAAGAGGGGGACGATGGTCACACCGGAGTGGCCACCGACAACGGTGATGTTCTCATCCTTGGGGTCGGTGCCCTTCTTCTCGGAAACGAAGCGGGAGGCACGGACGACGTCAAGGGTTGTGACACCGAAGAGGCGCTTGGGGTTGTACACACCCTTGGACTTGAAGACCTCGGCGCAGATGGGGACGGTGGAGTTGACGGGGTTGGAGATGATGAGGATGTTGGCCTCGGGGCAGGACTCGGCGCAGGCCTTGGCGAGGTCGCGGACGATGGAGGCGTTGGTGTTGAAGAGATCATCACGGGTCATGCCGGGCTTGCGGGGAACACCGGCGGGGATGAGGACGACCTCGGCGCCCTTGCGGGTGCTGGCGCGGCCGCTGGGGGTGGCCTCGTCGCCCTTGCCGGTGGCCTTGGTGTTGCCGTGGGCGCCATCAGCAGCAACGCCTGTTTGAGGGTGGCAAGAACTGTCAGCTATTGATGGGACGAACGCGAGGCTGAGGCTCTCGGAGCTAATTAGCTCCAAGGTTCGGACGACGTACCAGGGGCGCCACGGATATCGTAGAGGGCGAGCTCAGTGACTCTGGGGTTCTGCTTCAGGAGAAGAGAGAGGGGCTGGCCAATGCCACCGGCGGCACCGAGGACGGTAACCTTGGAGAGCTGTTCAAGTCAAAACCAGTCAGCGCATGCCATTCATCACCCCGCACTAGTGCTTGGTGGTGGTATGTGCAGTGGTGTTGGCGATGGTGCATACCTGGCGGGCCGACACCGAGAAGGCGCGGGTCTGGATTCTGGAGGCAAACATTTTGACGGTGATGATGATGGTCTTCGTGCGGCGGCAACGAGGATCTGGAAGGGGAGGTAGTGGTTCAAAGAAAAACAAATGCACCGGTCGAGAGGGAGGGAGCGGGTCGTTGAGGTAAAAAAAAGTTGGACCGATCCATCTTTAGCCTAGCGCTGTTGGGGAGGGCCAGGGGTGACAGTGGCGGGCCATTCTCGGAAGGATCGGACCTCGGAAAATCCCGCTGGACGGCCAATGAAATCGATCCACTTTTCAACCTCCGCCTGTCCTTGCCCCGGGGGATCAACGAGTGACGTCTTCGGCCGAGAGGGAAACTGGATTTGTTTTCTTCGATTTTTGGATGCATGATTGTGTCGCTGGGTTCTTCCTGTTCCACGGCTCAAGTTCGAAGCCCGAGATGCCCATCAAATGCGGCATCAGGACCCCACCACCACCTTGCAACTCCCGCCAAAACGGAATGTGGGGCATCCAATTTTTCCGCCATGTTCCAAGAGCGACACCGGACGGGCCGGGTAGCCAATGGCTTTTCGGCTTCGTGAATGAGCTCTCGGCTTCCACACATCAGGACAACGGACTGTCGGACCTCCTCGAGATCGGAGCTTGATGGACGCGGCTGTAAGAGCGTGCCGAGTTCGATGTTAGCATATGATGCCGAGGTGCTCCACCTCCGCATTCCCGGCATTGGTCTGGTCCTTGGCGATTCGTTGGTAACTGTGCTTTTCCTTTCTCACCGTAGTCAATGATGACCAGCATCCTAGACCTCCCGTTGGTCAGAGAAGCTGTCATAAACTGGACTGGCCCGGTCTGGCGTAGACATTCACCACGTCTTGGTGATAGCCAGCCGAATCTACGTCGTTGATTTATTGAGAGCATGTAGCTGAGCTTAACCCTTGCAGCTTTGTTGACCAGCATATAATCCGCTCCCACGGCCAGTAACCTCACCCATATCACCAAATCGGGATTTAACCCTACAAGACCCAATGTTCCTTCAATTGAATGTGTCTAACATGTCTTCGAGTCCTTCATTATGAGGGCACAGAAGAGGACGATGGCCGCGAAGACCAAGCCAGCAACGCTATATCTCAATTGGAGATGTTCATCCTAGCTTAGGATGTTTACTGTCGCTCACTGACGCTGCCGGATATGTGCTTGGATGGAAGACGCTCGCTTGGGAATGGAGCTCGACGAGGTTTCTCGCGCTTGCTTGCCAGATGGAAGATGCCCTCGTTTGCTAACGAGACAATGATGAGATTCTCTGGCGTCTGGTTACCCGTCTTGGGGGGTGGGAATGTCTTCTTGATGTCATCCAAACATCTTCAAGACAAAACATCTACATTGGCATCCACTTCTGAAGCTGTTTATATTCACCTTTGTGAATACATGATGGCTATTTTGCCTCTGAAATGAGGTAGCAGCTAAATCTATAGCAAGGTTGGTATAAATAAACATCTCTACACATCTCACTCTAGGTGCCCCAAATAAGCTGTGAAAAGTTATTTACCTGGTACTTTCTCAAAAACAGCTCATCAACCTTTTGCGTGTTAAATGAGTCTGAAGGGGCTCCTTGGATAGCTTTAATGTTCCCATGGTGCACGGGGGCACGGCTTGGAGAGCCTTCTTATACCTCACCTTTGTCACCGCCACTTTGGCTATCTACCAAGTCAAGTATCACGATATTTAACAGCCTCCAGTCCACGTTTTAAACTAGGTAGTGGATCAAAGTCCCTTGACTAGTCTTGATAAGTCTTGAAAAGACTTTTGGAAGTACGTTTGGCCTACTTCCGAATCGAATTTCAGAACAACCCGAAAGGTTCAAAAGGTCTATGGTTGAACGACAATATCGCAATGTCATGTAAATGAGAGGAAAGGTGATGTCTTGTTGCACGTACCCAACGAGTCGCGCTATCTTGACATGCAAATGGTGATATCCATCTTGGTTTGCATTGACATGGAAACTCATGATATGTCAGGTTACAAGCAGCTACATCGGCATACTGTCAATTACAATATCTTCAGGAATCTCAGCCATCAACCATAGGTCAGAACACATGCGCCCTGGCAGGGGATGATGAGTCTGACGGCCCACCACTCAACCCCAAGCCCCTTGCCCACACTCCTGTGCCCTGTTAAGCGATGCAATATTTCAGCAACCCACAAACGTAGCTTTCAGCCCCCCACCAAGGCGGAACAGAGGGGCCGGCCAGGCAGGAGGAGCGGGCGCAGCGGTGTTGTCTCCCCAAGTCAAACGAAACCCCTACACTTCCGCACCACTCGAATCACCGAGTCGGCAAAAGCAGGAGTCGGGCCTGTGCCACTGCCGAAGCAGACCCCCCAGCTTTCGCTAGGTTCAATCGGCTGGGAACTGTAGAGGGGTGGGGGGCACGCCAGCACCCACAGTGGTGGTTGCCGAGATCTCAAAGGTGATCTCCGACTGCCATCGAGAGATGACAGTCGCTGCGGGCGAAGGTTCCAAAGCTTTCCCCGTTTTCCGTTGACCGGGTACGGCCCCACGAATGACGGGACGAACCGAGAATCTAAAAAAGAAGACCGGATGCTGGGGACACAAAAGGGGGTTGAGTGGGCTTACCTTGAATGTCTGATGTCTTGGGGACCTCGGGGGCGGCGGTGGGGGGATCTGGAGAGAGTTGCCAAGACACTCAAACGTCAGAATCGATTCCATGTGCATGGCCCGAGTGGAGGGGAAAAGAAAAGGCTTGTGCAACAAAATGAAGTTCTGCAAAACATACCAGCTGGGATAGACTTAAGGCCGCAAGGGCGCGCTGCTGAGGTCGCAGGAGGGGGCGGTGGACGAGGGTCGTTATCGTGACTGAACGACTAAGTGTTGGTATGCTTGGACAAAAAGGTAAGAAGAAAAGAGAGCGGGAGTTTGCGAGGAGAGGTTGAATTTATACCTACAATTATGGGACTGGGAATTTGCAAGCAGCCGGACTTTGCAAGCGGGCACAGATCGCAGAGATACACCTATTCTGGGGCATTCTGTTTGGCTCTTTTCACCTCAAGAGTTGCTCCGACCAATAGGCTGACGCGTAATCCGGGTGTTGACTTTTGAAAAGGTTGCTCATGAGTTGCTCGTCTTCACCCTCTTGATCCTCCGGCATATCCTGCCAGGCTCCACAACACATCATCCCTCGCTGATTACTTCAGAGGGGTGCCTGGAGAAGCGTCTGAGGAATTTGGGTCGGTTGGGCAGTGTTCGTGATAGTTCAGAATAGGCCTAGGTAGACAGAAGGTCTGCTCAGCGGAGATGTAGGAGAAAGGAGCAAAGGCTCAAATTACCTTATGTCGAGAGAATTCATCTCTAGCAAACAGCGTCTTCGTGGAGGGTTGGGCTGGCATCAGAAGCTGAACCCTGGCGGATCAACCTGGGTGCACAGGGAGAGGACCAAAGGGCCACAGACTGGATGCCCTGTTGGGGGGTTGTCTCATTCAGTCAGCACCCCTTCCTCTTCCCACCCCATATTATCAGATTGGAAGCGCAGGACTTCCTTCGCGCCCCTCTTCTACCCACAGTCCTTCGTCTTCCCATGACCACACTATTCCCAACCGATACCATCGCTGCCCCTGTGCCTCCATCTTCCAGTCAACTCGGATGTATGTGTTTCTTTCCTACCACGCACCACAGCCACAGCGAAACCCTTTGTTTTCATTTCCCCCCCTCCTTCACTTCCCTTTTTCTCCTCTTTTCATTTGGCTTGAATGGCGGCTGATCGTTATTGTAGCACAACAGATTGCGTTCAAAACTGAAAAGTAGAATATCCTTCCTGACTTTGACGCGACAGCATTACCAGGACTCTGGTACGTATCCCCTCTTCTCCAGGAAAATGGTCTATTCTCTCCGATGAGTTTGAACTGACAGTTTCTTTTCTGACAGCCAACTCCACGCAATACCATCGCCGATCCGATGTCCGATTCGGATCCTGATCCCGATCCCGGTGCTGATTTCTGTCTTGCTTCTTCCCATTGCTCGATCAAAATTAGACACACCGACAGCCTATCTGGGATCTGTTAGCCGAAAGGGATTGCTGACTTTCATATGCCAAAGTCTTCAGTTGGGAATGGCATGGGCGAGAGACGAGGGAGGTAGTAGAGGTAAAAGAGGCCACCAAGACCCCATGGCCATATGGCCGAAGGATTGCGTGCCCGCTCTTCCTGACATGAACAAATGGCGCTCTGCTGCAGCCGAGGTGATCTGATTGTGGCCAACTGGGAGAACGGCTTGTGTTTCATCTCGAGGTTCTAAGAAGCTACTGGTTGTAACCACCTTCTGTCGGTGGTGGCTGAGGCAAAGAGACTGAGCTCTAATCTGAGGCGAAGAGACTGAGCTCAAGTCTGAGACGGTTCAGATTTAGCTTCAAGGTCTAGTCGCAAAATTGGAGGGAGAGAAACACCGAAGCGGTTCCAGGTTCTGTGGTCATGCTCTCGTGAAGCCCGGCGCACTAGATCATAATGTTCATCCTCCAGTATCAAAACATCTGTTGACCTGCTCGGTCCGCTCCTGTGAAACAATGCCCCCGTTGGCACTGCAGTCCATGTATGGCTTGCAACGCGACGGTATGCTCTGGAAAGCTTCCCATTTATAACGAAACTCCCTCCCGGAACAGGCTGAACATAAAGAGCCAAGAGAACCCAGCGGTTGTCACTATTCAAGATATCGCACCCAATGATCGCCATCTGAACCTTTTCCTCATCGTCTTCGGAATCGTGGATTTCGAGTACATTTTTCGGCACCCATGTGCGGTCCTCAACCAGGATTTCGACAATGTTCAAGCGTACTGACAACCCAACATTGGTCATATAGAAAGGAGCGAGGTTGCGAGGAGCCCATAACCCAAGAGTCGGTGGGCAGGCAAATGCAGCAGGTGAACTGGCTAGAAATCCACTACTTGACACATCTTCCTTCCACACGAAAAGACTTTGGTCAAAGGACACACGCATGATCTCTTTTTGTAGCCGACGGAATGCCTTCTTGCCCCCCTCGCCATAGAGAATAGGCATGCAAATGTTGAAGATGCCCATGAGGCTGTAGGTTATGTCTTCGCTGCGTGTGGTATGTCGCTCTGATGCCCATCCCATTCGTTCCGATATGCTCACCTCGGAGACATTGTCACGAAATAGAAGACAGGCGTCGCCAATCTTAGTGATGTTCGAGATAACGCTGACGAGGTGCCTGTTTGTGATGGGTTGCCATGTGGCGTCGAAGAATGATCTTGTCTCAGGGGCAAGGAGCTCTTGAAGGGTCCAACCGCGTGTGAACCACCGACATGGCCTTAAAGCATCATCAAGCTTGGCAATCGATAGGCTTCCCCAGTCAGCCATCGCTTTGGTATCGGAGAGGTAGACGAGGCAGTCTCCTGAGTCGTAGTAATAGCGGTACATGGAGTTGATGGCCTCGGATAGGTCGGCACTGTTGCGCTTGTCGATGCAGCAGGTGTCTACCCAACCATATTCGTAACCCTTTTGACTTGCGAGGCGGCAAAAGTTGGTGATCTTTGCGAAACCGGTCTTGTTGGTGATGGTTTCGCGCAAGCCCTGCATCTCCACAAAGGTCACTTCCTGACTTGGGACATCCCAGGTATGGGACAGGATGGCATAGGGTGGAAGGTCATTGCAGAACTCTTCTAGTTTCAAAGTGATTGTGTTGAGAAGCCACATAGTGATGGCAGATGATGATCATGTTGTAGGGTTTTGTTGATTGTTCAGGGAACATTTCTCGTGTTTACGTGCGGGGAACGGGACCCAAGCATGTGACCCAGCGGCCAATGACCTGCTACATGCATGAGGACATGCAGCCGAGCTGAAAGATTGTAACCTGCTATCAACATCAACATCATTTCTCTGTCTTGGTACAACTTATGATCGTTAGATGGCTCTAGTGTTGAGAGCCTGAATTCTTACACGAGGTTCCCTGGTATTATGCCCGTCAGGGGAGAGGTCGTCGAACAGATACAAGTTGATTATGAATGACAATTGGCAAGGCATAACGAAGGACGATGAACAGTAAATTGCATTGAGTAGGTAGTGTGCTTGAAGCGGCCAGGTGGGTGGTTATGTACCCGTGGACCTTATGTTGGGCGCCGCCGCCTGCTCCCAGCTGTCCTTGGCCTTCTCCCGCCAGAAGCACACGCTGAACAGGTCACCTGGGAGCTCCTATTCCACCTGTAGCACAACCTCCGCCGACTTGACACCATTCGCCGTGGCCGCCACTGTAATCGCCCCCGATGCTCCAACCTTTGCACGCACAATAGCCAACGCTCGTCCTCGAAACGCTTTCCTCTCCTTTGACGGGAACGCAACCATATCAGTCGAGTCTCCATTATCCGTAGTGACAATGTCACCAGGCCCAGTGATGGAAAATGTGATGTTGGGTTCCGCGGTGGGAACAACATCGCCCTTGTCGTCCACGACAGCAACACTGACAAAAGAGAGATCCTCGCCGTCAGCTTTGATCGTCGCGCGGTTATGATACGTCGACAACCGCAACTGAGAGGCCGTCCCGGTAGTCCGAACTGTCGCATTCGCCCATTCATTCCCATCCTTGTATGTCACGACACGCACCTCTCCTGGCTGGTAGGTGACCTGGTCCCACCGGAAACGATAGGTGTACTGCGCCTTCTTCTGTCGACCCTGGGACTTGCCGTTGACGAAAAGCTCGGCTTCGTCACCCGAAGAGTACACATGAACAGGCGTGACTTGACCGACGCGATTGGGCCAGTTCCAGTGAGGCAGGATGTGGGCTATCTTCACGCTTGGGTTCCATCTTGACTGGTAAAGGTAGAACCGGTCCTTGGGAAACCCAGCAAGGTCGATGATGCCAAAGTAGCTGCTCCGAGAGGAATCATATGGCGTCGGCTCTCCAATGTAATCCCAGCCTGTCCAAACAAACTCACCCGCAACGTACGAATACCGATCTTGTGCCACAAAGACCTTGTCAGGTGAAGCACCCCATTCCATGGCGTACAGGTCATACGAACTGACTTGTCTAGTAGTAGGATCGGCGCCAGGACCATTCGCCCGTACAATCGCGTTGTTGCTGTTCACCACTGGGAAGAGGTATGTGTCCCTGGAGCTGACCACCGACGAGCTCTCAGTGCTGAAGATCAACTTGTTAGGGAACCGTCCCCGGAAGTTTTCGAACGTTGGCGCGCCGTTTCCTTTGCCCTCTCCCTGATAGTTCAACCCGATAAGATCAACAATCGAGACAAAGGCCGTGTCAGGCCCAGCGTTGTTCATTCCGACGGTGGACTGTCTGGTGGCGTCCTCCTGGCGAACAATATTTCGAAGACGCTCAGCTTGTGCTGCACCGTTGCTGCTTCCCTGCTCTGCGACCTCGTTTCCAAAGGACCAGGCCCAAATTGAAGGATGGTTGCGGTCACGGCGAACAAACGCTCTGAGATCTGGCTCAGACCAGTCGGCAAAGATGGTCTGGAAATCGTTGCGAGTCTTGTGGCTGCCCCACGTGTCGAAGATCTCGTCCAGAACAAGGAAACCCATCTTGTCAGCAAGATCGAGCAGCTCAGGCGCTGGAGGATTGTGTGAGGTTCTCATCGCGTTGGTTCCCATATCCTGGAGCATCTCCAGCTGACGCCGAGCAGCCGGAATGTTGAAGGCGGCTCCCAACGACCCAAGATCATGGTGCTGGCAAACACCCTGAATGTACACGCGCTGACCGTTGACACGCAGTCCATCGCCAAGGTACTGCAGAGAGCGGATGCCGAAAGGAGTTTCGTATGTGTCTACCAGCTGGTCCCCAACGTAAAGACGGGTGATGGCAACATGCATATTGGGCTCCTGCGTCGGACGTGGACCCCAAAGCTTTGGGTTCTGCACAGTCGCTGATGCATTCACAGATGCAATAGACCCTGGGGAGACGCTGACTGTGGCGTTAGAGAAACCACCGATCTTTGCTCCCGCCTTCCCCGAGACCGCATCGTAAGAATGAATGTCAGTGACGACCTGGACCTGACCTGCTGCGGCGGTTGTTGCGCTGTTCTCCACCTGAACAGTGAGGTCAAGCGTTGCCGTTTGAGCTGACGAGCTCCTGGTTTTGACGAAGGTACCGAACTGGCCGACGTGGATGGGGTTTACTTTGGTCAACCAAACGTTGCGGTAGATCCCTGCACCTGGATACCATCGCGACGACTCAACGGCTTGGTCAAGGCGAATAGCTAGCTGATTGCTTCCGGACTGCAGATACGGAGTGAGGTCGACACGGAATGAGGCATAGCCATACGGCCATCCACCAGCGATCTTCCCATTGATCCAGACCGCAGCATAGGACATGGCGCCGTCAACCTCGAGATACACAGATTTCCCCTCGTCGCCCGGGTTGAGCGTGAACTTCTTGCGGTACCATCCAACCCCCTGGATGGGAAGACGACCCATGTTTCCTCCGACGGGAACATTGTTGCCGACATAGAAAGGTCCTTTGACAGCCCAGTCGTGAGGCAGACTCAGGGCTTCCCACGAGTTATCATTGAAGTTTGCTTGGGTGTAGGTGACGTTGGGTGGCTCGTTGGATGGGCGCTTGGTGCGGCGGGAGGCATCATTGATGAAGTTGTTGGCTGATGGTGTAAGCCATGGCTTCAGGGTGTTGTAGTTGAGGTTGTCAGGATTCGAGGTGAAGCGTTGGAAACGCCAGTCCGCGTTCAAGCTTATTCTTTCGCGAGTTGCTGCTTGTGCGAGGACTCCAACGATGAAAAGCACCACTGCTACCAGCAGTTGCCGCACGACACTGGAGGCCGCACAGCGCGAAGACATGATGAATTAGGCCTACTCTGGCCAGCACCTACCGTTCGTCTGATCTGATCAAACAATGCGGCAACATTTAACCTTAAAGTCAACCTCAGACGGAAAGACTTCATCTCCATCCTCCCCATGATCTCGACAGCAGGTAGCCGTCACGCTGGCGGCTATCATCTCAACCACTGCCTTCTATTGGGGCGCTACAATTTGTCCTTGTCAGGAGACAGTGGATAGCTGTCGGGCAGTTCCCCTCGTGGTACATCACACAATCATACCGTTGCTCTCACATGGCAAAATATTTCTCCATCATAGCCTAAGTTGCAGATCGATTCCGTTCCTGTGATACTTGTCGCCCAATCACCGCCCGGCAGAGAGTGGTACAATATTTCTCCAGTGTTTCAGTGAACGTTACCTCGAGACCCTCCTATTTGTTGGTCACGGCCCCGCAGATGACATGATAGACTTGTGGTGAGGTTGTGCACGAGAGCCGTTATGCCGGTCTTGGCGCATGAGGAGATACATGTTGCTTCGGGCCGTGCCGGACCGGAGGATGCCAATGGTGCGTAAATGTTTTGGCCATTTGAAGATGCACTGAGGACCATGGATAGAGGAGGATATGCGGGAAATAGTGGTTCATGTCCGTGATATCTCACAATCTTGTAGAATCTACGGGCACATTTGCGGTCAGATCAACCATGAGGGTGGTTTGGCCGCGCAAGAAGAGAAGAGCTGACTTTCAGGGCTCCTCGAAGCATACCTACCTACTCACAACAAACTGCCACGTGTCAAGCACGCAGTGACGATTCCAGCAATGGCCAGGACCTTTTCCTCTTCAAATTTCCGGGCCACAATCTGCACGCCAACTGGGGCCCGTCGTAGATCTCGGGATCATCTGCGGAGCCAGGCGTTAGAACCCAAGGTAGGGTAAGTGGGGGGAGAAGGGAAGGACTTACAGGCCTCCCAATTTTGTTTATCGACGTCGTTGAGAGGTCTGTAGGCATCATCGCCCTCTGGGACGACGTCGATCGCCTTGTCTTCCTTGGTCATGGGGATGACAGCCGCTGAGTAGTTCATCAAATTGATAATTTCGGTGTAGGCTGTTTGTTTATCGTCAGCTTGAAACACAGCTTCCGGCGGTGCAATGCGGCGTCTATAACCAGTATGATAATATTTGCCTGGAATCACCGCGGCGTGCCGGGCCACTGGCATGATGACGGCATCCACGATCTGGCCGTCGCTCTCGCTCGTCGAGTTCCAAGGATCAGAATGCGCGGCTTCGTACTCAAGCCCTTCTAAGGTGAGGTTCTGATACTCGAGGAGGTCGATCGGCGACTTGAGCTGGAATGCTTCCTCGAGGTCGGGCATCAGGGGCTTTCCTGAAAGGGCGAGGTGGGAGTGGATGTTGTTCCCGCCGTCTGCTAAGAGGAAGGAGACCTACGGGCACGCCGGATTGTTGTCAGTCTGCAGCCAAACAATTCCGACATTGAAGAGAACCTAGAGGGAGGCTTACATGCACCCGCTTAGCGGTAGCTTGAAGCGGCGGCTCCCAATCGACCACCTTATGCCCGGCTGCCCTGAGGGCATCTGCGACATGACGGAGACCCCTGGTGATGGGAGGGTGCGGGCCAACAGCTTGATCAGTCCTAATGACACACTTAATTAGCTTAAAAGTAGCAAGATGATGAGCGGGTGTGAAAGGACAGTCAATGGCTATCGGGAAACACTTGAATGCATAAAAGGAAAGCAAGTACGTGCTGAGGTAGTAAACATGTGGTGAAGGATAGAAAATAGGGGTCAAAACATGGTGAAGAGACATTAAGACATAGAAAGTAAGTGCCAAGGAAAAAGTGAATATGTTTTGAAAGATAGTAAGTAGGTGTTATGAGGGGATTTGATATATCCTCAATGACGATAGGTAGGCATATTAAGGAAGCAGATATGTCTGTCATGAGAGTCAATAGGCGTGGGAGAACAGGTGCGTACCAAAGAATTCCGAGTTTTAACGGCTTTGAAGCTGTTCCATCACCTCTAGCCCGGCACCGATGTTCATCGAAGACATCTTGACGGGAGGGAATCGGCACCACTGCTGCTCCCAAGGTTTGGTGGAAAACGCGGCACGAAGGGCAAGCTCGAGCCCTCCAACGGACGTGCTGAGGAAACCAACAGTCGGTCGGTATGTATTCTGGCCGGTATTGGTGTTGGCGACGTCGCGGTACAAAACTCGTTCGGGGGTAGGCTTGAGGGAAAAGATTCCGTTGAACGCAGCAGGAATGCGAACCGAGCCGCCGATATCTGTCCCAACGCCTAGCACACTGCCCCCCAAGGCTTGAAGCGCATCGTCGCCTCCGGAGGAACCACCACATGACAGATTCTGGTTATGCGGGTTTAGTGTTTCGCCGATGATGTTGTTTTTCGTCTCACCAAAGAGAAGTGTCTGCGGGAGGCCCGTTTGGCAGCACAGCCCTGCACCCAAAGACAGGAGTCCTGTAGTGATTTGATTCTCGATCTTGTGAGTCTGGTTGGGGTCCTTGATGCCGAGGTTGCTGCCTATCCATCCAACGTAACCCATAGTCGTATAGACGCCTTTGATGTGAAACTGGTCCTTCAAACTGATGGGAAGGCCATGGAGAGGTCCAGAGACCGTTCCTGTCTCCTTGAAGCCAGCGTGGAGAGCCTTGGCACGTTCCAAGGCCTGGTCAAAGAAGATTTCATGAAGACAGTCGCCCTACGAAAAATCAGGGCACGTTAGCATACCTGTACTTCTATCTCTCTGGAGCGAAAGACGAGGTATGTGGAAGGCTTACAATTTGGTAGGCAATGGCTGGGGCCTTACAAAAGGCCGTGGTGACCTGTAGAGCACTGTAGGTCCCGTCTTTCAAGTGATTGACAATATCTGGGGCGTCTTTGGCTAATATCGACACTTCGGCGGCTTTCAAGTGCTCTGGCACAACACCGGTGATGTCGCGCTGGCTTTTTGCTTTCGCCAGGTCCTCTGGTGAGAGCTTCCAATCGTCGCGTATACTGGCAAGAAGGCTCTTGCGCTTCTCCGCCGCGCGGGTCTGCCAATTTGAGCTCGGAATTGACATGCTGCACGACTTTGAGGACGGATTTACAGAGTGAAAAAAGAGAAGCCGAGAGGGAGATGAAAATTGGGGAAATGGCGGAGAATTTCGATGGGCAGAGTGCTCTTTTATTCCAGATTGCTTCGAGCACAGTTCAAGCTTTTTCACGTGGGACGTGATATATTCAGATGAAAATAGTCTGGAACTACGTTCCTCTGGGGCTTGCATCTTGCATCCCGCCAATGTCAAGGCAGTGGGTGTTGCGCCTATCCATGAGAAGGGTTCTGGGGACCTTATGCTGGATCCCGTCCTAGCTCAGGACAGATGCTACCACAGATTTCGAGAGACTTTGCCCCAGCTTGTGCCTCTATATCTTACAATGTACCCTACCACGGTAGAGATTTAGAATATCTGGGTTAAGTTCTAAGAAAGTCATTTATGGCCATGGTTATGAAATGTAAATATGTGGAATTGATCGAGTTCTCAGAGGCCGGGCCTTACTCATTGAATGTATTGTATCATTTCCAGATTATGTGTGTCCTCCCTCCGGCGGTTTCAGCAATCTTTACCAAATCTAAACTGTCTTCTGAACATGGGACTCTTTGGCTGGTGATTACCACCAGCATCTCAGGGTTAGGGTCCTCTCTCTTAGGCCATCGCGATGTGTCTCCACGCAACTCTGCCCCGCATTTTCCACCGTGACGTTCTCTTTTCTTCGCCCACCCTAAACTGCTGAGACAAAAACCAAGTTCCTGCTGTACAAACAACGTTCATTTCAAGTGCAAAAATGACATCGTTTCTATTTCGTTCCAGCAGAAACCCTCAGTACAAACTCGTCTTCTACGTCCCAACCACCCACCTTCGAATCTGCAAAGACGCCGTCTTTGCTGCTGGAGCAGGCCGTTATCCCGGAGCTGGCAATTACACAGAATGTTGCTGGACAACATTGGGAACTGGACAGTTCAAACCGGGACACGGTGCCAAACCTTACAAGGGAAAAATCAACGTACTCGCTGAGGAAGAAGAGGCTCGGGTTGAGACACTGTGTGTGGGAAAGGCCGTGGCCAAACGCGCCGTGGAAGCTCTGAAGAAGTATGTGTTGGAGATGATGTTCTTGATTTGCCATGTCAGCTAACGCAGCCGATAGGGCACACCCATACGAGGAGCCAGCTTATGAGGTTTACAAGATGGAGGACGTGGAAAGCTGGCGCCTAGGCTCTGGATTGCGAGCCAAGTTATGATCATCAAGAGATATGGCAAGCAAGTCTTACAATCAGAGAGTTTGACAGATGTTTCTGGCCTTCCTACCGCCTGTATCTAACAATTCTTCCAACCCTGTCAACACGCAGCCAATGAAGCCGCAGCTTGGCAGCGCCCCCGCTCGCCGATGTCACCTCAACGGAGGCGACTCCTGAAGCGCGTCAATCCCATTATGTCCATCATCCGTCCATATTCAATCACTAGGGCCAGGACGGAATGCCTACGATATGCGACTCATCAATGTGTCTAGCCTTCAGATTGAGGAATTTTACGGAACCGATATACCCCCGTACGCCATTCTATCTCATACCTGGGAAGCAACAGAAGCCAGCTTCCAACAATGGACCAAACGTGTAACAAGAATACGAAAGTTCAAGCATCTAGGCTTCGAAAAGATCTACGCAGCGTGTAAACGCGCACGGGGGAACGGGCTCGGCTACGTATGGGCAGATACTGTCTGCATTGACAAAACGAGTTCGGCCGAGCTGTCTGAGGCCATCAATTCGATGTATGCGTGGTACGAAAACGCCCAAGTCTGCTATGTCTACCTGTCAGACGTTAGGATACCGTCAAGGGAAAGTAGCCTGGATGTATTGACCCTGTTTCGTCGGTCTCGGTGGTTTACACGCGGATGGACCCTACAAGAGCTTCTAGCACCGTCTAATATCGTATTCTACACAAGAGAATGGGTGCAGATGGGAACCAAGCAGGCGTTGGCAGTTCTTATTCGCGAAATCACAGGGATTGACGAAGGCTGTTTGAGAGGTACCAGGCGGGTCACTGTCTGCAGCGTCGCACAACGGATGAGTTGGGCTTCTCGAAGAGTGACGACGCGGGAGGAGGACGTCACATATTCATTGCTCGGCATTTTCGGAATCAGCATGCCATTACTCTACGGGGAAGGAAGTCAAAACGCGTTTAGGAGGCTTCAGGAGGAAATTATCAAGGTGTCTGACGACCAAAGCATCCTTGCCTTCAACACCGATTCATCCGACAATACGCTACTCGCCCACCATCCGAGTGACTTTGCCTCCCAAGGAGGAGTGCGACCCAGCTTTGCGCCCAAGCTGACACCACCTTTCACTATGTCCAATGCTGGGTTATCACTGACTACGCCTTTGATTTACACCATGTCCCCCTACTGGGTGTTGGCTGTGTTGAACTGTGTGGAGCTACACTGGGCCCAGGAAGATGTCAGGGCACGGTCAATCACTTGCCTCCCGCTTCTCGGTAGGGACAAGAAGTTCATGCGGGCTCGCGCGCCGGTTACACTCATTAGCTTGGGAGTAGACTTGGTAGGCAATCAGGGGACATTGCGGTCAAAACACAGCGACTCTACGCCTGAAGTCGGGGGTAATGACAGTGATAGCAACACAGCATTGGCAGAGAGCATCTCTAGTATTGCGAAAACCACGCCCCTTGAGATACAAGATTTGACAACTCGGAAAGACACGGATATCCTCGTCACCTACTTCTCTCGAATCTACCCTTTATATGGTACTGAGATGGACGAGGCGATGAAGGGTTTTGAGGTTATCGACGTGGGGCCATCCATGAAGATACCTGATCGGGGGTTCATGATCGCATTTCCACGGGGAATGGGATCCTACCGGTACTTGGACTCGTTCCCTAAGGGAGACCTCTATCCGAACATCAGCTTCTTCATGCCTTCCGCAACCCCTCCGACGAGTACAAGAGAGAAGATGGAGGAGAACCGTGGAAACGTCACCAGAGGCCTGCTTGTTTACTCACACGAAATGGCGGGGAGATTCAAGCCTGGCTTCTTGGAGGAAATCGAGATCGTAGGTATCTATCTCGCACTGGACTCTTCAACTGGTAATTGGACATGTCGGATTTTGGACCTGGAAAGGCGAATTTCTGGGCCCGACTTGGAACACAAGTGGATTGTAAAGGGGGATGAAATGGTGCTTTACAAACCTGAGGAATGGCCCCATTACGACCAGCAGCGAAATATGGTCGTCGCAGCTCGCACAAGATTTGAGACCGCCAAGGGGCATCCCTGTAAAGAGGCGATCATGGTGGAAATCGTCTTTGACCTGAAAGAACTGCTGAAGGAAAGAGATCTGGAAGGGTGAAAGAGCTTGTCTACCCACCCTCCTCAGGCAGCTTCGAATATTGTTGAGCACGTCTTTTGGCTCAGCAACCTATCATCAGGACATCTCGGGGTCCCTCACCACCCCGAACCAACCACACCAGGCTGAATATCAGAGTGTCTAGTTCACACTGTGCTCTAAACACAGCAACAGATCATCGCCTTGCTTTCTTGGGGGCCAAAACTGTGCCGAGATTCCGGGTAGCGCTTGTGGCGGGCTGGGGGGTTGCCGCGCTAGAGGCCTAATGAACACGGCCCGACACCCGGAGGATTCTCTCCAACACGAGGAAAAAATACGTGATGAGATCCCAAAGCAGAAGTGTCGATCTGGACCTTTTTGTGTTGTTTATGTATGTCCTTACTCTTGGACGAGCCGTCTCTTGGCCTCGATAGTGTCTTACACATTGCCCAGTCCGGGTGTTTCCCGCTACCCGGTCTGGGCTGTGTTCCGATTCGGGATTGTACGACCCGAACTGGACCGGAGTCTAGAGGATTCGACGCGCGAAAATATTGTATGAATTTGGCTAGGCCGCGCCCATTTCGAAATATTCCTGTTTATGAGTTGTGATATCAAAAGCTGTCACAATAGAGATTTCAGCTATCGGCCCATTGAGCTGTCCACCGTTGACGTCTGAACGGCCGAATGTGCGGGTCGTGTCTGAATGTCAGGGCTCCCTTGAATCCATGAATCCATGATCGCTGGACACCAAGTGGAGATCTCCCGCTCAGTGGGGAATCGAGCTTAATCGGACTGCACCTCGTATCAAACGGCTCTATCGACGCTCTGCATGCAGGGTTTGACGTTTTGTTCAACTGCGCACGTAGCGGCGTCTGGTTCGGTCTACGATGGGCTCTCGGCGTCGGCCGGCCTTTCTGTCAAGAGCAGTTCACTGGGAATTGAGAAGTTGACACCATCGAACTGTCAACTGGCTAAGCCCAACTGGGGTCCCCGCAGTTGGCTGTTGGCCTCTAAAACACATCCTCACTGCCCGTTCACTGCCTCAGCGAGGCCATTGACACCCGGACTGGTTTAAAAGGGACCACCAGTTCACAAATCGGAGGAAAATATCTCTTCCGGCCGTACAGCTAACTCCCGTTGTTCCTGAAAACCCCACCTCTGCGTTGATCGGCTTGGCACGCCTGAGGTGTGGAGCTGCCGCCTAGCGTCGCGAGCGCACTGACCAGCCACCTTTTGCTGAATAAAAAAAACCTCCACATTCTCAGCTTCACTGCTTGTTTATCACACAGAAGCCTAACAACAAGGGAAGAGTCTCGGCGGTTCCTAAACCGCGCATCATGAAAAGTCGAAAAACACGAGTCAGGACTGCCGAATCTTGCCAGTCTGCAAGCAGTCGCCGCATTTGGATGACCGCCACCCTCTTTCGATGAGCTCACCGTCCGGCAGCGAACCACACTCAGCGGCGCCTGTGGGTGAGCGCCATCAAAAAGCCACCAGTTTCTGACGCAATTCCGCTTGTATAGGCCCGGTCGAGTCACAGAGCCAAAAACCAACTCGACAGTTTGGTTGTTTCCGTCATTTTTCCATCATCGCGTTGCGCCACACACCGACCAACAGATATCGATGCAACAGACCGACAGGGGCCTCACACCCACGCCGTTCAGCCCGATTTTGGGTCCGGCCCATGTTGCCTCCTGAATGGCTGGTGCTTCCCCCGTTGACATTGCCTTACCACCTTCCACGTTCTGGTCAGCGCTGGAAACTCGGCATTGCCCACCAACGACCTTCGTAGCAGTCGAATTCAGCACCAAACTCTGAAGACACCATGCCCCATCGAGCTGTGAGGCCGTCGGTTCAGCTCGAACACCGATGAGAGGACAAGCATTGACAAGCCAGACAAGCCTCATCAAGCTTTGAAGGATTATCTTTGGCATGGCTTGGCCTCTGCGGCGACTACAAGCCAAGTGGACCGAGGAATTTGTCTGACTTCTTACTTTGCAACACGTGTGCCGTCCCTGTCCGGGAAATACAATCAAAGTTGTGCTCGCTTCGAGACGGCATTTGCTGACAAGCATGCATATTGGTGAGGTAGCACAGCTGTGGTTTCATATACACTAGCCGCATCGAGCAGGGACCAGCACTGAACATCTCTTGAACCCCTACCACTTGGGTGGCTTGACGCCCTGCTGACGATCTTTCCCCTCCCCCGCAATCCGTCCCTCACGGTCCCGAGCTGCCGAGTTGTGATATTTTTTGGACGCACCCGTCGCTCACTCAGCGTCGCCGTAGCTCGAACGAGCCGAACTGGATCTTCTCGAGTTCACAAACGAGCGGTTACTGGCGCCGGCCTGCCACTATTTCTCATCTCTGTTCATTTCTGGTCGATATGAAGGCTGTTGTGCGAGGACCTGTCAGATGCAGGTGTTCCCACGCCGCTGCAACCCCCTACTTCCCCTCGCATGTGGTGTCCTGCCCTTCTGGCCTCCCATTCGCTGGCCGGCTGCGACGCCATCTCCAGAATGCAAAGATTCCCTGGGTGCCCATCTGATTTGTCGGTATTTCTCTCACACCTTTTTGTGGGGTTGAGATCCGAAAAAGTACACCAGGCTGGGTCAGGTGCAGCAACCGAATATGACGCCTCAGAGGCAAACATGCCAGCAAGGAGGGTGGCCTTTGACAAGTCTCGAACATCAACAAGACACAAGAGGATTGTCTCTTTGATCCAGCCCAAGCAAGTATTGACATGTGTGTCTTGGATTCTCCTGACTATATCGTTGAATCCACTATTTGCGATTGTCTCATGTGGCCAAGACGGCCAATGCAGACAAAACAAGGTTTGGACGGCAGGCTACTTCGGGAGCAGGGTTTCTGGGTCAATCCTAGCTGCCCAGGCACCCGATCGATGATTAGCCAGCAGAGGGTAATCCACCACCATCAGAGTGACCCTCCCGACGTCACGCAAGACGTCCCCCTGGGCATCCTTAACCAGGGGCCGTGGCCGGCGGCACAGAGCCTTCTTTTTTTTTTCTGCTTCTTTTAGTAGTCCCCTCACACCCAACCGCGACCACTCCGGCCCTTTGTGCCCCCACTCTCTTCAACATACCTCAAATACCTATAAAAGGAAGACAACCTTCTCTTCAAACCACAGTTGCCGCTAGCACCATCACGACGTCACAACTTATGAGGCGTGACCTTATATTTTTTCCACCAAGCCCTCTCTCTCTCTCTCTCTGTACTACGCCAAACACAACTTCAACAACATCCAATCCCAGCAAGACAATAATCCTCCAGCCGCATCAGAACATTCCCAGTGCATCTTCTCCAAATCCATTAGACGCACTTGCCACACTCACAATGGCGAGCCAAACCCCACGGCCCCAACTCAGAAAGAAGGCGAGCTTCCGGGACCGCTTCAAGTCATGGCAGAAATCGGCACCTCCCGCTTTGGAGGCAATTGAGGAACCAAAGCAAAAGTTTGTCTACGAGCCCAAGCATGCCGCCTCGGACTTTTCTCGCATGCCAGTGTTGCCAGTGGGCAGCCAGAGACACCGGATCTTTGACTCCAGGCGAACTGTCCCGTTGCAAAGTTTGCCTGAGGGGACAACAAGACTCAAAGCACGTAGGGGAAGCCAGTCAGAAGGGAGGAGAACAGACGACGCAGTGAACCCTCCGCCCCAGTTGGCCCTCCAACATGAGCTGGCGAGAAGAGATTCCAAGTCAAAACGATACTCCTACACTCTGGTAGAGGATCCGTTGCGGGTTTCCCAAACGGCAGCCGTCCACCAAGTTCCTATCAGCACCCGACCGATGAGTTGGGACCAAGCTCCGACAGAGCTCCGGCAGGCAAGCCACACCCCAACAAGACACCACTCTCACAGTCAGCACACCCGGCAGCCAAGAGCGTCGCCATCGACAGACTTTGAGCTATTTCTTGCCCAAGCTGAAGCCGAAGAACGCGCACATCACGAGGTTGTCTTGCGCCAGATGTCACAGCGCGCAGCGGCAGCTCAGGCGGCTTATCCCCATCGGCCTACTGTCCATCCCAATCCCCACACGCAATTTGCCAGTGCGGTGTCGGATGTAAGCGCCGCCACCACAGCCGTCGGAGGAAGGACGTCCGCCAGTGGCGGAAGCAAGAACAGCAGCCGGAGAAGCAGAGATGCTACGTCCACTGGCACCGGGAATCGATCGCATTCGTCTTTTGCCCGTCCTCTCCCAACAGAAGTCTCCCAACAGCCGCTCGAGCAGCCGCCTCAACGATTGCGCCACAAAGGACATTCAAGAAATCCCAGCTGGGCTACTGGTGCGAGTGTGGAGTTGACGAAGCTTGATACATTTGCCGCGGAAACCGCGCCCACTGTGCAACCGGTTCAGGTGTTGGGCGTGGATGAGGCCTTCAAGCCTCCCCATACACAAGTTGACCAGCCACGAACGTTGAGACGGCAGTCGAGCATAGCTCAGAAGATAGCCGAGTACATCCGACCTTCTCGACAGGTGGACGGCGGTGTTGGGTACCAGAGGAGTGGATCCAAACGTCATAGTCAGGCTATCCCTAAAGTCGAAACGCTGGCCGAGTAAGAGTTCAGATTCAAGTCTGACTGGGTATCAGAGGTGGGAGAATGAAGGATGATATCATGAATGGATGGACCGGGACACTAAAAAAGAATGGGGTCCATGTGTTTTGGGAGATACCCCTGAAGCAGGTGAATGACGACACGGGGAACGAATAAATACCAGGTTGGATATATCAAGGGACGGGCGCATATTCGAGTCGAAGTATGTCAAGACTTCTGAGATTGAAACAAGTGCTAGCTGGGCTAGAGGGGAAAGTAATCGCATCGTATGGTAGATTCAGTATTGACATCCAATGAGACGCTTACAGCTTGCTGTCACAAAGACCTTTTTCACCTGACGCTCCTGAACATAAGCTCACGATCCGTCGCCTGACGTTTGATGTCTGGGGAAGTGCACGCAAGCTAAACCTCGATTGTCAATCGATGGCGGCTACCCCTCACGCTACATCCCCAAGCGGCTCTGCAAGTACGTAACGACGATCCTCTCACCAGTGTAGGGATTCTCTTCCCCTCATGAACCCCACACCAAGCATGCCAAAAGAATATCCCGTCTCTCCGCATGCACAACCATGTCGGGGAGCCGGGAGTAGAGGGGGTTCTATTCGGAGGGTAGTACTATGCCGGCAGATGCGGAGCAATCCTCCCCAACCTCGACCGTGTGCCAGGTGTCGCGGGGTAGGTTGTGGGCGGAAATATTAACCGTGTAGACCGAACTTTGGGAGATATATTTCAACTCTGGTATCTCGCCGTCGCCAACTTTCCTGCATCTTCTCACCATTCCCAAGTTGCTACTGGTTCATTACGATGTCCTCCGGATCCTCCACCCCCGAAGCCACCACCCCGATTCCCACCCTCCCCGAGACCCACTCCGGCATCCCCCCGTATCTCCTCCCCAAAGCCACTCGCGCCAAGGAGGCCGTCTTCTCCGGCCGGACCAAACCCGCTAAGCCCCGCAGTCGTGAGGTGCCGGTGGTTCCCCAGGGTGTTTCCCGCGATCAGTTCCTCGAGGCTTTGGAGGAACTGAAGCGGGAGTTGGGAGAGGAGAACGTCGAGGTGAATGATAAACCTTTGAAAGATGGGTGGTACATGGAGCACCCCAACACGCACGACATGATGACCATTTTGGATGAAGAGGAGTTTGTCGCCGGGGCGGTTGTCTACCCGGGCAACACAGACGAGGTGGTCAAGATAGTGAAGTGGGCTAACAGATGGCTTGTTCCCATTTTTCCTATATCCATGGGGAGAAACCGTAAGTTCTCACAACCAAACAACCACGGAGGGGTGGGAGCTGACGAAAACAGTGGGCTATGGCGGCGCCGCTCCGCGAGTGAGGGGTTCGGTCACGGTTGATCTGGGGAGGAGGATGAATAAGATACTGGATATCAACCCCCAGGATTATACCTGCTTGGTTGAGCCGGGGGTGTCGTTTTACGGGTTGTATGAAGAGCTTGGGAGGAGAGGGTTGAGGGAGCACATGTGGGTTGACACGCCTGATTTGGGGGGGGGGAGTATCATTGGGAATACGGTTGATCGCGGGGTTGGGTATACCCCTTATGGGGATCACTGGGCTTGTCATTCGGGTTTGGAGGTGGTGTTGCCTACTGGGGAGGTGATTAGGACGGGGATGGGGGCGTTGACGGAGGGGGGGCT